GCTGTATACGGTCCGTCTCTAACCTATGTGACTGCTGGCAGCGGGAGGGCACTGCGTGGGGGGCGGCCCCCCGGAAGGGCGCGGTCCGAGGAGGGGCCCCCGACCGGCCCTGGACCGACTGGGGCAGCCCCGGGTGCTGTGCGTGCGCCTGGCTGCAGCGGGGGCACGGGGGCGCAGGAGGCCGCAGGAGAGACCGGAGTGTTTACTGGCCCGGGGGATCGGCTGCTCTGGGCCGTCCGGGGGTCCTTCCGCGCTCTCCCCGCGGTCCCCCGGTCTCCTGCACCGGGCCTCCCCAGCGCCCGTCCCCGCACGTGGGCGTGTCTCCCGGTCGTGCGTGGCCTGCTGGAGGCGCTGGGCCTCCCTGCCGCCCTCTCTGTCTGGATCCCCCGGGCCGCCTCCCCCGGGCCCCCTGCGGTCCTGCGCCGCCCCCCTGCGCACACGGGCGTCTCTCTGTGCAAGGCAGACCCGGTGGTGGGCGTGCACTGCCCCCTGGCCACCCCTTGGGGCACCCTGCACTCCCTCAATCTTCTCTTTCCGCGCTCTGCCTGTCTGTCTGCCCCGCACCCCCCCAGAGCAAGTGGGCCGCGCGCCCCGCCCCGCGCTCTGCAGGCGCGTCCCTCAGGCGATCGCAGGGCTCTGCGCCGTACAGGAGCGCCGCGCCGGGTGGTCTCCCCGGGCGGGGGCCGCTCGGCGACGGGGCACGGGGCTGGGGCGCGCGGCCGGGCGGGGCGCGAGGCGGGGTGCGCGCTTAGAGGCGGTCAGCGCAGGGCCCCCGGGCGCGGCGGCGCGGCGCTGCCTGGCCGGGCAACCGCGGGGCTGGCGGCCCGCGGCGGGCGTTCCTCTCGTACTGGCCCGCCGTGCTCTGGCCCCGGGGCCAGTAGGGTAAAACTAACCTGTCTCACGACGGTCTAAACCCAGCTCACGATCCCTTGAACGGGTGAACAATCCGACGCTTCCGCGCCGGTGCGCGCGGACGGTAGGAAGAGCCGACATCGAAGGATCAAAAAGCCGCGTCGCTGCGGGCGCTCGGCGGCCACAAGCCAGTTATCCCTGTGGTAACTTTTCTGCCACCTCCGCGCCCGCGGCCGGGGCGGCGAAGGATCGGTAGGCCCCGCTTTCGCGGCCCGCGCCGGCACGGGGGGCGCGGGTCGGGCGGGCTTGTGCCCTTCTGCTCCGCGGGAGGTCTCCGTCCTCGCTGAGCCCGCCGTGGGACGCCTGCGGTCCGGTGTAGCAGGCGCGCCGCCCCAGCCGAACTCCCCGCCCGGGCGGGTCCCCGCGCGACCGGGTGAGCGGGGCGGCGGCGGCCGTCAGGGTGTCTCAGGGGCGCGGCCTCCCCTGTGCGCTGCGCCGGCCGCCCCGCCCCACAGGCCCGGGCTGGAGTCAAGCTCAAAAGGGTCTTCTTGCCCCGCTGGCCGGCCCTCGCCCGTTCCCGAGGCTGGAGGCTCGCGGAGGCGCGGCTCGGGACAGTGGGATCCTCGTTGGTCCATTCATGCACGTCGGAAATTGCCCGACGAGGCATTTGGCTACCTTAAGAGAGTCATAGTTACTCCCGCCGTTTACCAGGGCTTCGGCGGATCGCTTCACGGTGACGGTCGTGGCACTGGGCAGAAATCACGTCGCGCCAGCGCCGGGTGCGGCCCTCGCGACGCTGTGTTTCTAGTAAACAGTCGGGATCCCCGCGTCCGTTCCAGTTCTGACCCGGCGCGCCGTCAGAGCCACTCCTTTTCCCGAGGTTACGGAGCCGGCTTGCCGACTTCCCTGAGCCGCGTTCGCTCCCGCGCTAGAGGCTGCTGACCCCGGAGTCCTGCTGCGTGGCGGGGCTGTGATGTGTAAGGTCTGATGTAGAGGCGATCGCTGTTTACTCTGGCTACTCTAAGAGAAGGGCCATCATCTCGTTACTGCCTCTTTGTTTGGCTATGCCCAAGAGCTGATTCCTGTTTATGTTCTTCTCCTTCTCTGCGAGGAATTGCATGCATTCTATCTGATTGTTGTACACTGCAAACATGAGGGCGGTTTCGCCACCACTAGTTTGCATCCCACCCTCCTTCTCCAGCAGAAGCTTAATGCACTCTGGGTGACCCTTCTCTGCTGCTATCATAAGGGCCGTCTTACCATTCCTATCTCTCATGCCCCCTTCTTTCTCTAGGAGTAGCTTAACACAGTCTTGCTTGCCATTTTGTGCTGCACACCTGAGGGCTGTCCATCCGTCACTATCCTTCATGCCCGCCTCCTTCTCCAGGAGTATTTCCACTATCTTTGTGTGGCCTTTCCCTGCTGCTGTCATGAGAGCTGTCCGGCCGTTGCTATTTTGCATCCCGCCTTCCTTCTCCACGAGCAGCTCCACTATCCTTGTGTGGCCGTGTGCTGCTGCCCTCATCAGTGCTGTTCCCTTACAGATGAACCAGCGGCCTATCTCGACATTCCCCGTCGCTTTCTGTCCCCCCTGGAGGGGAAGGAGGGCCTTCACAGTATCTACATCATTTCTGTCAACAGCTCGCATGAGGGCAGTGACGCCATTCTCATTTGTGGGGTCGAGGAGCTCTACTATGTTCCTGTGCCCTGCCCTTGCAGCTATGATCAGCGCCGTGTCTCCGTTATCGTTCCTCGTGTCCTTATCAAGAAAGTGCTTCCTCACGGTCTTAGTATCCCCAGTGAGAGCCGCGCGCATGAGTGGGGTCCATGAATGCGTCTCGTATCCCTGAAGGAGCAGAGCTATGTCTGTGTGCTTGTTCCTGAGGGCGTGCACGAAGGCCGTGTTACCGTCCTTGTCCTTCATCCCCTTCTCGTGCTCAAGGAGGAGCTTTACCACTTCAAGGCTCCCCTTCTCCGCGGCGATCATCAGAGCGGTCCAGCCGGTTTTGTCCCTGAGGCCCTTTTCCTTCTTAACAAGCAGCTCAACAGGCCCACCGTGCCCCTGCTGGGCCGCGTGCATGAGGGCCGTCATCTTCTGCTTGTCACGCTGGCCGGTGCGGACTCCCTCTTCAAGTAGCACCCGGACAGTCTCTGTGTCATTCGTGTGCGCAGCACGGATCAGTCTGGGTAGCAGGTGAGCCTCAGGTTGAAGGGTAATCGTAGCTACTGCACCACTGAGTTGCATAACCTGACCTTCTCGTGCTTGCATTGTGGATAAGTATTTTTTGTCCGGCCTTCAAGAGCGTCAATCCCAGGGGTCTTAAGTCGGGGCTCCTGTCCTAGGGAGCTGGTCTTGCTTGGCCTGTTCTCGAGGGCTGCCTCGCGAATAGCAATCCTAGCATTAGCATTATTCAGGGCAGTCTTCAAGGAGCTGCATTCGTACTTCAGCACCGCGTATTGAGCCCCCAGCTCACCAACTGGGATGTCGAATGTAGCGAACGTCTTGTGCAGCTCCCTGGCCGTCGGCCTCTTCACTGGATCCAGCACGAAGATCCTCTCCAGAACACTCTTTATGAAGCCATCAGTGACACCGCTCAGGTCCGGCCTCCACCCGTCGACGAAGACCTCTGCCGGCTCCTTGCCCCCAAGAAGTCCGGCCTCTTCAGAGTTACTAGTTCATAAATGATGACCCCGAGGCTCCACACATCGGAGGCGGGGCTGGCCTCGTTGTGGAGGAGCATCTCAGGGGCCATGTATACTGCCGTGCCTGCAATGGTGCTCCCGCATCTCAGGGCGTCCTTGCAGAGGCCGAAGTCGGCGATGATGAAGTGTTCATCATCTGCGCTGACGAGAATGCTTGCAGGCCTGAGGTCGCGGTGGACGAGGCCCTGGTAGGGGCGACCGTCGGCACCCACTCCGCTGACGCCGTGGAGGTAGGCGAGGGCGGCGGCGAGCTGCCTCAGAACGGAGAGGACCAGCTCGGGAGAGACGGGGGTCTTCCTCCGCTTGCAGTCGATAAACACTTGCTCGAGTGTCTTGTCGTGGCGATTCATGACGATGTAAATGAAGCCCTCGTCCTCAACCACTTGATGATACTTGAGGATCCCCGGGTGGGAGAGGTCGGGGAGGGTGGCCAGCTCAAGCCTGATGGCATCCACGTTGCCCTTACCCAGGCCGTCGAGGAGAATCTCCTTCACGGCGAGACTCGGATAGCCCCTGAGGGCGTAGACTACGCCTGTAACCCCTCTGCCCAGCACGCCATCCAGCAACTTGTGGAGCTCCTCAACGACGAATTGTGGGATGACGGGGGCTGCTGCAGGGGGGCTGGCTGTGTAATCATCGCCGTCGGCCATGACAGTTTATTCTCAAAAATAAGATCGGGCAATTAGATTGAACGAGTGATTGGGCCGCACCCTCAGAGGCTACAAGAGAGCGCAGGCCCCTGCCAGCCTCGCTTCTCGAATCTGTGTTCATGACAGCAGACACGTCGTCCCGTACACTGTGGAGCGCCCTTGCATGTCATGGCACCCTGTCTGTCCTGGCCACTCGTGACCATCACGCATTACTAGTACTCTGCGCCAGCTCCCTCGACTGTGCAGTCATGGCTATTCCACATGTGCACAGGCCATCTAGCAGCACTCGCCCGCGTTCTCTGCTCCTCCTCCGCCATTCATCCACGCGGGCCATGCAGGGTCTAGTGCCCCTCCAGCGCTGGCCACATTGGTGCTCTCTTCTGAGGCTGCATGCCCTAAAGGATCGCCTGTGCTCACTGCATTTTTAGAGCCCATCGCACACCGGGGGCTCCCTCGCAATCGGTGCCCAGAAAGTCACGGGCAGGACTCTTCGGTACGTTTACTACCGAGACACCTTACTCCTGCAGAGGAAGCCGACGAATACTCCACAGCAATGTACAGGAGTGCACCCCGAACAATCATTCCACAAGAGAGGTGCGATCTGAGTCTGGCCCTCACTGGTCCTGTTCCTATCGAAGTCAAGGGGAACTGCACTATCAACTAGCCTCCGATGGGTGTGCTCCTATCTCGTCCTCCTCCAGTCCAACTGATCAAGAGAGCAAGAGCGGTTGCCTCTCACTGCTCGCGGCAACACATCAGCCTGATGAAAAAGCAGTAGCACACGAACTCCGGCTAATGTTGGTAGGATTTCTCCTAGTTTGTGCAACCGTGCTGGCAAAGGACAGCGGGAAGGACACATGCTTCCCGGGCTACACCCTCAACACTGACACGAAGCAGTGCACCAAGGACCCAGAAGCGCCGTGCAACGTCGAGGGCTGTGAGACCTGCGTGGAGGGCAACGCCCAGCAGTGCAAGACGTGCCGTCCGGGCTACACCATCAACACTGACACGAAGCAGTGCACCAAGGACCCAGAAGCGCCGTGCAATACTCCCAACTGTAAGACCTGTGACAACCCCAAAACAGACAGTGAAATCTGCACTGAATGTAATGACGGCAACTACCTCACCCCTACAAACCAATGCGTACCTGACTGCACGACCATCAGCGGATACTACGGAGATACTGACAAGAAGTGTAAGGCATGCAACCCTGAGTGCGCTGAGTGCGTTGGGCCGGCCAACAATCAGTGTAGTTCCTGTCCTGCTGGCAAGAAACTGACATATACAGATGACAGCAATCCTAATAACGGAGGCACCTGCGGGGATGCGTGCAAGGTGTCTGCAGATGGCACTGGCTGTGAGACATGCGGGGCCCAAATAGGAGGAACTGCATACTGCTCAAAGTGCAAGACCTCCACTCAGGCCCCCTTGAACGGCGACTGTGCGGCCAGTTCACGAGCAACTTTCTGTACTAAAATGGGTAATGGGGTGTGCACTCAATGTGAAGATAACTACTTCCTCAAGGACGGCGGTTGCTATCAAACAGATAGACAGCCTGGCAAGCAAGTGTGTAGTAGTGCACAGGGAGGCAATGGTAAGTGTCAGGCATGTGCCAATGGCTTAGCAGCAACTGATGGCAACTGTGCAGAATGTCATCCTACTTGTGCTACGTGCTCGACTGCAGGTGCGGCTGATAAGTGTAAGACCTGTGCCACTGGGTATTACAAGGAAAACGGTGACGATACCACTGATGGCCCGTGCAAGAAGTGCTCAGAGAAGATCTCTGGATGCAAGCAATGTGTGTCATCATCTGGCAGCTCAGTCATATGTTTAGAATCAGAAGTAGGCACTGGTGGAAGCGTCAACAAGAGCGGCCTCAGCACGGGGGCCATTGCAGGCATCGCTGTGGCTGTCATCGTTGTTGTGGGGGGCCTCGTAGGCTTCCTTTGCTGGTGGTTCCTCTGCCGCGGGAAGGCGTAGGTTTAACTGTGTACTTAGGTAGTAAACCGTCATCGATGGGTCTGCTCGGTGTCTGTTCCTGCTAGCACGGACAGAAGGGTTTCAGCCGGTGCGCTAAGCATCAGGCGTGTGGATGGATGCTCAGTTTATCCAGTAGCACGCCCTGTCCATAGCTTCACAAGTGACCAACAGTGCTGTACAGGTACCTAGAGACCAGACCGCAGATCCCATGCATTGAATGCGGCCCCTCTGCAGCTGCAGGACGGGCCGGTCTGGCAATCTATGATCAAGCAGGAGCCCTGTTCTTGCAGACCTTGCAGCACTTACAGACCTGCATTGCAGAGAGGCATTCATGCGTCTCCGCAAGGATCGGTGCATTGACTGGCGAAGAAAAGAGGGACACTGACAAGGGCTGCCTATACAGCTGCTGATATTGATAACAAGGCAAGCACACCCAAACACCATGCACTCGCAGGCTGCTACCTTGAAGGGTCGCATGAGCACATATAATGGGGACTTGACTCCATCGAAGAGGGCCTGCTTCTCATTTGAACAGAAAACGATTATAGGCGCCACCGCTTGCGTCATATGCTCCAGAACAGGCACAGGCTGACCCAGCAGAGTCACAGACCATCCTCTGGCTGCCTGGTTCAGCGCTTGCCATCCAACATGACAGCTTCGCATGGCGGATGGAGCCATACTCTCGTCGCACAGCAGGGGAAGGACAAAGAAGCATCGCATCCGCAACCTATCGGCGACTGTGTGGGCACGCTTGGGTGGCACTCCGGCGAGAACGCTGTTAGGGACGTCCTCTGTAACGGGGTCCGCTGGTACGGCTGCCCCGCCGATCATGATGCGAGAAGGGCGCCTGTGTTGGCTTGGGTGGACCAGCCGTTAGACACGGGTCGCGATTGAAGGCTGCCCCGAACGGGCTCGTATCCGTGACCCCCACGGACTGCAATAAAAAGAAACCGAAGACCCCCCGAGGCCATGCCGTCCTCGACTGCCTCCGGGTCGGCCGTTGTGTACAATCTGGCAGACTGGATCCCTGCCCACGAAAGGCCAGACTCTGCACTCGCGGTGGAGGACTTCGTCTCCCTTGAAGATTTACGCTTTAAAAGCGTCTTCGACGACGGCCTCTACGACAACCAGGACCTGGTGCCGGCTGGCCTCCTTCAGGCATACTTCGAGACGCAGCACCGTCTGGACAGGATCTACGACGAGGGGAGCGGGTGGGCGTACGTCAGGGCCCGCAACAGCCTCTACCCCGAGTGCGACGGCGGATCCCGGAAGAACCAGCTCAACAGGGCGAGCGACAAGCTGATCCAGCTGGACGACGCCGTCCCCTTCGTCGGCAGCAGCCCGAGCATCTCCACCGGGACGCAGCCCGAGGGCCCGGATCTCCTCTTCGCAGACCTCTGCTCGGCCCCCGGCGGCTGGTCGTACACCATCCTGGAGCGCTTTCCGAGGGCCCGCGGGGTAGCCATGAGCCTCTCTGCCGATGGGGGGAAGGTCGGGCTGACGTGGGACCCCAGGCTCGAGCCCTTCATCAGCAGCAGGAGGCTGAAGACCACGCTGGGGGTCGATGGAACGGGGTCTGTCTACAACCCAGACAACGTCACTCTGTTGACACAGCTGCACGCCGCCGTCAGGGAGCTCCACGGGCCGTACGCCTTGTTTCTGGCCGACGGCGGCTTCCTCATCGAAGGGCCCGGCGGCAGGAGACACGTCGAGCACCTTCAGGAGTCAATCGTGGCGAAGCTCCTCTACAGCGAGGTCGTGGCCGGGCTGCGGCTGCTTAAGCACTCGGGAAATATGGTGGTCAAGATGTTCGGCTCCTGCACGGTCCTCACGTCCCACCTCCTCTACCTCCTACTTGTCTGCTTCCAGGACCTCCACACAGTGAAGCCGGGAAGGTCGCGGATCGTGAACGAGGAGAAGTACATCGTCGCCCGCGGGTACAAGGGCCTTCCGCGGGACGTCCTGGACCACCTGGTGGCGGTTCTCCGCGACTGGAACGAGCGCGACTCTGACGGCGGGCCCTGGTCGCTCACACGGCTCCTGAAGCCAAACGACTCGCCCGGCTACAAGCGGTACCTCCAGATGCTCAAGGAGCTCAACACCACGCTCATCTCCGTGTCCAATAAAGCGCTTGCAGGGGTGATCGACCAGGCGGAGGACATCCTCAAGAGCGGCGGCGCTCGGAGCAGGTCAGCGCCGCGCAGAAAGCTGAAGATGTAGACAGCAGGGGGTCCTCCGGGTTGATTCGAGCGTTAAGCAGTTACTCACAGGCTAGTCCGAGGGTGCAATGTCCCTTGCGGGTTGCTGTTCATCTGCGGTGAATCTCGAGTCACACGGTCCTTCCCCTCTGCTCCACCGGCGCTCTAACTCAGACGCGTGCTTGCCTGATTGCACTTACATCACGGTCAGCAAGCAGCGGCCTGTAAGACGTTGGTGGAGTAAACGTCGCGCTGATCACGGGTGGCCTAGTTCATCCTGGTGCTCTCTCGGAGTGGGACAAGCATCCCATGCCTGGCTGGAGTCCTGTTGTACCGCCAAGCGCTGCGGGTGAAGGGCGCGAACAAAGCAGGGATTGTGCAATACTGTATACAGAGGGCTGCCCATAATCACTACTGCCAAGTCCAGGGGCATATAAGCTACCCAGCGCAGACAGAGGTCCCAATCTATCCTCATATAGACATGCATTAGTAACTATGTTTGTGATAATATAAGATACTTATTGCAGGGTCATTACTTATGGTTCACTGAGTCTCGCACTTAATAACGTGTGCTTCATTGTCTTCGAGGCTTCACCGTGTTTTCCCCTTCTACTAAAGTCGAGTGGCACTTGAGCATCATAAATCCTTGCTAGCTGGCTCAGATGCGTCACTGACACCGAGTAAAATTTGGTAAATTCCAGAAAAAGGAGAACTCGTGTGGCAGCATGGACAATCCCCGGGCTTCTGCCTCGCTCATGGATGAGGTAACTGCACTGCGGAAGCGCGTGGTTGACCTCCAAGTACAGTCTCTAGGATCCTCGTTTACGCAGGAAGAAATTACCTCCATTGAGGATGGCATCCGGTTCGACGCCGCACAGCTCCTACATCGATTGTTTCCGTATCAGTCTGTTAAGCAGCACTACAACGGCTCGACCATTTGCGGGGATTCTGGTCGCTTTCAAGCCAACATAGCATTCATTACTCGATTACGGGCCGCAATTTTAAACGCGGCTGAGGTCCAACAAGCGGTGAAGAACGGCTCTTTCGATCGCGCTGAAAGTGATCTCGAAGGGCTTGGAAGGCTATCTCCACCAGAAATAGACACAAAGAGATATAGCTGCGACTCAGACGATGATAGGAGGAGCAGGTCAGCAAAACAGAAGGCCCAAACGCTCCATGTAACAATTTCAGAGTCAGAGCAGGAGCTTTTACGTTTGCAAGCAGAGTATGCGTCCCTCAACGTTGTCCGGCAGGAGCGAGACGACTATGAGGAACAAGAGTTATTACAGGTTGAGGAAGCACTTGCCGCCATAACACGAAACTCTGAGTCGGCACTTCAGCAAGTCATGGTTTCTCTTGCCTATGCACATGCACTCATAGAATTCACTTCCTTGTCATCAGAAACGAAGACGGAGTACATCAAATTAGCAAGCACATGTGACAGTGAGGCGCGCAGAGCCGTTCTTGGCGCTGAAATGAGTGCCGTGTCAGATCATGTACCAGACGGAAGGGCGTTGGCGTCTAAAGTAGAGTTGGTGAGAACGGGACTGATAAAGCTATTTGGAGAGGACGTTGTTGACCAAGGATTTACAGACCTCTTAGCTATACAAAGAGAGAGAGTCATCGATGCCATTGCTGATTCAGTCGATAACGTTCTGGAAGCCGTAATGGAAACATGGCCTCGATCACATGCTAAGCGTGAGACAAACACGGCAAATGCATTTGAGTCGTACGATATCCCTCAAGACCTTGGCTCACTTACAACTTCAGACCTTAAGGCCCCCAACATGTCACGGACAGTGGCCGCCGACGAAGTGGTTGCCAAGCCATATGTGCCAGAAACTTGTAAAGTTCGGTACCCCCGACTCCCTATTCCTAGTGGAGATGTGGGTGAGACAGATAGTGTGCTTTCTATATGCGTCGATGAGCAAAATCTACGTAAGCAAGGTCCTGGCTCAAAGAAAAGCGATCACTCGGAAGCAAAAGCATGCTCTACTCTGGAATCAGGGTCCCATGTCCCAGAGGTTTCAAACATATCCGTCCTCAAACCAACTGACTCTCCGCGACTCCAAATTGAGCGGGCCGAACGTGAACGCGTCACTATCTATACAAAACTACGTGAAACAATCACGCAACGAATTGAAAAGGGTGTCCGACAGACTACGCCACCTGATGCAAGCCCTATTGAGGGCCCAAGTGTTCTATCAGCGATAAGAAACCGTGCATCCGCCCCATCTACACCAGGCACTCAGCTCGAAGATGTCAAAAACACAACCAAAGTATCGCATCCTCCACGCCATGATAGCGTTGATGAACTGATTAGCACGGTAAATAAGCATATGCAAAGGCTTGAGTCCTTAACTAGTAGCAACACATTCAGCGCCGTTCCCGCAGTCCAGAGTCCCGAAATTGAAGTATTATTTAGCAGACCTCAGCTGGATAAAATAAGCATTGATAGGCGTGTGAGCAGCACAAGCCACGTCAGCCCAGAGCAACTGCAAGCTGATACACCACTTAGAGATACTTCGGAGCTAGAAAATGTTACTGAAGATTACACCTTTAGTCAATTACAAGCAAATGATAATGATAACGATAACAATGACGAGGAGACCAGCAACAACAGTAAGAGCTACCCTACACTCACGTTCGACACAGCCTACGATCAAGATTCACTGCCACAATTCCTGCGTGGAGAAGACTCTTCACAGAAATCTATTATTGCGGAAAAGGAAGAGACTATTCTACGCCGGGAAGAAATGCGCAAACAGCTCGAGGCCTTATATAGGCAACGGGAGCTTATTCTACAACAGAAAAAGCAGAAGACCCAACAGAAAGAGACAAAGAAGATAGATTATCGGAGTGAGCGAAAACTTACGCCAGATATAACTGCAACTGAAGCAAAACGCAAGGCCTCCCAAGAGAGGATAGATAAGCTTGCGACCCCTCGGAGGCGCTTCGACACCCCAAAAAGAGATGAAAAGAATGACGAGCAAAGCTCCCAATCCAGCACCACTATTGCCCAAAGCACTAGAACGCCTCAGAAGAGGACAACATCTGCGCGTAGCTGTACACGAGAAACCCCAAAACGCGATAAGCAGCACGTGTCTTTTAACAGCAATTCCCACACTGAAGCTCGGGAATCCACTTCTAAACCAAGTGGAATATCCGTGGGAGCCTACCCGTCCAGCATCTATCTTGAAGAAACTGACGAGTTAGATGTCGATAGCCAGAGCATGACAAGACCAGCACGCTCAAGACCAGACTCTGGCGGAAAATCCAGGCTGCCCCGGCCTATATTAACTGATGACCTTTCTTTAGCAGCACACAATCCCAGACCTCCTTTGCCGTCGTATCTAGAGTCCCCACCCACAGTTGATCTCCCAGGAAGTAAGCACAGCGCATCAACGCGCACTCACAGTAGGCACCAAACGAGATCTACCACTCCACCATCTACCATGCCGCTCAGCGCAACGTATAACTTCGAGCACAGCGGCTCCTATATGCCTCTTAGAAGAGAGAGGACACTACCGCATAGCTCTGTCATTCATCCAGTGATTGGACCAATCCTTTCCCCGCTAAGATCAAAAATTCTATCTGAGACTCAATTTGAAATAGAACGTAAGAAGGCGATAAGGAGACGGAAGGAGTATGAGCGGAAGGAAAAGGAGCGACGCGCAGGGGAGACGACAGTGAAGGAGGAGCTTCTCAAACAAAGGGATCAGAGAATACGAGATTTTGTAAAGAGAATGGAAGGCGGCAATTTCCAGGAGAAGACCTTCAAAAAGCTTTTGGACAAGAGATCCACTGGGGCTACTTCCGGACAATCCGGTAGTTTGGATCAGACCACCAGAGCACGATCCAAAAATAGGTTTGATGCAGAAGAAGAGGAGCAGGGTGCCAAACGCAACAATATCGATGACCGGCTGACCAGGGCGAGTGAAGCTGGATACGATTGCATGGATGATGGTCTGAAGAGTATTCTTTCGGACATTGAGCACGATCTTTTCGACTAATGCATATCAATGCTATGGCACCATAGATAGTATTGTCGCATCAGCAGCAGAGCCCCACGAGTAAATGAATGCTTCACCTCCAAGTGCACATGAGGTAAAAAGTTGTGACGAAAAGCGTGTCCCAGATAAGGGTCCAACAGCTAAGCCAAAGAAATCAACATGCGGATTAATGGCTGGCAAAGGACTCGGCGGAATGTTACTTTGAAGACCGCTAGAGAAAGGGATTCGGCGTAGCATGTCCTCAACTGAGGCATAGCCCAGAAGCAAACTATCTGTAAAGCCCGTACAGAGGCCGCACAAGTGGCAGCTGTCTGATTGGATCTTCAGGCCCACACAGGGAAGGCAGCTGGGGGGTACCCGTCCTCTGTTAGCAGTACCTGGCCTAGCCGATGAGGTTAATCCAAGAAGCAGTCCAGCTGCCGGATCAAATGCAATTAGACCAATAGTATCCGTTAAACTGCTTGAAACTGTCCTAGCGAGATCGGTTGTTGGAACGTGCTCAGCAGTGAATCCCAATGCTTGACAATACTTGTCGGCCTCCAACCCAACTAACACGGGAGAGACATCTTGATCCTTCATCAGAAGAGGAATGGCTCTAGACGGGGCACGAACAGAAGTGACCAGCAGAGCTGCATACTGCGTGGTGCCAGCATGAATATCACATAGGCCGAGGCATACATGATTTTCATCCCCTTGTCCCGCACCAACGAGACCGGACTCTTCCAGAGTGGCTGCAAGTTCGCATGTATCCTGCACTAGATCTGATTGAGACCCTGTTCTGCGTCTGTGAAACCGAGTGGAAAGATCCCCGAGGAGGTCGAACAGAATCCCCTGGTTATCTGGACGAGCAGAGCGGGCCCCAGTATGAACAAAGAGAACACGGGATAAAGAAGGTGACGAGTCTGCTAAGTGTGTGCGACCATAGGCTTCCGTGCGATGACTCATGGCATTCGCACCCAAATCGTATCTCAAAAAACCTGTGGCAGCCTCAAAAAATAAAACCACTCAAAAAAATGCGCTACGTGGTAACCCCAATACCCCTCCCCGCAGCGACGGTATCGGATAGGCCGTCTCTTCCCCCGTGGTTGCAACGGGCTGCTGAGGCTCTTCAGTTCGATGAGGACCTGCTCGGATCCCTTGCGGCGTCTCGGGGCATCATCAAGCAGCAAGAAAACATTTGCCCCTCTGAATCCCTTGACTTTTGCTGTGCATATTCGGAACAGCTCCGCCCGCTTCTAGGCTCCGGCGTTTCTGCAGCGGAGGGAGATGAGCTCTCTAGTTGGCTTATCAGCGCGCCAAGTGGGTCGATCCTATTTACAGCCTCGTCTGTGCCTGCTGAGCTTATCCTATCTCTCTATGCATCGGCCGCCTTAGCTAGTGCGGTGGCTTGCCAGGATTATACGTTTGCTCCGCAGTTATTTGCAAAGGCTCAGGCCTGCCTTCAGGAAGCTATACAGTACTCTGACATGCTTGCTTCTTTGGGCTCTCCTCTCCCAACTGGGACTGCAGACGACGCAGCGACCATCTGTATGACGTCCGAACTACTTGGTGCATTCATCTCATTTATTAGTGCTCAGATGATGGAGCTCTCCTCCACAAATTTCATTTCACACAACACAACATGGCTTCTTTCGGACTCTTCCTTACAGGACAATCTTCGCATGCTGCTCAACGCCTCCAAGCACTATGGCGATGCTGCACCCATCTTTGTAGCATCGGGGATGGACTGCTTCACAGAGCTTGCAGAGCTTGCTGCTCTTAAGCCTCACATCCTAACTGTCGCCGGCCGCATGGCTGCTGCTAAGTGTCTTTTTGCTGAACGTAAGTATTCAAAGTGCATAGAGGAATGTCGCGAGATTTCCAGCATTATAGCCACCTGTGTCCCTGAAGAGAAAGGTTTTGTTAGTATTTCTCTTTGCATAGAATGCAAAGATAGCCTCATGGAGCAGTTGTTAGAGCTGATGGCTGCAGCCGAGTCCAGTATTGATGCTTCTGACTCTTTGACCGGTCTTGAACCGGCAGGTACTGTGCATCTAGACGATGCTCAAGTGACAGCTGATATCCATACTGCAAATCTGGGACCCCACGAGCCCCTTATTATTGACCTAGCGCCAATTCAGGAGCCCGCCAGCGAGTTCTTGGCTGATAAAGCTGACAACTCAGCAGAGATCCTCCTCCTTAACAATATAATTAGCCAGAAGGACAGTGAGCTAGCTGAGAAGCAGAGGCTCATTGATAGCTTGAATGTACAAGTTGAAGAACTTAGAGGCTCTCTTCGAGAGACATCGTCCGTCTCTGCTTTAGATTTCACAAGTCTCCTGCTTGCAAAAGATGCTGAGATTCACCGGCTTCAAAGTCTTGTGTTAGAATGTTCTACTGTATCCGCGCCCTCATCTTTTCCATTTCCCCAAGATCTTCTTGTGCCGACGGTCTCCGTTGACGAGCAACTTCACAAGACCGTTGCCGAGTTACGCTGTGAGCTTGACGATATGTACGTAGCTTTTGATGGTGCTTCCAAGCAGCTTTGGGAGGAGAGATTGGCGACCGAATATGCATACCAAACTCTCGCCGTCTTACAGGATGAGGTTTCAGACATGTATGAGTTAAAGATTGCGAACGCCAGCCTGACAAGTCAGGTCCGTGCCATTAAGGATCAGGCCATGGTTAAGGAAGTCGCTCCACAAGGCCATGGAACAGCAGTGCTAACCGATATCCACGTTATCAATGACACTGAACGAATGATCCAGCATCTCCAAGATCGGATTGTGTCATTGGAGAGCCAGCTTTTGACTGCTCAAAAAACACTGTCAGATGCCAACGAGACAGTTGCGGTCTATCACCAGGAGATCATAGAGGCCGAGGCCGAGACAGAGAGATTGCGCGATTCGCTTTTGAACGTCGACGCCGTCAAGTGTGCTGGTCAAGGGCCGGAACAGAATACGCAGCTCTCCTCAACGACAGTTCCGCTCACTGACGATCTCGTCATGGGCTTTGCTAATGCTGCTATTGATATCGGTGGGCTCAAGGCGGGCGTTTCACAAGCGAAGGTGTACGACGATATGGTTGAACTGATAATAGCGTTGGAAGTAGAAAACGAGAAGCTTAAGAAAAAGTGCCTGGAGTATGAGATCTCTCCGCCTGCAATCATCTCTCTTGAGGCAGAACCTGGACCAGATGGCGGCGATGTAGAGCCTGGTCTCAGTGCAAGCCTGTTGCAGTCGATTGGGACGGAGATTGCTATACAGTCTGCGTGGACGCGTCTCCCCGCGCTCACAACCCATTTACAGAGCATCATAAATCGTGCGCTGGAGCAGATCACGATAGTAACAACTGAATACGCACAGCACGCAGATTCCCAAAGGGATGGCTCCAGCATCGTGAATGAGTATTCACATAGTGACGGGGGAGATAGTTTTGAGCCCAGTGACAACCCCGATGCAGAGTATCAGAGCACTCTCCACTCTAGGCTCTTCTCCATAGGAACTTCGTCGGATAACGTTGATCTACTCGAGAAGATGCTTCAAGAAGATGCTTCTGAGCCTCTGACCCTTGTCACGGTGGCTAAGAAGCTGAAGCTGCTTGGGGAGGGTCTGCAAGGTCTTCCTACAGTTGTCATATCTGGGTATGGTGAGGACGAAGCATACAATATGCTTTCAGAGCGTATTATTGAGCTGGTTGCCGAGCAGCATGAAACAAACATGAACAGCATGGATGACTGTTACAAGGACATAGAGATGGCGCACATAAACATAGCCGATCTTCGTCTGTGCATGCGAAAGACAGATAAGGTCATGGAGCTCTATGATCGCTTTTCAGTCACTGATCAGAAACGCCTTTATGAGCTGCAGCTTGTCGCTCAACGGAAGAACGCAGAACTGGTTTTCTTGGTGCGCTATATGGACCTTCTTGTGCAGGCTTACCAGCTTAGCATAGCAGCTATTAAGCAGAACGTGGACGCGCAAGGCTGCACCGGAAAGATTAACGGGGTAGAGATATCCACTGTTCTCCTCGAGAAAGACGAACAGATAGCAGGGCTTCAGGAGGCGCTTAAGACGGCTCGCGACCATGGTGAGCAACGAGTTTCAGATATCTCCCATGATATGCGTCTTGTTCAAGATAAATACGAGTCTCTCGAGAAACAGTTTGCAGAATACAAGGCGTTCGCGGATGGGCAACTACAGCCCGCGTCTGCAGATGATGACTACTTCTATAACTTGCTTGCTGATCGGGACAGACAGATAAAGGAGCTTAGTGACATAGTTTCGTTGTTGAATTCTGGCAACTCCAGGGAGACTGTTACAGAAGAAAGACCAGAATCGTCTCACCGAGAAACCCAGACGGCTCCAGGCCATGTCGCTATAGAGCCAACAGTAGTGGAGCATATATCTACACTAAAGTCAGAGGAAGACCAGGAGATTCACAAGATACCAGATCCTCAAGGGATGTCGGAAGCTGAACACATGACTTGTGTTGTAGAGTCGGGGATTGCAGAGCAGCCGGTCTACGGTGTCCAATGTACCCCTGGTATTGATTATGAGCAACTGCTGATTGCAAAGAACGCAGAGATAAAACGCCTACAGGTGCTTTGCGAGGGAGCTGCCGTCCATGTGTCAGCCTCAGCGGTTAGTTCTAATAACTTAGCCAATACATGTGGTAGCAATGCCTTTGTTTATGAGAACGCCACAGAGTCTGTGTACGCGCGGTCCTCTGCAGACTTGGAGGAAATCCAACGTTTGAACACAGAATTAAATAGCTCTAACTCAAAGGTCCAGGAGCTGACGGAGTCTCTTGAAGCGCTGAAAACAAAGAACATTGCAGCAAACACTGCAATCGACAATCAAAATAACCAGATAGAAGAGCTTACACAAGACAAGCAGAAGCTTCAAAACCTCGTCATCCAGCTGACAGAAGAGAACCTCGTCAAGTCTGCAACAGTTCAGAGCGTCATGACTACCTCGGTTGCATCTTCCACGCTTGCAACAGAGATCAATAATCTCAAACTCGAGCTTAGCGAGAGGGATCACGAGATTGTTAGATTGACGCATACCATTGAGCGCCTTAACAAACAAATCGTTGACAATGCAGGAAACGAAGTCCCACAGCTGTCAACAATTATCGAAATACCACCATCGGCAACTAACAACGAAATCATCAAGAACCTGGTGAACAGCATCAAGACGCAAGAAGCCAGCTTCACTCATATCCGCACACTTCTGAAGGAGAAGCAGGCAGAGGTCCTGAAGCTCAAGGAGGCTCTTGAACGGCAAGAAGACATTGTCAGAACGCTTCTGTCCAACCCGATGACTAATAAAATGAAGACAAGCGACTCTGCCGATGGAAACAATGCCCTGATTCTCACCAACTATAATGATACCAGCGCAGCAGATGGACAGGCGGGTGAGGAGGAGCGTGCTCGCTTTGAAGAGCGGATTCAGAAGCTTGAGGAAGAACTAGCCGGCAAAAACTACGTCATCGACAGCAAGTCTCAAGAGATAGACACACTCAGAGGAGATCTGAGGAGGCTTCAAAATGAAGCCACTGAGCTGCGTGCCAAGATAGTTGATCTCGAAACTCAACTTACGGACGCCAAGAGGGAGATAGAACAGATGCAGCAGCGCAACGATCAGGCGTCGGAAGATCATAGTCGCAGAGCCAGCCGGATGATGGATGACTATACGCACAAAGATCTTAATGAACAGATAAAGAGCCTTTACGAGATACTTAGTGCGAAGGATGCGGAGATAACTAGTTATAAGAAGAGACTGGGCATTGAGGACGATGCTGCTTTCACATACTTGTAAATTTGATGATGCCGTTTCGCATAGTTTTGATCTTTCTTGTCATGATTGATTACGCCTTTGCCTTCGAAAAGAGTTGCTTGAAGATTGTGTTTAATGCAGGCGCTACTCCATCACCGGTACAACTGCTAACCTTAAAGAAGACCCCCTTCAGTCGGGAGGCATACGTTGTTGCCTCGTCGACAGAGACGGCTGCTGGCAGATCAGCTTTAGTGCCAATCACGTAAATAGAAACACTCCCTGCTCCTGCTCCAGCTCCCGTTGACGATTTGATGAATTCGCCGTAGTACTTTTCTAGGGCAGTGAACGAATCCCGATTGGACATATCAAAAATAAGAAGCAACCCCTGAGTGTCAGAGTAGAACTCCTTCCGAATGTCCTGATACTCATCAAGCCCAGACAGATCGAAGAAGTTAATCCGCACTGTACATCCTTCGAGATCAAGCGCCCGCACCCCGTAATCAACTCCTATCGTGGGGAGGTACTTCTTGACAAAGCGCCCCTCGCAATAGTATTTAATAAGGCAGGACTTTCCCACTTGTGACATACCAGCAGTGGTAACCTTGAGCCGAACGACCAGAGGCTTGTTACTGATCGGCGGCGGAGGCATAGAGGAGCCACTAGCAGAATTTTAGAAAAGAACATGAAAAACCAAAAATCATCAAGGAAAGGACTAGCGGATAAAAGGACTTTTATGCTCGGTCATCACTAACCCTCTACTGATGATAAGCACTCGGCAGAAGGCAAACTCTTAACTCTTGATTCCAAATTCAAAATCTTCGGACTCAAGTTTTCAAGGGTCTCACTAGAGCTCCATTCTAATGGATTAGCTAATGTCTCCTACTTCTGCGTAGCTGGTAAAGAAAGCGAAGGGCCAATGATAGAGTTAGGAGGGATTTTGTCGGGCCTATGCACAGAACAAGCATAGGGGGACTCTCCATATGAGTAAATCTTGCAGCTGTTTGAGGCAAATTCTAGGGATCCCGATCTAGACTGGTCTGGCTGACGGTTAGCAAGCAAAGGCAGGTGATGTCCAAAACAAAGAGCAGCGTCCTTTTCGATGGCCCGCACCTGATCCAACCAATCATTCCAAAGACCCATGATGTCATTTCGGCAGCGATGTCCCCGAAAAGCTGCCTGAATGACGGTTGCAGCAAGAATTTGGTCTGTCATCTTTGGTAAAAAAACTGCATGTACGTTGGCAATGTACGGGCCCCTCTCTGCAGCCTAGTAAGAGTAATCTGCTGCTATCTTTTCCCAGCATACCGTTTACACACTGTGCTCCAGAACACCGTGCCACCCGTCCGTACCATCGTCTGCACCGATTTTTATCTGGACCAGGTTGTTCTCCCTGACTCCATGGTTCGCACTCTCGCAGGGAACCTTTCCTATTGGGTTATTTTATCTATATTTAGTATTCTAGAATATCTAGTTGATCCTCTGCTCCAATGGCTGCCTTTATATGAGATCCTAAAGCTGGCAGCTCTGCTCTGGATTGCACTGGGTAATGGATCTACTCAGATATATCGGTTAATAACAAAGAACAGAAATGCTATCCAGCTGCCCACGTTCGATAGTCTCGCAGGGATTTGGCGTGACAAATTTAAGGAACTCTGGGTCAAGATTTGGAAGCCGCCCCATCCAGAGTTTGCACCTACCAAGTCATCTAAGCAATAGAACTTCTTTGTACAAGCGGTCTACCACATAACGTCTGGTTGGATCTAAAAAGTAAAGCATGCCCTTAACGATTCCAAAGTATGTCCAGTCTCCATCAGATTCTTACTCCTTAACGTACGTAAATGGTCAATATTCAGACGGGCCCGTTCGCTATTCTTCTCGGTTTCTTGGTCCCGCAGATAGGGCGCAGATGCACGAACTGGCGTCTCTGCAACAACAAGAGATCCTTTCATGTCTTGACTCCTTCCACCGCATTACGGACTCCTACTGCCATAGGCTAGAGACGTGGGTACGCGAAAACCCGGCGGAATATGAACGGTTCCTAATAAGGCTTGCTTCGCAGTTCAACCTGTCTGTCGACGATAGCAGAATATACAGTCTTGCGGCCGACTCTGTCTCTCGCCTACCTAGCATGTACTCTGGAAGTACGCCTAAAGTGGGTAGAAGTAACTACAACAATCCTCAGTTGCGCCCAACGAGTGGCAAGGCCCTTCGCGATCCCCAGCGTACCATTATTCCTCTACAGGTAAACTCTCCACAACCGAGTAAGTCAGCTCTCGGTTTCCGAACTGGCTCTCGGGCAAGAAGCCCTTCGGGGTACATAGAGCAAAGGCATTATGTTAGCAAGAACCAGCTTGGTACTTCTTCGCCAGAAGGTGTTGTGTCCCTGAGGGTGCACTTTAAGGCCTCAAGCTCTCATGGATCTAGGGTCTCGAAAATCAAATAAAAATGGCCACTGCCTGCTCGCTCTATGAGCTTCTTCGAGACCGGAAAAGCATAACGTGTAAGGCTGCCGCAGAGGCTCTTAGTGTGCCGCACGGAGAGCTGATCTCCTGGATGAAGTCACTGGAGGCTAATGAGGTGCTGAAGACGGAGCTCATAAAGACGACCTGTATCGTCTTGACCAAAGACGGAGTGGCCACTCTCCAAGGAGGATCTTACGAGTATCGTCTTGCGTCAAAGCTGAATGATCTTGCCACTTCTCACCCGCAAGGTCAAGGAGGCCTTGTCAAGAAAAGTGAGCTCTCTAAATACTTCAGTGAGGGAGACTTTATGGTCGGAGTGGCTGGCTGCATGCGTGCTAAATGGATACGGATAATTAGCAGTGGTAAGAAGGACCCCGATCCCGGCTACGAACTATGTCTTCCTTTGGCAGACATCTCTGATGACACGCAGGCCCTGCTATATGGTCTTGTCATCCCTGGGACAACTGACCTCGTTCAAGAGAAGATTGACGATGACCTCTTCAAGCAACTGAAGCAACGGAAGCTCGTCACCACTGCAGAGCTCAAGCACTTTGTCATCTCAAAAGGAGAGAAATACGAAGCGGGTATGAAGAAGCTTAGCCCGGACTTGACCATTGAAATGGTAAGGCAGCACTTTTTAAACAATCCTTCGACCGAAGCTGCAGCCAAAGCGGGAACACCGTCATTTGGCTTTAGTATTAAGCCCCTGAATTTCGAGTCTCTTGGCTCGGTGCCTCATGCAGGTGCCTTCCACCCGCTGATGGAAATGCGAAGACTATTCGTCGAGGCGTTTGTTGGAATGGGTTTTGAGCAGATGAAGACACCAAAGCTGGTTGAATCTAGCTTCTGGAACTTTGACGCTCTCTTTCAGCCACAAAGCCACCCTGCTAGAGACTCACAAGACACGTTCTTTGTAGGCGGACAGTACTCTCAAACCAGGAGAGACTCTCTCGATGCTGAGCTTGTAGAGCGGATCAGGACGGCACACGAAAGCGGAGGAGAGGCTATGCGCTCCAAGGGATACAGATATGTCTGGAAGGTATCAGAGGCTCTTAGGAACGTTCTCCGCACGCACACTACTGCCGTCTCAGCCCGTGTGCTTTATGAAATAGGTCAGCATTATCAGAAAACGGGCGAGTTTAGACCACGCCGCTTCTTCTCTATTGACAGGGTTTATCGCAACGAGACACTTGATGCCACCCACCTTTGTGAGTTTAACCAGGTGGAAGGAATGGTTATTGACCGGAATCTGACCCTTGGAAACCTTATCGCGACTCTCCGTGCCTTCTTTGCTCGCCTTGGGATGACTCAGCTCAAGTTTAAGGCAACCTACAACCCCTACACGGCACCGTCCATGGAAATTTTTGCATTTCACCCCCAGCTAAAACGCTGGGTAGAGGTGGGTAACTCTGGACTCTTCCGGCCGGAAGTGCTCCTGCCCCTTGGCCTCCCCGAAGATGTGCAAGTCCTGGCTTGGGGCCTTAGCCTAGAGAGGCCAACCATGATCGTTCATGAGATTTCTAACATACGCGACTTAATAGGCCCAAGCACAAGCCTAGAGCTCATCCGAGAGTACCGCGTATTTACTCCCGCACACGCCTCCCTCTGAGACTCCTTTAAAGTAAATAAAATAAAGCAATCTATCTATCCGAATTCCTTATGTTGTGTTTCGTAGACAACTGGAGGAAGTTCCCAGCTGAGCATGAACTGCCGTAGTACCTCCTCCTTCTCTTCGTACTGGCTTGTGCGCTTAGTTAGGTATGCGTTGTATGCATTGATGACACCCTGGAGGACTCCAATTCGATCTTCGCTTATGTTGATCTCGTACCGGAGTTTATAGATGAGGTTGTCACAGTCGATACACCGTTCATCATAGTTCTTTAACCAGTTGCGAATCTGAAACTCAGAGCGGCGCTTGTTTCGCTGAATGTCTACTACATTATCTCTATGCTTCTTACATAAGTCTGCAACTTTCCGCTGGAGCTCAAGTATCTTTGGCATTATATCACCAATTCGTTTTGAGTACGACTCCTGGCTCTGTGTCTCCAATCCCGAAGACTCCTCTATCAACCTGGTTGTTTCGTTGTCTGCATTGACAGCGTTAGTAGTTAGTAACTCGTTTATGGTAGCCAAGTGCAGAGCAACCCTCTCTTCAGCCGACTGACATTGCCCCATCGTGATATCCAGCTCCCGGCGGAGAGATTGAAGATGTGCCAAATTTGTGCGCTCAGAGGCCGCCAAAGCCGCAAGCATGGTCTTCTTCTGCTTCTCTTGGTCAGCACTCGTCATCATGTCAATGGAGACAACGTGATGCAGGGACTTGAGAATAGCAATTAGATCATTGATACTGGCATAGTTTTGGGCTGCTTGATTGGGGACAAGTGTGCCCGTTTGACTCTGAGAGAGGACTTGAGCGTGGTCCCCTGCTACAGAGGCAGTAGCAGTGGAGCGTCCTGCAGCTCCTCCAAGCACAGCCGCCTGAGGCTGCAGCAACACAGGCTGAACCCCCGCCTGCTCCAACTTGGGAATGAAATCCAGCTCACCCGCTAACAAAACTATTAGCTGCTTCACAGCCTTCTGAAACATATCCGTGGCGCCTTCTATCTTCCGCTGAATAGACTTAAGTCGTGCTTTGAAGCCTGCTGCCTTCACAGAAGCCAACTCTGTGCGCAATGATTCCAGTGTAGTGCGAGTTTGTTGATATTTCCGCATAGCAGTCGACAACTCCTTGCCCAGCAAACCATCAAAGTCTAAGCCTAAAGTAAAGAGAGTTGGATTGACACACATTACCCGCTCAAGCACGTCTATAGTGTCCTGTATTACCGCCAAGCACCGACATGCCTCGACGGCAATCAGCTTGTTCATACCTGAAGCGTTTTTTAAATTTTGCGATTTCCCTGCTTCAATACCGGAGAGTCTACGAGGGCATTAGGAACAGACACAAACCGAACTTCAGATCCTCTCAGCATAACCGTTTGTGCTGTTTCCTTTTGACCCGTAGGGTGTGTTATTGTGCAGTTCGAAATAGTAACCGAAAGCGTTGGTTCTACAGACACAAGCTTTCCTTCATATATGCTACCTGTCCTGGTTTCTACGGACACACACATATCAATTGCCTCAAAAAGAAGCTGAATCGGAGCCGTTATGGTCATTTAATTTTAGCCTGCAAATTCTTGCTATTGAGAGTCAAAACTGACAAAGCAAGGTTTTACTCAGTGGTGTCTTTGTTTCCACGCTCGGGGCGGGGCTCTTCGGGGCGTTCCTTCCCTGGACGTAGGGCGCAGATTTGGGCTAAAAAAGAAGACGCGGGAAGGGGCAAATAAAAATGTCTGGCAAGGGTAAGGGTAAGGGCTACGGCAAGTCGAAGCGCCACTCGAAGGAGAAGGACACGCTCGGGGGCATCACGAAGCCCGCCATCCGCCGTCTGGCGCGCCGTGGAGGTGTGAAGCGCATCTCCTCGACGATCTACCAGCAGACCCGCGAGGTCCTCAAGGCGTTCCTCGAGGTCGTTCTCCGCGACTCCCTCACATACACAGAACACGGCCAGCGCAAGACGGTCACGTCCCAGGACGTCGTCTACGCTCTCAAGCGCCAGGGCCGCACACTCTATGGATTCGGGATCTAATTATAGTAAACAGTCTGTCTCCCCGTAGCTTCTGTAGTCGCACCCGCTGGGGTCAAGGACGTCTCCTTCGAGTGGGCAGAGGATCCTGATGGCGGGTGTGTGTCCCCGGCTCGCCGCATACATCAAAGCGCAGCGCCCTGCTGCATCAATTGCTCCGTGCTCCAGAGGGGCAAGCACATGCACAGATGCCATCTGGCCACAGAGGACGGCCTCGATCAGCGCTGTCCGGCCACGGTTGTTCCGGAGCCCTGCTTCAACGGTGACGAGCTGGCAGACCGCAGCCGTGGCGCCCACGACCGCGGCGCACATGAGGGCTGTCCACCCCTCTACCGTTTGAGCGCGGGCCTCGTAAAGAAGGAGCGCCTCAACACCCTCCACGTAGTTTGAGGCGGCGGCCACCATCAGGGCCGTCTCGCCGCGCTTGTTCTGCAGCCGCGCTTCAGTCCTGAGAAGACTGAGAGCATCTGTAGCCCAGAACCGCGCCGCATAGATCAGGGCAGTGTCTCCATCGAAGTCCTGCCTGCCGTGCTGGAAGGGGAGAAGCCTATCGATGCAGCCAACGCGGTTGTTTGCCGCCGCAGCCATTAGAGCAGTGCGCCCCCGACTGTCTGCGATGTCCGCCTCTGCCCCCACGAGGAGGTTGAGGAGCTGATGCATACCGCGTTGCGCCGCCAGGAAAAGAGCTGTGCAGCCTTGGGCGTCGCGGCCTCCGGCGTCTGTTCGCATCCGCTGGAGAACCATGGCCTCGTCGCACGAGAAGATTGCGTGCTGTAGAGGGCTGCGGCGGAGAGTGTTGTGGACCAGCTCAGACCGCAGCTTCTGACGGATACACGGATGTGTCGCAAGCATCGATAGAGCGGTGCGCGCCACAGGGTCCGGCTGGAGCATGCCAGCCAAGACTCCGTGCAGCTCGTCCGAGTACGACAGACCAAGAAAGTGGCCTCGGAGATGTGCCTGGGCGTCAATGGTGCAACGCGTCTTTCCGCTGGAGAGATAAACACGCTATTATCTTACGCTTTTGCTCTGACTTAGCCATGGTCCATCAAAGCCCAAGGGAACGTTTTCTTGAAAAGCCTGACTGCCCCAGGGGCTGCTGAATCTTACAAGGTGACTCTCGGTTGCAATTAACTAGTGTCTTGGTGAGGGACACATTATGCTCATATGGCGTAGAAAGAGCCAAAAATCCCCTTATGCCAGAAGACTCTCACTGTCCCAACCTTTATACTATGCAGCGCGTCACCTTTACTGTTAGCAAGAATACAGACCTCTGTGGGCAAGATATCCATAATATTCACTTCCAGAGCTTACCACAAGGATCTATTGACGCATGGAGACAGCGGCTCACATTATACATCTCTAAGCCCATCCATCCGCTTGTAATGAATTATGCAATTAATGAAGAGTCTGTTCCAGAGGTCATACAGCTTCGGCTTCTACTCCCCTATTCTCCAATTGCTGACACCAAAGACCAGTCCATTTCCATGCGTGTGAGGCTTTGTTGGAGACTTATAGCTTCTGTTGCTGCTCTCTATAGTGAGCTTGATAAGGAGTTTCTCTGTCCTGCAGCTCTCTTCGACACCCTGCCGGTCGAGGAGCTGGACCCTGCGCATTTTTCATACGATAAAGAGATTGACCTTTTTCGGGTTCTCTTACACCCTCGAGTAGCCCTGGAACCTCCTAGGGATAACATCTGTGTATCCTCGCTTGTTGTCGGGCCCTGCTCAAGTCCTGAAGTTCTTCATGGGGGGCCAGGAAGTACACAGTCGGTTATGTGGTCTCTCGGATGTCTGTTATACAGAATCTGTAATGGCAGCTATCCATTTGGAGACGATAGATCACAGGTGCTTCCGGCCATTCTTTCAACTCTTGGTCCTAGCGCCTTACCAAAGCGTGCATCGACTTTGGTGGAGAAGGTTCCCCTAACTTTGCGGCCGTTAGTGGCACAGCTCCTAGCATACAGACCCTCCGATAGGCCAACTCCTACCAAACTTCTCTTGCATCCCAAAGTTTGTGACCTTCTATCCAAAGTTCCCTTTGCTAGTCGCACCCTTCTTCGTTCTATACCCATTGGATCTCTTTTAGAGCCTCCTCTCGATGTACCGCAGCCTCTTGTTTTACCTTCCTGGTTGCAGAAGCCTCTGACAGGCCGTTCTGATGGATTATCTTCTCTAATTGAAAACTCTCTAGAAAGCATACTCTTGGATCTCCCAGACTACCTACCCATAGCGCACTGTGGATTCAACGGAATGTGTGAAGGTTTTGTTCTCAAAAATCGTAGCACAGGTATCCGTGTTTTCTGCAAAGTATATCGTATCGGAGATGACTCTGTGTTGCAGAATGCTATAACTGAATATTTTGCAGAATTAGCTTCAATATCGCATCCATATATTGTGCCCTTGTCCTTTGGAAAGATCAGCTCCTTAAACACCTACGCCTATGAGGCCGTGGAGGCCGCTTCCCTTCACCGTCTCAGCGACGTCGTAGGAACTCTGGACAGGGGAGGTCTCTGTGAGCAGAAGGTCTGGAGCCTACTTATTGCCGTTGTCGATGTGCTCTGCATGCTCCAGACGCGCTCTGACGGCCCCCTCTGTCACCATGCTATCCGCCCGTGGGCGCTTTATTTGACCCAGGAAGGGGATCTGCGCCTTCTTGACACAGGGTCTGCTCTGCGCTTCGCCAAGAAGCTTACGCAGCCATCTCGCTGCGGACACTTGGCTTTGGACAAGGGTCTGGATCCCTTCACTGCACCTGAACTTCGTCCTGGCAGCGCCCAGTCATGGGTTGGAGGCTCCCGGGCAGACCTTTGGGAGCTGGCACAAACAATTTGCCACCTCTGCCGCGGAGATATCATTGCTTGCTCGACACTGGATGACGCCCAGGCACATCTCCGAGGCCACTTTCTTGGTCTGTCGTACTCGGACGAGCTGCACGGAGTCTTGGCTGGCATGCTCCAGCCGGACCCTGTGGCGCGCACCGCTCTATCGATGCTTGCGACACATCCGTGTATCCGTCAGAAGCTGCGGTCTGAGCTGGTCCACAACACTCTCCGCCGCAGCCCTCTACAGCACGCAATCTTCTCGTGCGACGAGGCCATGGTTCTCCAGCGGATGCGAACAGACGCCGGAGGCCGCGACGCCCAAGGCTGCACAGCTCTTTTCCTGGCGGCGCAACGCGGTATGCATCAGCTCCTCAACCTCCTCGTGGGGGCAGAGGCGGACATCGCAGACAGTCGGGGGCGCACTGCTCTAATGGCTGCGGCGGCAAACAACCGCGTTGGCTGCATCGATAGGCTTCTCCCCTTCCAGCACGGCAGGCAGGACTTCGATGGAGACACTGCCCTGATCTATGCGGCGCGGTTCTGGGCTACAGATGCTCTCAGTCTTCTCAGGACTGAAGCGCGGCTGCAGAACAAGCGCGGCGAGACGGCCCTGATGGTGGCCGCCGCCTCAAACTACGTGGAGGGTGTTGAGGCGCTCCTTCTTTACGAGGCCCGCGCTCAAACGGTAGAGGGGTGGACAGCCCTCATGTGCGCCGCGGTCGTGGGCGCCACGGCTGCGGTCTGCCAGCTCGTCACCGTTGAAGCAGGGCTCCGGAACAACCGTGGCCGGACAGCGCTGATCGAGGCCGTCCTCTGTGGCCAGATGGCATCTGTGCATGTGCTTGCCCCTCTGGAGCACGGAGCAATTGATGCAGCAGGGCGCTGCGCTTTGATGTATGCGGCGAGCCGGGGACACACACCCGCCATCAGGATCCTCTGCCCACTCGAAGGAGACGTCCTTGACCCCAGCGGGTGCGACTACAGAAGCTACGGGGAGACAGACTGTTTACTATAATTAGATCCCGAATCCATAGAGTGTGCGGCCCTGGCGCTTGAGAGCGTAGACGACGTCCTGGGACGTGACCGTCTTGCGCTGGCCGTGTTCTGTGTATGTGAGGGAGTCGCGGAGAACGACCTCGAGGAACGCCTTGAGGACCTCGCGGGTCTGCTGGTAGATCGTCGAGGAGATGCGCTTCACACCTCCACGGCGCGCCAGACGGCGGATGGCGGGCTTCGTGATGCCCCCGAGCGTGTCCTTCTCCTTCGAGTGGCGCTTCGACTTGCCGTAGCCCTTACCCTTACCCTTGCCAGACATTTTTATTTGCCCCTTCCCGCGTCTTCTTTTTTAGCCCAAATCTGCGCCCTACGTCCAGGGAAGGAACGCCCCGAAGAGCCCCGCCCCGAGCGTGGAAACGAGAACAACCATATAGATAGTGCTACGGTTAAAGGGAACATGAGCTAGGATGCTAGGGCACGAAGAAAGCAGAATTCGCGGTAGGATTTCCACATTGGCCAAAAAAACTACTATACTTGTCAATACGAAAGCATGAGTAGCAACCGCAAACTTAAAGGATGTAAGCCTCGGGAATACATTGCGTTCTCGGCAGACGCTATGTATCCATTTCTTGCTTTCTGTAAACATATAACTCAGACACAGAAATGTTGATGGAAGGACAAGCAAAAACCGTGGAAGATTTGTGATTTTCCAGTAGTTAAAGAGACCAACACCCCAGTACTTATTCTGAATATTCGAGTAGATTTTAGAGACATTCTTCAAGGGTATACACATTTCATAATACTGCTCCAATCTTCTTTTCAGCGGAAGAAGAACGGATAGAAAATAATACCCACTAAGGATAAGCTCTCCTATGGGCCTGGACAAGAAAATTACACCAAACATAAAGTATCCTGCATGAAATACGGCTGTATTTCTAACCAGTCCCATCAGCATGCCTATCAGTACAAGCGCAACATAACCAAGTACCTGTACCTTTTTATTGTAAAGAGTCATGGAGCTGTACACTAAAAGAAACATTACGCTCAGACATCCAAACAGGGTTTCTGTGTATGGAACTGTTTCAAACACAGCTATTGGTGAAAAAATGAGGAGGAAGTGGAGCTTCCTTATAGTTTGCGGTGTGAAAGCTTCTCCAGCCAATCGATTCAGGTGCCAGCATAACTTAATCTGGAGTACTGCATTTATGATCCGTAGCACTCCGTTCAATGCGAGGACACCCTTGATGCCAATCTCACGAAGCAAGAAGGGCAAGGCAGGGAAGAATGCAAGACGAGCTTCCGTGCTATAGCCGCCGCCCGCTATCCTTAGAAACCATTCGACATCCCACGATAGAAAGACGCGAATAACACCCATCCGCTTATCGTAGACTGGTATGTGCGGGGGGATTAGGCTACTCAGAAACAAACATGTATACGGTATCAGTGTTCTTAGGAGTAGCACCACATAGATAGAGTCTATAGACCATGTAATCATAAATTCTTTAGCTGACATACAATTCAGTAGATAATCTACAGCTAAACTATAACTAGAGAGTTCTTTGCGGGAGGAGGTGCACTAATGTACGTTAGAAGCTTAGCAGTGAGCTCCTCCCTGTTAGCTTCTGGGGCAAGACTTATGGCACGCCGCGCATATTCTTCACCTTCGTATTCAGCCAAGACATCTACACAAGACATATGACCATTAACTGCGGCTAAAACTAGAGCGGAGTTGCCCCACCTGTCAACCAATCCGTGCTCCTGTTGTACCAAAATACTCACACATTCTAGCCGCCCTCCCCTTGCACTAAGCATCAGAGCAGTTGTACCATTATCTGTCGTCATCCGTGCCTCGTCCTTGACCAACAGGGAGACAATCGACGGATAACCGCACGCAGCAGCAGCCATAAGGGCTGTTCTACAATGATTCGCAGTTGATGCACGAGCCTCGCAGTCTTGTAGCACCCTAATCACTGCGTCATTGCCTTCGGATGCGGCAAGCATCATTGATGTCGGCGATGAATAGAGAAGGTTTGCCACATCTCTGTCACACTTCAGCCGCATTCCTCCCTCATGGGGAAGAAGAAGTTCGACAACTTCTGAGCGACCTAGGATGGCAGCATGGGCCATTGCAGTTAGTCCATTTTTATCATAGCTCTTAGCGTGCCTTACAAGAGCTTTGACGGCATTCAGATTGTTGTCCTTTATTGCATTGATAAGGCCGTCATGTGTATCTTTATAATTTCCCGGGATTTTCAATCCACGTGCTTTGGAACTAGATTTTTTCTTAGCTCCGGACGTAGTTGAATCGAGAAGATTACTGTCACCATTCTGTATTTGAGCTTGTAGATCTCTTTCCCTTTTAAGGATGCAGCTGGGCACCTTTTCCCCTGGAAACATTCTTTTGAAGTCTTCTGCAGTCAATGCCGGAAGTGAAGTAGTCACTGGCTGCTTTTGCTCACCAGACAGGCCTCCATTGACACCATCGCCACAGGCTGCTATGGTTACAGTTACACTTCGTCCGGCTATCTTCTCTTGCATTATCCTTTGAATAAACGGCAGTTGAAGTAAATCTCCGGCTGTAATCCTGTCTTCCGGTCTAATAGCCAAAGTAGATTCTAAAAAATACGCTACCTCACTGGGAAAAGACGAGGTATCCGGCGGGGTCCAAGTGGAAAAGTAGTCTACTGCATCTGGCCCATATGGGGGTACTTTAGGCTTTCTAGATGAGAACATCTCTAGGGCGATAATGCCCAGAGACCATATATCGGAGGCAGGAAGATGCTTGTAGGTCTGCAACACCTCTGGAGCGAGGTATGACAGGTACCCTTGAATGGACTTGAACTTGTCCCGTTGCTTCTGAGCATTTTCCAAATCCAGAATAAAAGTGCTCATGGTTGCCGTGCGGCAGATGCATGGATCAGTAAGAAGCGTAGAGCCTCCTTCCGTAAGCAAAATGTTTCCAGGGTGTACGCCGCCGTGATAAAGTTGGCGGATTGGTTTTTGGGTGCCAGCAGCAGTGGTATACTTCTCTGTTTTGTAACTACCGTGAAGGTAGGCAAGAGCAGAAATTACCGGAGACAGTAGTCTCCACAGCTCTACCGGGGTCAGAGGGGTTTTGGATTCTTTACGCTCGACCATCCAATCTCTAAGGGATCCTCCGCGAACAAATGTCATGGGGAGATAAAAACGCCCCGTTGCAATCCCGGAAGTCAGCTTGTCGTATGAAAGCAAATACTGGTTCTTAAGCCCAAGGAGAAAAGAGATCTGCTCTATATACACGCCTTTGCTCCGATCAATCTTCACTCGGTCACCTTCCGGGTAGTCAGCTGACGTTTTTGCCTTCGAATCCTCCGAAATGTAAAATTCTTCCTGAACAAATCTGACTGCCACCACTCTGCTACTAGACGTATCGCTGCATTTGCTGGTCCTGGATGCCTTCACATCACCCAAGATAGTCTCATATTTGTAGCGACGTGGCAAGGCAGCAAATTGCATTTTTGTTTTTTAGGAAGTCTAAAACTTTCCCTGCCTCCTTACGGACCGCCGTCCCTGCAGGGAATGGTCTATCAGAAAATAAAATGTTATATGAACGCTTTACCTCGCAGGTGCGAAATCTAGAGTCAAAGGATGACCGATGCCTGGCTGTGGAAAGAGAGGTTGCACCATCAATGCGCATTGTGCGCGCTGGATACCTAGCAAGTGAGAAGGCTTGCCGTAGAATGCGTGCTGCTTTGCTCAAACTTATCTTGGCAGACACGATTTCAGACAATATCGACGGGGGTTTGATAAATAACCCCTCGCGTATTCAGGAAGTTATACCCATGGCTGCTTCACTGTTAGCACGGCCCGCCATCCAGGACAAGGTGGTGGGGATTTTAGCACTCGAGTATGCAGACCCGCCGCTAGTTATATGGGAACACTTTCTCCTTAACTCAGTCTGCAGGGAACTGAGCACGTCTGGCTCTAGTGACGGAGCACGAATAATGCTCGGATATCTCGCTAGGAGTATGCCACGAACAGAATCCTTGATTGAAGCTGTTGTTCCCGAAGCACTGTCTTTACTTAGAAAAGGCGGCCCTCAGACAATTGTCCCCTGCTATGTATTCTTAGGATCCCTCACTGACTACAAAAGTCAATTTTTGAGGGTCTCGTTTGCTAAGGCCATACACGCTATTGAGGACGATATGGATCTTATTGAGTCCGGGAGTCTTTCATGGAAACTTATACAGGGCTCCGTTTTCTTCGCAACACGCTTATTGTCCACTGATTACTACTCCCAGCTTGTTACTGACACATACCTGATGAAGCTTCTAAATGTATGGGACAACATTACAGAAGGTTCCTGGCCACGGTCGTTCGATTTCTATCATGGAGTGCTTAATCCATTCCTTCAGCTTGCAGTGATAAAGCTTCTAGGCTCCCAGATTTCTCGTCTCCCATCCGAGGCAATTGCCACTTTTCAGAAGGTAATCTGGAGATACCTGCGTGCTCCCAGAATGCAAGTTACAGAGGGGCCTGATAACTCGCCGGATGAGCATTACAGCAATATCCGGGCAGGTATGCTAATAGAATGCAGCATGACGGTCATTCTTAACAGATGTCTTCACACGCCTGAGCTCCTGGAGGATGTCTTCCCAAGGATTTTTCATCTCGTTGCATCGCCAGGAGGGAAGCGTTCTCTCATGATAGGCTTTAACAGGCTAGCCGACGTCCTGCAAAGTTCTCCAGACCTCTCTGTTTATCTTCCTAAGTTGAGACCTACTATCACGCCCATTATTTCCAACCTTGCAAACGGCAGCGATAACACAGTTGCACATGCAGGCTGCCGTCTGGCGCTGGCATTGATGGAGACTAACATGTTAAATCCTCAGGTAGTGGTTCTAGCGGTAACTCAGTGCATAGATAGATTTTCATTCGACTATGAGACAAAGACAAAGTTTCTGATGGAGGCTGTAGACCTTCTGCGAACACGGCTGACCTCTAACCCAGAGACAACTACAATGATGATATTCTTTGTAATCAATAAGATGGGTTTCTTGTCCCTCAGTTGGATGAGAGAGACAGCAGGTTTCTGTTATAGAGAATACGGCTGTGATCCAGCAAAGGCCCCCGGCATCCTCACCTTGTTTGGTCGAGCGCTACACCAATATCACAGCTATAATGTCTTGCTAATCGTCTTACTAACTGTAAGCGAGATGCTTTATTCTTCCATTGACATCTTTCTGACTTCGACAGCAACGTATATTAGCCTTGACAATCTTCGAAATGTCTTTCAGCAGATTGCAGCCACGTACACCGACACGCACATGGGAAGGCAGGCGATCATTCGCGATGGATATGCTACTTTGTGCCTAGTTATCCTTGCCCTCAACAGTGCATCTCTTGAGCCTATAGAGACTTTGGTGCAGTCTCTAGGATTGCACACATCATCTACCCAGCAGACAACTCTGAAAAAACTACTCAGCGAGTCGCGCACTGCAGAAGATGCCCTCTCAATGCTGCGTAACGATGTTCTTTTAAGTGTAGATAAAGCATTTACTTTAGAGTCGAACGGATGGTTGATAAACTAATTATCGTTCAATATAACAGCTGTTCCTTGAAGAACCCAGAGAGACTCGTGCTCGGTTGATGAAAGATCGGCACTGAACACAAGGCCTTTGCCTGCTGCATTCGTTCTGGCAGTGGTGACATAAACAGGGGCCTTAAACTGACCACGCAGTTTGATCCGCGAGGCCTCAGCTGGAACTATTTGCACAAACGGAAGCTGAGTTATCAGCTCCTTTTTGTTGCTGAACGCTAGACAATCTCTCGCTGTATCCCATGTGGCGCCCTCCAAGAACAATCCACTAACATAGCACCCAAACTCCAGCTTCTCCGGAGGCTCATCCAGACTAGTAAGCTTAGTTACAGTGGTGAAGAGCGAGCTTTTATCAAGAGGCCATTTCTTGATACGACTTGTGATCTGCACCAGTGCAGTTAAATATGACTCGGGAATGTGCAGACCACTCAACCACATGACTGCAGGTTCTCCTTGGGTGTACCACAGCTTGTACTGGTCTGCGCGTCGCATCAGATGCTGGATCCAGTTGCTAAGCATCTTTAGCGTTTGGGGTGCAAACCTTAACCATCCTTGAGGTATCTGACCGATAAAGAATGAGTTCGCTATGTTATCCAGCTGCTCACTCATACCTATTTCACCTGCCAACGCTTTTAGAAGTTCGCTGATGCTGTTAGCAATGGTCACAACAAGCATATTGAAGCGCTCCATCTCCTGGAGGAGTACGATGTCCGTGGGCGTGAGGACCTTGAACTTCTTTCGTGCTTGGCTCATATCAAATGGACCAGGGATGCGGTTTTCGAGGGACTCGCAAAGGCTCTTTAAATAGTCTTCTCTGGAGCCAGACTCTCCCGAGGCGCTCCGTGGTTGCAGCTCAGCCAGGCAGACGCACATCTCTCGTGCAGATGTCTCTAGATACGAGATTTCTGCGTTGCTGTGTAGTCCGAAAACCTGTGGTGACGTTAAAAGCGGGATGCGATTAATATAGAACGTCTCGTAGCAGTCCTTAAGAGATGTCGTTTCCTTGAGAACATTATTTATGTATTCTGTGACGTGTACTTCGTTAGTAGCAGACATCTGCGGGGTCCACCCTGGAAGGCCAGCGGCACCATATTTGCGGATGCTGTACTTGACCAGCTTAGTTATCATTTCCGTAAGGACGACTACCTGGTTACCACTGTTTTCAATCAATACTATTGGGGGAGGCGCGTAATCAAAGTCCGTGTCACCCTGCGCAACTGCCTTTTTGTAGTAGAAGCTAAAGGGATTGTGGGTATCAAATAGGAAGTCTCCTAGATACTCGTCCATGTATACAGACAGAACCCTCCTATCATAGTTGTCTGAAACACGCCCACCGTACATGCAGAGCCCGATTAAATACTTAAGGCTTCCCCACGGGATGTCCTTGCCGGCAAGGTATGTCTTTGTTAGAAACGTCTTAAGAATCTCAAACGATATGGTGAAGTCGCTGGCGTTGAAATCATAATTGACATTCCATCCCAACTTTCCAAACTTCTGTCGTTCCTGGATGGTTGCGTGGAAGAAAGCAAGGGTGTACACCAGAGGCTTAAAGTACGGCGACGGGCACTCCATTATCTGGTCATCTGTTATCTTGGAAAACGTTTGGACCATATTTAGTTTGAGAGACGACGGAGGCTCCGTTGTCACCTTGATGCTGTTGCTCACAATCGACAGAGGAAAGTCGGTTGTAGGCTCCGTGGTGAGGAAGATGCGAAAATCGGGGTTAACCTGCTTGTTAATTTGATTGACAACTTGATTGTCTATTAGCTCCTGAGGAATCGGTTGTCCAGTGTTCTCGGACTCCAGCTTCGCTGCCTCAAATATCTGATTCTGCATCTGAATGACCTGCTCTGCATTCATGGGTCCTTCCAGAATCTTCTCAAGGGTTTTGAGCCATTTGGGAAGCAGGTGACAATTCATCAAAAGTACCCAGTGGCCCCGGGAGATGGCTTGCTTAAGATATGCCTCTGCCACAGGGCTCTGGCCCTGTCCGAGCGCCACAAACTTAAAGCGGGATCCGTAAAAGTCTTGCTTTTGTGCCAGCTTAGTTATCTCGATGATGGGATCTGATCCAGGCGACAAGATAAATAACATGGGTGTTGACCTACTGGATTGTGCATAGATGTTCTCATAGATAGTGATTGGTGGGCTCACGAACTTCTCACCGAGGACGCTGGCAACAAAGAGCTGCACCGCAATATACACACGATCTGGTCTCAGGCAGCGAAGAATACATAGCTTCTGCAGATCTGTTATGAAAGGGTTGTCACTATAAACTCCTGGGAGCGGCAGAAGCTCCGGTCTGTCGTCCTCCCAGTATGCCTTCCACTCATTCGCATTGGTTTTGTTGATGTTCTCTAGCAGATCCTTGAAGATATCACAGGTCTTGGTAGGGTACTTCTTGCTTAGTTCATTATCTAAGATGTCGTTTCTCCTTGCCTTCACTGTTCCTATGAATGTCTCCTCACGGCTTTGGTCGATCTGCAGGGAGCTGAAGATACTCTGAAGCTTCACCAGGTCTTTCCAGCCACTTGCACTTATCCATTGGTGATTGCACACAACGGTACACTGATCCAAACTTATGTCCCCCTTAATGAAGAACGAGAGCTCCGCACTTGGAATAGTATCTGGAGGATACTCAGTGGTAATGATGCTCGTACACAATTGGAAGCTGAACATGAGCTTGTGCCGTTCAAAAAGAGAGGTAGTGACATAGGAATAGACATTTTCAGTGAGCTTGTCAATAATGTAGTTTAACCGCACCTCCACTACCGGGTCTGTCTGGGCTTCTGCCAAGGATTTTGAGAAAATATCGTTGAATGCCTGAAGAGAGTACTGGTACATGGCGCTGATCGTACCCAAACCATACATAACGAAGAAGCAGCATGTTCCGCGCAAGGCAGCCGCAGAGTACTGGTTGCGTGCTACGTTGATCTCCTCTGCAGTGACAGTCATAACCTCCAAGTTAGCCTGAAGCTCTGTTGCTTTGCTCTTTGTCTCCTCCAAGGTTTGGATGAGGCTTGTGTTGTCAACTATAACGCCTGTTGCCGAAGAAAGCTCTCTGAGAAGCGTTTCCTCAAGAGACTTCAGCAAGGAGTTGGCCTGTGACATGTTCTTAACAAGGTTCATTCGCTTTGATTCCAGGTCTGGCCTCTCTCGGCGAACAACTGCGTTCAGAAGCTGACTCTCGAGACCGGACTCGGTGACAAGGTGATTCACCACCGTGACTAGACCGAACATGTCGGGAGAGAGAGACGGGTTGGGAAGCTTTGTCGTCATGAATAGCCTGAAGTTCATGTCATAGTCAACCTCCTTGTCGCCCAGAATGATGTACTTCCGACCAGAAGAGTCGCGTATGTCCTTCTCAAGAATTGGGGTTAGAATCGGATCCAGCTGCTCTGCACAGTTCTCCAGAAGGAAAGGAGACCCATAGGTAATTGCTAGCTCCAGTTGCTTTACAACGTCGTCGTCATTAACAGACCGAACAATGAGCTTCGACCCCTTCTCCTTTTCCTTTATCCACCTGTTAACCTGAAGCTGTGGGTCGACAACGTACGGCCACTTTGGTGTTCGCGTTATTAGCACACCATTTTGTACAGATAGGTCATCGCTTGGAAGACCGTCACTATTCCACTTCAGGATCTCCACATCTGTAGTCAGTAAGAGCTCTGGCTTGTAGGACCGGTTGACCAAACGTTTCTTAGTCTGCTGCTGAGTCTCCTGATCGATCTCATATGTCTCTGTTACTTCGATGGACGATGGAATGTGCTTATCAACAACTTCTAAACACCAGTGTTCATAGACAAGTTTCAATCGATATTCGTAGGTGAAGCTACCAGAGTAGGACAAATTGGCTGCTGCAACAAGGCAGTCGCCCACGAGTTTTCTCCGGTTTTCCCGGAGTTTGTCTGCAGCTTGGCCCCATCGTACCTTCTCAGTGCCCAGCCCAGCAATGAGCCGCTTAGCAGCATCGAGTCGCTTGGCCATAAGGGCAGCGCTATCTGCCAACTCCTGTTGCTCATTTTGTGCAGCCTGCAACTGATCGCGTAGGCGTTTGGAGTCTTCCTCTAATGATAAGATCTTGCTTTGAAGCTGGGCTAGGTCCTTGGAGCTCTGTTCAAGTTGCTCCTCAAGCTTAGCAACCCGCTTCTTCTTAGGTTCCACATCTTTCGCTACAGCGTAGTACTTGACCATGGCTGTAACCCAGTCATAGAGGCAGAGGCCTGCCTTTGACACCTTTTCGATAACCTCGCGCCCAAAGTCCTTCTTGCTGAGGTACTTGGTCTCTACATACTTCACTGTCTTGTCACGCAAAAGAGATTTGTCGAAGGTTTTGAGGTCAGAGATAAAATTACCGCTCATAAGGCTCTTGGCTTTCTGCCAGTTGGGGTCTGTGTCCTGCTTCATGAAAACAACAACACACTCCGAGATCTGACGGACTGCGTTGGGTGGGTTGGTGAAAGCCCTGATTTCTGCAATTGCTAACGGATCCAAGTTATTGAGTGCTTCCTCAGCAGCCTCTAGTGCAGGTATTGCGGCTGCCAGCTGCTCCTCTGCCTCTCCCTTCTCGACAGTGATTTCCTGCTCTTGAATCTTCAGTTCCTTTTCTGTCTCAGCCGCTTCCTTCTGGAGCTTAGCTGTCTCCACAGACTGCTTCTCAATAGCAGCGACCATTTCATTGCACGCCTTTGTCTTCTCTTCCAGAATAACAGACTGTTCGTTTAACGTTGTCTGGAGTTCAGTAACCTCAGACTCAGCCTGGGATAGTTTCTGCAGACCCTGTGAAAACCGATTGATGTCACCATCACAGTCCTGTCGCAGCTTTTGTAGCAGCGACAAATAACTCGTAAGAAAGTCAACAAAGTTCCGAGGTGTTACGAAATTACGGCGACGTATACGGGCCCAATAGGTCTCTGAAAGGTTGACTGTGTGGTTGTGGAACATGATGCATGTTTCTATTATGTTATTCAGCAGTTTCTTTTTCAGGTCAGCGAGTCTCTCCTTGTTGTTTAGAATGTCCTCTCCTTGAGGATCGTTCCCAGACACAAAGACGCTGTTCTCTACTATTTCCAGCTTCTGATGATCTGACAGTTCAAGAGCATAGCGAGCAACCGATCGGAGCGCATCGTCGTTCCACGCGCTGAACCAGTCTATGACGCAGGAACTCACGAGGCCAGGGAAGTTCCTACAGCGCACACGTAGCGTGTTTCCAACAGGGTTCATGGAAAGAACGACGTGGAGACGGTCACGGCAAGAGTTGACGAAATATGACCATAACGAGTCACGCGTGTCGGGGCACCCGTTGCTTAGGGCGTCTGCCCGCACTTGGTTTATGAATGCATCGCGCTCATCATCCGAGAACAACGCTGGAACTGAGCCTGTCGTTAGAATTGAGTTGATGTACTCTAAAAAGCTCTCCTCTGCAACATGCTGATCGGTGAACAAGAAGACAATCTGTTGGTCCTTATTCTTCGGAGGCGCTAAGCGACGATATATCTCTTTGAGATCCTCTTTAAATTCATTTTCACCATAGGAGCGGCTTAGTGTAATCTCAAATATCCCGTAGCCACACATGAACGCAGCAAGCTTAGTGAGGGAGCGTCTTCCAGATCCTCCATAACCAACAAGAAGCATTGAGCCCCGAGGAGTACGCAGCATGCGGTGTAGCTTAACCAAGTGAGAGAGGGCGTCGTCAAAGAGCACGATGCCCACAAGGGGAGGCCGCATAAAACGATTGTATGCTTCTAAACCCATTTGGCCGAGCTGACGCACAAGGCGGTATGGGTCATCCTCTGCACTAGCCTCCTTTTTGGGAGCTGTATCGACGACTGAAGTGGCCATGCTATTCAAATTGACCGTGCCATCCTCATTGAGGTCTTCCTCGCCGTCCCCTTCTTCTCGTTCCTCTATATTATCCACCACAGTAGCACCCTGGTCTGCCTCATCTGGTACAGCAGGGTCTGCATCACGCTGAATCGGATTTCCTTCAATCAGCTCTTCATACATCCTGAAGCATTTGTTCTCCGGGTCAACGCCCATCTTGACTGCCTCGTAGTTGTCTAGCAGCAGAGGCAACTCGCGGAAGTCGCCGTAAATTAAGGGCTCCTTTGCAACGCTTTCAATGCCCTCTACATCTCCAAAGAACTCGGCTATCTTCGTTGTAAGTTGCTGAGACACCACAGCATGGTCCTCTGGACAGATCAGTCGATCGGCAAATACACGCATGAACTCATTCTTCCACAGCTTGACCAGGGATGCAAAGGTAGGAAACTTTTCCGGGAGAGCCATACAGAGGCCTTCGTAAACCCTGCTCAGATCGCGCAGGTTAAATAAGTAGTGAAAGCGCGAGGGCGTTGGACTCAGAGTATGAAGAATTGTGTTGTATACACTGAGAGTTGCCGCTGTGATTTTCTTTGAGATGGTGGTTATGTGCCTGAGATTGTTCTCTGGGTCTCCTGAGCTATCGAATTGGTAATTGCAATCCTTCATGTGGGTAACGAGAATAGAATTATATATATGATTCAGACTGTCTTCAATAGGTGTAGATATGTTGAGGACCGAGAAGTTGGACACAAAGCGCGGGTCAAGCTTATTGCTCGATCCACCCACTGGCTTCAGGCAGCCAAGAATATAGACATCCAAGATCTTCCTCCACATCAGAGACTTGGGATTTCTGTCAAAAAGACCCTTCTTCTCTACAAGCAGCTTCAGGGCAGCGATAGACTGCATAGTCCCATAGGTATCCACCACGGGCATAGACAGCTCATCTGTGAAGAGAATCATTTTGCGGCCTCCGGGTGGGCCTAGCGTGTCTTTCGACCGCCTGTCAAGGTTGTCCTCAAGGGCGACCTGAATGTCGATAGACATCGTCCGGGAGCTAAAGTTGAGTCCTAGGGTGATGTAGTGATCGGGAGAAAGAGAGTTGAGGAAGGATTTCGCAATCGTCGTCTTAGCGTTACCTGACTCACCAATGAAAAGCACGTTGCGATCATTTCTCATCATGGTGTCGAGAAGCCATGAATTTCTAACGGTGTCAAGCGTGGCGACAATGATAGAACTGAACCTCCCGTCGCTCGGCGGGGTGTAAGGCTTAACAAACTGGCTCCACGGACACCAGTAGTTGCGTTTCAAGTCAAAGTAGAAATCATAAAGGGTTGACGTCTGTTGTGCCCCGAGGGTAGACCCACCACTCGCTGTTATCATTCCGCCCGGGAGGTGGGATGATGAGACGGTCTCTGCAACGCTGATTCCAGACTTAAGCGGTAGCCCAGAGAGCTCGCGGAGGTACAGGTCGAAATTTGTCCGGTCCTGGTCATGTATAAGGCCACCAATAGACCAAACAAGGGTAAAGATGAACAGAGCCTCAAGAGTCATTGGATCATTAAGATCTGCAAAGCGGAAAGGCTGAGAAGAATCGCCTTTATCACCAGGCTTGTTGACCAACGGGTCTTCCTCCTCTGCTGCTGACTTTGAGTAAAGAATTTCGTCGTGCTTGCATTGCTCAGCCTTCTTGACTATGTCATCGAAGATGTTGCAAAATTGCGATACCATGCTAATATCAGATGTGGCATAAATAAGGCGCAATGGGGAGACCACCTCTATCTGTCCAGTGCTCGAGTTCAGCTTCACGCCGTTGAGGACGTAGTCAATAAGTGGAGGAATATACTTCTCATACAAGCTCATTATAAGCTGCTTGGCCTCCTCCTGAGAGCTTGTATCGACATCTGGCACAGAATCTTTTGCCCTGTTAGGTTGAGAGCCTGTGTCGTCAAGGCTTCGGCGACTCAATGAGTTATCAAAGCGTTCACGAATCCAGCGTTTAAAGCGCGGCTCGTAGCCTAGATTCTTTGTATCGACCCACACCATTCCGCACCGAGACACAGTGGCTGGCGAGGCATACTGGAGATCGGAGACCTCGAAAAGGAGCTTACACCAGTCCTGGAGCCTTATACGTTCAGAGTTGGGCAGTGTCAAGAGCTTGGAGTCGTCCATGACGGAGTTCATCGACTCTATCCATATAGCGTCAACATCACCATCGAAGAGAATTGGCACGAGGATAGAACTAGGATTTGTGGCTACAGCGTTTGCAATCATGGGATTTGTGAGGTAGAAACTAGGATCGTTGATATTCCGGAAAATCTTGCTTAGTAAACCGTCAATCCACTCTCTGGTGTCTGGATTGAGGACACCATAGACCTCAGAAACGGGAATTGCCTTAGGATTGATCGTGGTGAAGACTGTCTTGCATCCGAGCTTTGTATTTGCAGCTGCAAAGGTATTCAAAATAACCGACTTACCACCTTGTGAGGGACCTACAATCATCACCGAGTGCCGAGCCTGCATTGTTTCATATGTCTGCTCAACCTTTAAGAGCTGGTTGGGAAGAAGCTCGTAGCCACTTTCTTTGAGGCTCAAGTAGGCAGCCTCTCGTATTGTCGCAGGTCCTCGCTCAAGAAGCGCTTGCTCTTGCTCAGGGGTGTAAATCTGGGTGAGAGAGCTCTTACCACTCTCTGAGCCAGACGTCTCTCCTGCCTCGAGCTTGATGTTTGGGCAGAGATCGTTAATAAGACCCATGAAAAGAGGAACGTCTTCGAAGACGAACTTCGGTAGATTCATATCACGCAGAGCTCTCATTAGCAGAAGCTCTTCATTAGCATCAGGGTCAGACCGCTTTAGTTTTCCTGCATTCACCAGAACAGACTTCAGCGCACGCAGGCCAAAATCATAGTGGTATTGCTTCGATAATTGCTCACTGGCAAGCTGATATAGCACAGTCATCTTTTTGCTCAAAACACGACTCTGGAGAAAGCCTTCAGCAAGAAACATAACTTCTGCGATAATAGCATTGTCTGGCTTTGTCATGATGATCGGCCTGAAGAGTGCCTTTAGGTTATCCGGCAGCTCTGTACGGCCTGCATACCCTGGGTTCATGGTGATGAATATGGACGATGTAGGCTTCAGGTCGATCTCTCGCCCTTCTAGATGGATTCTGCCGACGTTTGGACCACTGGTTTCTCCGCTATTCATCGCCTTTGCCATGGCCATCAGCCCGACCTGGATGATCTTAATCTGTCCACTGATAACCGAGAGGACCGGGGCATCAATGCGATTGAATTCATCGCAGCAAAGCCACACCCCCGACTCAGAGATACCAGAGAGTATGCTACCAAATGACTTATAGTCCATGCCTTCCGAGCAATTCAAAATCAGACAGAATATTCCTAGTTGCTTGGCTAAGTCCTTGACCGACTCCGTCTTTCCTGTGCCGGCCGGGCCAGCGGGCGCCCCGCCAAGGAAGTTTGAGAGCGCCGTGTTTATGGTGATGATGCATCGGTCGGTGAGCGGCGTCAAAACAAGGCGAGTGGTCAACCCGAGATATTCGTACGAGTAGATGATCGGGCTATTTGAACTCTGCTTCACAAGAATAGTGTCCTGGATTCTGTCCCAGTAGAAGCGTAGCTGGCTTTCCCAGTCAAAGCTGCTTGCGCTTATTATGCTATCTCTGACAAATCTATCAAGGAGGTCCCGATTGTGCATATCTTCGATGATCAGCGTGTTGATCTTAAGTCTGTCGTGCTTAGAGAGGTTTTTGCGTATCTCTAGAACAAGATTCTCTATCTGTTGGGAATACCTGGACGCGGTGGCCTTCATTGCACCCATGTTTTCACCCGCCTCCAAATCCTTGAAGGCAGACTCAGCATCAAACACCCACCAGATCATGCTGGCTACAAGAGATACCTGACCATAGTGCTTTTTGACCCACTCTACTCGGGTCTGGCAATTGTAATTATTTCCAAAGTCAAAGATCCCCGTCTTGATGTGCAGTTTCATGCTGTTCTTGATCTCGTTGTCGATGGCCGTCATCCAGGTCTCAATAGGCATGGTCGCCGAATCTATTCTAACAGCTTGATTGAGTGGCAGATACTCACCCTCTGGAGAGTTCACCGCAATGACTGTGTTGGTGCCTCCGCGCTGGAATTGGAAGGTCTGGACGCCCTCGAACATCTTCCGTAGATGCGTCTGCACCTGCGCCGGGTCGGAGCTGTTGCCGAGTAGGAAGAGGAGCTCGTCGTCTGAAATAAAGTAGAACCGAGTGAAGAGAGAGCGCTTTGAGTTCAGATAATCTGTCAGAGCCTTCTGGCACGTCTCCATCTGTGCTATGAGAGACTTGAGAAGGGCCAATCGTCCATTGGCCTGCGCAGCGTCAAGAACCGAGGTATTGGTTTTGCCTATTTCAGACATGAGCTTAAGGTATGAGTTATCTATTCGCTCAAACCGATTGGCTTCTTCTGGGAGCTGCACCTTCAGGTCCTCAGATCCACTGAAAATCCCTTCAAGATAAAGCCACTGTCGCTGGCATATTATCCATGCCTCAAGAACATCCGAGATGATGGAGAGGCGCTTCTCCCAGAGGCGTACGTCGTTGGAGAAGTGTGCTACATATTTCGATGCAGACATGGACTGGAGGTTGAGGGAGTTATCTTCTATTATAAGTAAGATGTCATCGAGCGCTTTGAGGATAAAGCCTCTGTCTTGGCCCTTTGCATTCTCATAGCGTTTGACAGGCATTCGGGTTTTTGTCCAGACCTCCGCGATGTCTGCGAGGCCCTTTTCAATAGAGAGCTCCTTCCGCGCGCCAACAACGATCTCGTTAATCTGCTGGGTGTACCGCGAAAGATCCAAGGACGTGAGCTGTCCGAGGGTTAGGTTCTGGGCTTGCTCTGCATTACTAAAGAGCGTCTGGCCTGTAAGCTGTTCGACCTGCAACCAGTGGCGGGCACGCAAGGCATCATTCCTGAGGTCCTGTAATAGCGGTATTGAGTCTTTGTAGTTCCGCAGAATAGTATCTAGGGTCTCATACATAGTGTGGGACCTGTACTCGGCTGGAAGTCTTCGTAGCGTGGTGCGCATCCCATCACATCCTGTCTCGAGCATGGAGGGATCAAGAGACGAAAAGTAGAGCCGATCCCACTCTTTGAAAGTTTGCCTAACCTGATCATAGATCGCTAGGATTGCCCCCTCTGCATCGAGCTCCTTTTCAATAGGTGTCAGACTCATAGAGTTGATTGGATCTAGGTTGAAGAGCCGCTGGGCCAAAATAGTAGTGTCTCTCTTGACAACGATAGCGCCAAACTTCTCCTTGCTTGCCTTGTACAACTCGAACACGTCCTCAAGAATATCCGTCAGCGTCTTAGTGTGCTTCTTCCCTTCCTGCTCCAGCTGAGCCACCTCTTCAAAGTAAACAGACAAATAGTGATACGGCCCCTCTTCGTTAAACTCTTTCACGAACGCGTGCATTTCCTTCTCAAATACACGGGCAAGCTTGGTTGTTTCCTCTGCCTGCTTTCGCTTTATCTCAACTAGAAGTCTATCTACCTCCTTCACGATGGAAAGCAAAGACGCCCAGCGCGAGCGAATGGCGTATGCAGCCTGAATTTCCTGCTCAAAGACGCGAACATTCGTTGTCTTCATGGCCTTCTTGCTTTTAGCGGCGGTTGCCATGGCGGCTGCACCCTCTTCTGTAGAGGTAAATATTGTCAGATTCTCCAGCGATGAAGTGAGGGATGTGCCTGCACCACCTGCGCCAGAGGTCAAAGCAACCCCTATTTCTGCATTGCATAGTCGCGGGTCTGTATCCGATAGATTAATAAGTTCTCTGAGAGACGAGCCGGACCAGCCTAGGTCGGTTTGGTCTAAGATTGGTCCCAGATCATCGTTCTCAAACTCCAGAACAAATGGTTGAAGGGCAGAGTAAAGAGCCGCGTCACGCTTACGCTGCTCAAGCTGCTCAGCTGTTAGCTGTGGACTAGTGTTGCTGCCACGCGTCGGACTGCCTACACGACTGCCGCGATTTGGAGATCCAGACAGAAGGGACTTATCGAACTTGATCCGCACCTCTGCATTATACGCCTGAAGCAAGGCAAAGAGACTCTCTAGCTCGAGCCAGGTTAGCTCCATGGACATGGTCCTGTTTGCAACGCGGCGAAGGGTGGAAAGAACAATCTTGAGGGACTCTAAGTCCCGTGCCTGTGCCACGCAATTTCTGAACTCCTCATCTATCTCGTTGTAGCTATCCAGCAGCATTGGGCGGGCCTTTTCAATGATGGCTCTGCATATCGCCTCGCGCCACAACTGGCACTCGTGAATGATAGACTTGACAAGGCTGTTTGCATGCAAAACCGCTATGTTAAAAAGAACCTTAATGGGAGGATGGATCGATATGCTGTTATTAATCGGTATGGCGTCAATCAAGTTGTCGTTGGCTGCAGTTAAATTAAACATAGTGTAAATGTAGTTGCTCGAAAGGTACATGTGCCTCTTTGTGGGAAGGATAGACGTGTGCGACTCGCTATCGTGAGGATCTCCATCCGCTGTATCTTTGGTAGTGCTCTTACCGCTTGCGCTAGCAGCACTTCCGGGTCGATTTGTCGTAGATGGTCGTGAAGGCCTGGACATGTCATTGGCGCTAGTGAGAGCCTCTGCTTCCACTGTGTCTGCCTGTATATCGGTGTATATGGCCATCTTTTCTTTATGAGCATCTTTCAAAACATCCATTGTTGCTGTGAAGAAGCTCAGCACATAGTCGAAGGTGCTGGCATTGGGCGAAAGAGCAGCAAACCTGCCGACAATGGGCAGACGATTTGATTTCCAAATCTGCTCATAATGGGACCATGCGCGGATATACTCCTGAATGTCTAGGATGGAAGACTGGATCTTTGACTTCAGTTGGGTGGCCAACATTGTAATGGTTGAGTGTTGAGAGACTCTTGGGCTGTAGGAGCGCACGACAACCTCCTCTGTAGACGAAGCGTCGACGACATCCTGTCCATCGCCCTGCTTAGTCGTCTTCCGTTTAAATCCATAGAGCTCGTTGCGGCGAATAGATGTGGCGTTCTCATCAGTAGATAATATCTCAGCCCCTGTGGCAGACGTCGCCGGCTCCGGCTCATGCATCGCAATACTGCCAGGGATCCAGATGACGAACGGGCACGCTACCTTAACCAGTTGCTCAACCTGGTTATTGAGCGTGTTGAGAATTGACGAGAGAGAAGGTGTAACGATAATCTCTGGCGACGAGAGACTGAGATTGAGTTGAAAAAGGGGTGTGTATCTATCTCTGAGATACTTGCTATTTCTTTTTGCCGAATCACGCTCAGATTGAGTGTTAACCCCACGAAGCAAGATAGAGAAGTCCTTTAGAGCTGTTCCTATCATGACAACCAGAGCGTTATAGACACGATTTGTCCAATACTCATAGTACGTGCGCAACCCAGGACACTTTCCTGTAGAGGTGCCGAAGGACAATTCTTCAATCTTAACAAGCAGCGGACCCAGAGAATAATACTTCTCGAGACTCCCCATTAGAGATTTGGCACGAAACTCTTCGAGACGAGAGCTAAACTCAGGGAGGCTCATGGTTGGGATAGACTCGTACTCCTCTTCAGTTCCCATCTTTCCGCGCGCCTCCAAAGATTTTAGGGCGGCCAAGAAGAGTGTTGTTGGTGAGTCTGGCCGCTTCCCTTCTAATTGCTGCTTCTTCTTCAGCTGTGTTGCACGCGCCATTATCTCCGCAATGGTTGGCTTATGCTCGCCGGCGGCAGATGAGTTAGATCCGGGTGGAACCAACTGAGTGGAGGCCCCACCGGCGCCAGACTCAGTAATTGGGGCGGGAGCATTGGTAGACGCCCCTGCAAGAAGAAGAGCGGCCTGGGTTGGGATGAGTCGGGTATTTGTGATACCCTTTATGCACTGCTCCATTAGCATGATTGTCTTAAGAATCTGCTGGCAGCTTTGTGAAAGTTCAGAGCAGGCAGAGAGCGCCCGCTCTAGGTAGTCGTCCACAGAAAGTGAGTTCCAGTTCAGAGGACCAAAGCCAGGGCGAATAACAACGGCTGCCTTAGATACTGACTTTCTTATTAGCTCCATGGAGTTGGCTTTGCGCTTTATATCTGACACCATAGCGGGAGTGGAACCCGCAACCAACGGAAGGAAGTCCTGGAGTGCACTATTTAAACTAGAAATAAGCATCTTCAGACCCTCTGCGTGGGTCTCGTACTTGGCCTTTTGAAGACAGACATTGAGTGCGGTCTCCCCAACACGGAAGCCAAGACGATCCAGCGCAGATACCTCGTCTATAAGTGCATTGAGCTCAGGTGGAAAATTCACGCACATCTCGAGACCGTATTCCTTGAGGATCAATGAGGTGACTGTGGGGCTCAGGTACGTGGCTCCCGTCATATCAGCATATGCTGCGTGCTGTGGAAGACTATCTGGTATACTCTGTCTAATTGTAGAGCGCCGCACTTTGTCTTTAGAGTTTGCCGGAACAGCTGTCGTCAGCTGACCGGTCCCTTGCATAGCACATGTTGCCATCAGATTCGGTATCACTAGCTTTGGAAGGAATGTTCCATCGGGATCTAGGCTAGCTTTTCTGAGATCTGACACAGATAAGATTCGTTTTTCACCCAGGAGAGGAGAGCGAAGACTCTTCAGGATAATGGCATCTGCATCAACACGCCATGCTTGAAAACGCTTCTGCTCGAACGTCCTGAGGTTGCTCGCAAGCTCGTTGAAAAGAGCAGTAGCTTCAGCGGCAGCCTGAGAAGCCTTTAGCACGTCGTCTCCCAATTGACGCATGATTCTATACGGTTCTTTAACAGCGACAAAGAGAGATCGGGCCCAGACCACGCTAGCGGCAAGTGGAGGTAGATCTATCCCAATCGGTGGCTGATCCTTTTTGAGCTCAAATTCCTTTATTGATCGCTGGAGCTCCTCGCAATATTGGCGAAGGGTCTCCTCGATCTTTCCGCTCATATGGTTGGATAATATCGTTGTAGCTGCTGTCCCCCGTGCTTCAGAGGTGTCGGAAGCAGTTTTGAGGCTCAGACGGCTAACCAGTTCGAGACCGCTGGACACATCACGCAGGCGTTTGAACGACCTGTCAATATATGAGAAAGCCTTAACTTCCGTTTGGGATACTTTTGCTTTAAAGTTACTGAGGAGCGCTTCAAATTCCGTAGTGTGAGACGGAGACCAAATCTTCTGATCAAACGCAATAAGCTCACTCGGAAGCTCGGAAATAGCTTTCCTGACTTCACGTAATCCAGATTGATCCCCTATGACGCGCTGCACGTCAGGGGAGATAATTTGCGAAAATTCCATGACGGACTGGACGCAACCAATCAGCGTCTCCACGCGGGCCAAATGAAAATCTGTCTCCCCGAAGAGGACGCGCTTGTCGAGCTCCCAGCGCTTTGTGTCTGTTGTTGATTCCTCTATCTTCTGCTTAGTTTCATTGTACTGGGCCTTCCACTTGGTAAGAACCTGCCCAGCTGCATGAAGTATATCAATGGGAGTGTAATTATCGCTTGTAGAAGTTGTTGGAATGATCTGGGAGCTAGATACTTTCGTTAAGGACCGTCTCCCAGCATCCATAAAAGTACTGCTGCCGAGGGCCTCGCTGGCGTTGGTGGCAAGGGCCTCGATGGCACCTTGGCCGTAGAAATTCTGGCCAGCCAATCCACTAAGTATGGCCGCGTTCCGAGAGCTACTGGAGAATAGCTCTTTGATGTTGATCGACGAGCGAACTCTAGCCGTAATGTGCTTTGCAATACGATGCATCAGCGGAAGGAGTCTGTCCTCCGTATTATAGTAGCGCGATATAGTCCAGACCATGCGCAAGGCTGCGTAAAGACTAGTAATAGTTTCTGAAAGTGCTGGAAGAGGCGACCTGCTGATCATCTTGAAGTGACGCTCTAGTGTGCTAAGAAATCTGGCATTGTCCTTGGCCTCCAGACAGGCGCGTGCAACATCTTGGCGCAAAAGACTGAAGCCGCTGAATACAGTGGCATGCGAATACTCCAGAACAGCAAAGAGCTTTTTGAACTGTGGTGAGCACAAGTCTTCGTAAAGATTAGAGAGAAGAGCCGACTTTTTCCGCCAGCTCTCCAACTCTGCCATCGGAAGGTCGCCAGCAGGATTTAGCCGGTCATACTCTTCCATTGCTGCTTGCAGGACTTGAACCCACTCTTCAAAGAGCCGCTGAACCGTTGAAACGATCGCTGCGTCTTGAGCAGCAACCCGCGGGTCGCTAATGTCCAAGTTGGGGACCTCAATAACATACTTGGAGCAAAGCTGTGCATCCGCGGCGCTAGCAGCAACAGCCAGCTTACGCGACTGAAACATTATTTCGGGGTCTCCCGCAGATACCAGCGGGGAATACTGATTCTGGAGAGAAGTTGCAAGAGAGCTCAGGACATTGCCAGAAATCAAAGAAATATCAAGGCGTTGGGATATTTCACACCGAACCTCATCGGTAAGGTCGGCATATGGCCCATCGGGCCCCTCGGGCTCTTGAATGGGTGAGAAGCCCTGGTCATCCCCGAGGGGTCTGTGAACCATGTAGAGAAGATACTTTGCTGTCGCTTGGGGAGGATCTGAGGCTATTATGAGCTGTCCTGTTTCTGTATGTGTATAGAAATAGAGTGCAGGATGGTTCAAGGTACAATCGAAAAAGCTGTGGAGCAGGGGAGAGTACTGCCCTCCGTCGACTATCAGGCATTCAATATCAACCTGGGAATACTGCAGGTACATGGATACCACTTCAATGATCCATTGAGCCCGAAGATCGGGGGCAGGCATTTTTATTTCCCTTTCCAGTGAAACGGAGTAAATCGGTGAAAATTCGTCTTATGCCAGAACCTTCTGAAAACAGAAAACTTCAAGGATAAATTTCTAACATATTTGAAATAATTACCATGCCTCCACGAAATCAACAGTTCAATGCAAACGCAGGGAAGCGCGGGATGACTCGTAAGGAGCAAGAGCAGCAGCAGAAGCGTGAAGAGGCCAGTAAGGCGGCTAGTCAGCGTGAGCGACAGACGGGTCCTCTGGAACTCCCAGTGGTCGTTCCAAAGGGGCCTACAATATCTAAAAAGGCGCTCCTGGCCCGTAAGGAGGCCAGAGAAAAGGCAGAAGCAGAGGCCGCTGCAGCCGCAGCTGCAGCTACTGCTGCCACAGAAGCAAAGACAGGCCATACCCAAAAGAAGGAGCCCGTCAAAGGCAAGGGGAAGCGACACCATGAGGACTTCGATGCATGCATGGACTTGGATGCTCATAGCGAAGAGCCTTCAGAAGAGGTCTTAGAGGAGCCTTCAGAAGTTTCAAAAACAGTAGAAGGCACGCAGAAAGAGGGCCATCCCAGGGCTCGCATGGAGCCAGAGAAGCAACAAGGTCTTGACCCTGGTAGGGGTAAGCGAAGGGGGGAAAATAGAGGCCAGCACTCTGCCGCCGGTGGGCCAGGTTTGTTGGGAATAGACTTTAACTCCATGAGCGAGGAGGAGCGCAGAGAGGCGATGGACATGCTGCGTGCCCGAATAGCAGAGTCTCGCCAGGAAGAAGAGGAGCGGAAGTTAAAGCAGGAGCAGATTCGAGCGGAACAAAGAGCAAAGGAGCAGGAAAGTGTGCAGCAGGCTGCAGAGGAAGTCTCCAAGGCTGCCAAACGCTCGTGGGAGGATGATGCGGACAGTGACTCCAGTTTTGAAATAGACAATAGTAAGCATACAGCTTCTTCAAAAGCAAAGGCCAAAGTGACGCATACGCAGAAGTTGGCGGAGCTTAGCCGGCAGCAGGAGCTAGATTACCATGCTAAGATGCGTGCCGATAAGATCCAGGAGAATCTCAGAAGCCCGATCTGCGCGATTCTGGGACACGTCGACACAGGAAAGACATCTCTGCTCGATAAAATCAGATCTACGAACATACAAGGAAAAGAAGTCGGTGGTATAACACAGCAGATCGGCAGCACATTCTTCTCTTACGAGTATCTCAGTGAGCGGACAAAGGAGTTCCCCATGAAAGTGAAGTACAAAATACCAGGCCTTTTGATTGTCGACACGCCTGGGCACGAGTCGTTTGCCAATCTGAGGAGCCGTGGCAGCAGCCTTGCAGATATCGCCATCCTCGTGGTCGACCTCATGCATGGGCTAGAGCGACAAACAATAGAGAGCATTAATCTGCTTAGAGCGCGGAATTGCCCGTTCATCGTTGCGCTGAACAAGATTGACAGGTTATACAATTGGAAGTCTGTCCAGGGACGCTCTTCCAAGCGTGCGCTAGAGGGAACCATGGGCAGTGGTCCTGAGATGACAAGTGCGGGGGTGGTAAAGGACAACCCGTGCAAGCAGGACAAAGCAACGTTGGACGACTTTGAAAAGAAGTATCTGGACGTTAGAAACCAGTTTGCTGAGCTCGAACTTGACGTGGATCTCTGGTGGAATATCGCTGACCTCAAGAGGGTTATACCCGTTGTCCCCACGAGCGCATTCACCGAGGAAGGGGTCCCTGACCTACTCGCCGTCCTTGTTGGATTCACTCAGCTATTAATGGAAGATAAGATTGCTGTACATTACAGTGATAGCGGAGAAGAGAAGATGCAGTGCACAGTCCTGGAGCTCAGAAAAGAGGATGGCTTTGGGTACACAATCGATTGCATCCTTGTCAACGGAGAGTTGCACAGAGGCGACACGATCGTTTTGGCTGGGCTAAATGGACCCATTGTTACCAAGATTAGAGAGCTTCTTACTCCCCAAGAAGCTCGTGAGATCCGCGAAAAGGGAACCGCCAATTACAAGCGTAATGATAAGCTGCGCGCTTCGATTGGATTCAAGATTTATGCGACAGATCTTGAAACTGCCATTCCTGGGAGCACTGTACTGCGAGAGGATCCTGGAGATAACCTTGAGGACCTTAAGGAGTGCGTTATGGCAGATATACATGACATGGCAAAGCAATTCAAGTTTTCTAACGTGGGCATCTATCTTAACGCATCATCCTTGGGGTCTATGGAAGCACTCATCACGTACCTAAGTTCGGAAAAGACAAAGGTGCCGCTCGCAGGGTGTGCTATAGGCCCGATCTCCAAGAACACTATTCAAGAGGCGGCCCTCCAGCTTGAGCGTACAAATCCAGAGTATGCTTGCATCTTGGCCTTTGATATTGAAGTAGACAAAGCGACAGAGGACTATGCAAAGATTAACAAGGTGAAGATTTTCAGGGCGGACATCATTTATCATCTCTATGACATGTTTGTCGAACACTTGAAGCAGTACAAGCTTGAGAGACGGGAGGCGCTCAAATCGGAGACCGTCTTTCCATGCATAATGACCATCCTAGACTGCTTTCATCACAAAGATCCTCTCATTATTGGGGTGCGAATCGATAAAGGGTCTCTTCATCCACAGCAGCCAATCTGCTTCCCAACAGGAAAGCTTCTAGGAAAGGTGGAAAGCATTCAGAAAGATAATAAGAGCCATCCTATGGCAAAGGCAGGCACCGAAGTTGCCATCAGAATCGAGACCGCTGACTCCTCCACCGCCTATGGGCGGACATTCAGCAAGGAGGACACACCGACTCTGTACACTGCTATGAATAGAAAAAGTATTGATATCTTAAAGAAGTATTACCGCGACGACCTTACAAAAGAGGATTGGGTGTGCGTAAAAACAATCAAGACTCTACTAAATATTGACCCCGCATGAGGCAAAAGTAAATGGGCTTTATACTTTCCCTTGTAATCTCAACGTCGGCGTTTACATAGAATGTCGGCTATCCTAGAACTTTGTCCTAGAAATGCTACAATCCAAAATGCTATGGAGAGTGTTGAAATAGAACGGGGAATGAGCTGAGCCGAGGGCCGGCTGTTACAAGCGAGATACCAGTCAGTCAGAACGAGAACTCACTCTTACGGCGCCACAACCAACAAAAAGACATCATAAGTTCACAGACACTCACAGACAGACACTCAAAGATCCTGCGACCGATGGGAGCCCTTGCCCTCTCTTCCCTCCTTCGCGGAGCGGGCGACGCCTCCCTCGCGGATTGTGACGTTGGCGAAGATGGTCGCGAGCTCCTTGTCCTTGCGGAGGGCAGTCAGGATGTGGTTGGGGACGATGCGCTTCTGGCTCTTCTTGTCGCGGTGGTTGCACGCCTCCCGGAAGACCTCTGCGACGACGTTCTCGAGGACGGCCGCGAGGTAGACGGGCGCGTCGGACGAGATGCGCTCTGCGTAGCGACCCTCGCGCAGGTGACGGTGGATGCGCCCGATCGGGAACGAGATCCCCGCGCGCGCGGACCTGCTCTTCATCTTGCTGTTGTCCTTGACGGGCTTGGTGCTCATGGCTTTCTTTATCTGCGCAGACAATTTAAACTGAAATTATGCCTAAATCTGCGCTCCTGGACATCTCTAACTAATAATACACTTTTGTTTATCCGATCTACTACGCCTGCCCAGCGTCATCCTCATGCAACCGGAGAGCAAGGCACGGTCCTGGACCGTCGCTATTAAGGGCATCTACAAGCGCACGCCAGACAGACATCGAAATGTCGTCGCAATCCACAACGCCGTACCCGTTGATAATCCTCATTACGGGGAGATCCACCTTTATTACCCTGCGCTCACTAAAATTCGGCAAGTCCAGAAGCTGGGGTGGTTGTTGTGATGCAGATGGACGTGTTGCTTCCCTAGCCTCAGAGCTGGGCTGTGAGCTTTCGCTGTCAGAAATATCAATTACTTCTTCATTTTCCTTTGCACATTGTGGAATGCTCGGAGAGGTTGATTGCCGGAGACACGGCTCCTTACTTGCTTCAGCATCGGAGCTAATCGCCTTAGTTGTAGATTCTGTCGCTGCTGCTACCAAAGTGGGAGGTGTGCTAGAGGAGGATCTGTAGGCCCGTGAGGGTGGAAAGGGGAAATATGATATATCCCCAGAATTCTGATAGTAGAGAAACCCAGAGAACTGCTTCTTAGACATAATATAGACCGGCTTTTCCGTGCCTAGTGAGCTCCTTATCAGAGCAAACAATACATTCTTTTCTGCTTCAGGTTCTAGAATGGCGTCTACCCAAGTTGAAGATTCGGTTCCTTCGTACACTATTAGAAGGTACTTGTGTCTGCTGTAATAGGACTTTAACCGACCTATGTCCGGGTGACAGCAAAGCCGGCCATCTTCTAGGACAGGTGTCAAGCCAGTGATCGCCCACTCAAGAACATCAATACTGGGGGGAGCTTGTAGGGTAGTGTATTGTAGGGTAGTCTCAAATAGACTTTGCAGATTGGCATTTATGGAAAGAATTGTTACATCTGTTAAAAAGAAGTCTGTAAATTCGGTGAGCTGCTCATGATCTATAGACTCTATGGGTGTGTGACACTCTTGCGGGCACACCTTTTCATATGCATGCTGGTGCTCTGGAAAGCATGGTGGCTTCTCGAACTTATAGATATCTAGGTCTATTGGGAGCTCAAGGCCGTGTACACTTCTTGCTTCGTGGAGACAAGTAGTTATATCGATGAGGGTAGTATAATATGGCTCTAAGTCAACCAACTTCTTGGCTCCGTCCAGCAACGGCCCAAGAATCTGCGGATTCGTGCAATCGACAAATTCCGCTAGCACCAACTTTGAGTGGCTGTACCGATTGAAAATAATATTTAGATAAGTAGATTGATTGGATTGCAAAGTCGAAGAGGACAGCAAAGTATCAATCTCTTCTAACATCTGAAATGCACGAGCGACCATACCACCTATTGGAACGATGCATAGAGGAGGAAAAAGAGGGCATCCATAATAGTATGTTCCATAGTGATCTTTGAACGAGTGTGGATGAATAGAAAGAATGCAGGGAGAGCACACCCTTTCCAGAGAGTTTTTGGGCTCCATTATCAGCTGTTTTCTGGGACATGCTTCCTCACTATCACCGTTGCCACCATTGCTGTCGCAAGTTTGGAGTAAAATGACAATTCTGTTGCGCCCAAGGTTGGTTATTTCGAGATTGTGACCATCATATGATAATCCGATATGTGCCCGGCTCAGCTCCTGGTAGGGCAAGAGAAGCCTATTGTCGGCCAATTCCCAGGGCTTACTTTTGTCACTATTTCTACCTATTATGAGCTGGGGCGACTCTAGCAACATATACGACCCATTGCACAGCTCTGTGACATATGGATGAGCGGTATGTGGACGAGCCATGTCTCACCAAATCCTGTTTTATTTAACAGACTCATGAGGCCGTGCGTTCAGTTCATTCGTGACCATGAGCTTTTTGAGGAAGAGCACACGTCTCTTTCACTGCACAACCTCGACCTTCAAGTGATACGTGACCCAGGATCAGTGCTCCTCAAAAGGTCAATACACTCGCGCTCCGTAGTTGACCAACACGCTTCAGCACTTGGAGAGAAAGTACAGCGATATTATAGCAAGAACATGCAACTCTTGGCAGACCTTTGTAAGAATAGTACGCTCTCCTCCTCTGTGCGGGCCGTTAAAAGTCTTTCCTGCGGCCCACAGCTGGGTAAGGATTGGACCTACTTCGCGTCATTGCAAAAAGCGCTGGCTTCCAACCAAGTGGTTCTTGTTAAGGGGGCGACTGGCTCTGGTAAGTCAACCTGTATTCCAGCTGCCTTGCTTAGTACCGAGCCACAAGGAAGGATCATCGTCTCTGAGCCACGCAGAGTGGCTGCTATCAGTCTTGCAGGATACCAGCAGCAAGCTTTACCGGGCAATCTTCGTCAGGCTGTTGCATACGCGGTCCGATTTCAATCAACGGTTACGCCTGAGACCAAGCTGATCTACCAGACGGATGGTGTCACCCTGCAATACCTCTTGGATGACCCATGTTTGCTAAACGTATCATATCTTATTCTGGACGAAATCCACGAGCGCTCCAGTAACCAGATTCTACTTCTAGCTATAGTGCTTCGTGTGATCAGGTACAACCCTAGGGTACATGTGATCTTGATGTCTGCAACCTTGGATGAGGTCCAGCTGCTGCAATATGTTCGTCGATACACTGCCTCTACATCCATCTCACTAGACAATCCACAGTATTCAACAGACGTATCCTTCCAACCATGCAGAGAGGACTACATTTTGCAGATTGTTGACGAGATTGTCACCTTGCATACCACTAATACCTCCCTGGATGATGGAATCTTGGTGTTTCTTTCCGGTGCAGATGACATAGCAGTTTGCCTTGCCCTTCTATGGGAGCGACTGTCAGTGTTAGGGGCTGGAAAGCAGGGTGGGAGGCCATGGGTAGTCATCCCATTCCACTCCAAAATCCCTGCTCAGCAAGCTATGTATCCTTTCAGCCCAATTACTGGCAGGCGAAGGATCATCTTGGCCACCAATGTAGCAGAAACCTCCGTGACAATCCCTGGAATCAGGTATGTGATTGACTCGGGCCTTCAAAAGCGGATGGTGTATCTTCCTGAGCACAGCACAAGCGTATTGGTGGTTGTACCCATCACCATGTCATCGCACATGCAGCGGAGAGGGCGTGTTGGGCGCACTCAGCACGGCACATGCATCTTCCTCTATCCAAAGTATGTCGCTGAGAACGAGATGCTTATCAATCCACATTCATCGCTCCAGTTCGAGCCCATAGATCACATATATCTGATGCTGCAGTCGTTTTCGCAGCGATTCAAGGAGTCTTTTCCATCGTTTTCATTCTGTCTCGAGACTACCGATCTACTTGATCTAGTAGACTCTGCTAAGCTCTCATTAACTAAGCAGATACTGTACTATACTTACCTCTTGACGACGGCCAGGTCATCTTCAGTTACACATAAACCAACACTGTGCATTTCGGTAGCTGGTCTTGCTGCCACGCTGTTACCTGTTTCTCCCAGGACTGCGCTCTTCTTAATGGTTGCATACTATTACGGTGTTCAGAGAGAGGCCTGTCTGATTGCTGCAGGCCTTGAGGTTGGCTGGGATGATTTGCTAGGTGCCAGCAGCGCGCCACTTCTTTGTCAGGGGTCAGATCACCTTTCTCTCCTATATGCTCTAGTGGGTCCACTGCCAAAGACAGGTATGGCTTCCCAGAGCTACCACCAGGCTAATCAGGTTGCTCGTCAACTGGAGGATGTCTTGGACAAGATCCTCAAGCTCCATAAAGATACCCTATTTGAGTTTCTACGCTCATACGTGCAGCTTCCAGACCTTATGTCCGACACGTCCCTGGCTGCGGAGACCGGGGACATTATCAAACTATGCCTTGCACTGACGAGTCACATGACAGTTGCTCAACGTACCAGCAGCGGCTTTCGCACACTCTTCTCTGGAGCTATTGTGAATCCTTCTGGCAAGTCCTCATGTACAGGCACCACGAGTAATTTCTTAGTGTACAACCACAGCATTATAATAGCCAACAAAGCCACTGCCATTTGCTGTACAGAAGTTAGTGAGCGCATGATCAAACTCAACAGATGGCTAGCAATTGGTACACCACTTGAGGTCGTCTCCCAGGTCTCTAAAGAGATCCCCAAGGCGGAGTCGCAGACTACCAAACTGAGCTTCCGGAGAAATGTCAAACGATAGATTTTACTCTTCCTTTTCTTCCGTACGCGTTTCCTTGTGTGTGAGAAGCAGTATTCCTGCGTACACGGCCAATAGAAGTACACACCCCAGCCCCACAAACAGAGGCCAATCGGCATAGTGTTTATAGAAAGCATCTGTGCGGTCCATGTTCACGTGCAGGTGGTGGATGAGCTTGATTCTATTATATCCAGGAACATTGTAATCTAATCTCATGTGGTAGGACCTAACCAGATCTGGAACGATCACCAAATCAAAGAGACCTTTCTTCTCGTCCAGCAGGGCTAAATTCATAGATATTAAAGTACCCATGATGGACTCATGCAGTTGTATGTCTGTGTATATGGAGGAAAGAGCGTCCGTCACGGTAATGTCCTGTGTCTGATTGATCAAGTCCTTGCGGGCGGATTGAAGACACCTGCTATACAGGCCGCTAGACAGCGCTGATATTTGCTTTTTGATTTGCCGTGTTTCAGACGGAAACAGGCCATAGTCTTCTGGATGGCGACGGGCGTTGTTTGTCACTAGTTCGTCCAGACGTACCGCAGTCTTTTTGGGGACATAAGGTCTCCAAAGCGTATTATTAACTAGCTCCTCTATCTTGACAATGTAGTGGACAAGGTTTCCTTCAACCACAGCTGTGTTTCCATGAGCTTCCCCGTGCTGAGCCGGAACAGTGTTGTCACATCCTGATGGGTCTTGAACTGGCCGCGCATCTAGAACAGAAACGCGTAACATGCACTTTGCAAACCCAAACCAGCGACTTAGCTGATAGAATGCCTGGATAGAGCCTTCGGGAAGGGTGCTGTATTCATATATGCTGCGGTTTGTTCCCTCTTTAGCATTCCACTCCTTAAAGTATTGCTCTGAAGAAGCATTGCTCATCATCATGGTCGTGTCAGCCAAGGCACCGAGAAAGCCTATCGCAATCACCCGGGCATTGTTCTCAAGGCCTTGCCAGACCAGTCCTGCGGTCAGCTCACGGGAGGAGCTCTCAAATGTGAATATTTCATGTGCCTTCTGTACATCTGAAAGGAAGTTGGGGGTAAATGAGAGTATATCTGACAAAGGCTGTTTTAGAGGCTTATAGCTGACGTCACCTATAATGTCACACCCAGATTGTTCCCCACGAGACAGCTTCTCCTTCAAAGCCGTGCTGAGCTTGAGGGCCCCCATTTCAGAAGAGGTGCTCCTAATGGCCTTCATACCCAGGTTTTTAAGTAGGTTGAGAAGCCTCTGGCAAGCATGTGCGTCGGTGAATATTGCAATAGATGCTCCTGGCAGCGGCTCAAAGATGCCTTTATAGACATACTCTGTAGGATACTTCATCGCTGTGGTCCATCTATCGCTGCTAGACGTCGGAAGAATCATTCTCTCGTCCTCCGTCAACTTGGAGCTGTATGGATCGAGTGTTCCCTCCACATATTTAAGCAGCTCATTATAATTTTCTGCAGTCAGATGGTTCCCCCGACCAATGATGGCTATATGAGAGTACTGGGGGACTCCATCAAGTACAAGCTTCGGAAGTTTAAATTTAGGGTCATCCATTCGCATCGAACGAGAAGCAATCCGAGCACCCGTCAGGATGAGCTGGAGGTCTTTAGACGCGATCTCCGGGCCGTCGTACAGGACGAGCATCCTGCTGGGGAGGTATGCAGATGTAGTAAGCGCGAGGAGGAGTAGCCAGAGGACCATCCAATGTGAAAATGCTAATACTTAAAAATGTAGTGTATGGTAGGGATACTATTCTGCGGGCTCCTGCTCGAATCTCTATGTTGCGCCTGCCCGCCCTCTGCAGTGTGCCTATTCCAGAGTGCGTTGCTCGCTCTCCAACTGGAGCCGTATCGGCTGGCTGCAAGCAAGTTGCACAGTCCCTTGGAAGCTTGAAAAGATTTGCACAGACACTGCCATATATACTTCATGCACCTGCTAACGTAGATAATGATCCCATCAGCACCCTTCTATTGAATGCACAAATTCTTCAACCGTGCACTCAAGCGTTACAGCAACCTCCACCTCGCGTTGAGGTATCCCTTCAAGACTCGTCTTTACATATAAGCTATCGACCAGCCTGGTTTCAGACTTCCGACGTATCAATTGCTGTCCTTAGCGAGACAGAATACGACACCCCTACCTTCAGGTTCACTTCCGAAGAGAATAAGGTCTGCGGTCCAAAGGCTCTCGCTCAACGCTTAGAAGATGCTATCGACTCTGTACGTGACATGCTCGTGTCTTCACAATGGAGTCAGACCTTGATTGCTAGTCAACTCACGGTGATTTTCCAAGACCTTATATCTTTGCGGAAAGAGATAGTCCAGCATCGTCCTTCAACATTATCACAAACACAGTGGAAACCCCTTCTTGATCCTCACCAGCAGGACGAAAAGGATGTGTTTGATGGACTTAACATATCGTTGCAAGCCAAAATTGTATCTATAGATCTTTTACATCTTTCTGTTTCTATGGAGCTATACGTACAGCTCAGGCAACAGGAGGCTGCGGCGAATCAGCCACTCTTACCAACCTTTACGACAAGGGAGGCCGAGTCTCTGCTACTTCAGTACACCGATTCCCTTGTGCTCATCTTTGGTGACACTGAGAATGCTGTCTGCCCCCCTGACGAACAGTCAGCCCTATTGGAGATTGCCGTTAAGTCTCTTCAAATGTTTTATTCCAGTGCCTGTCAGGTAATCCTGGGAACCCGTTCTTTGGACGTTTTATATGAGCGTTACTTCATCGCAGATATCAGCTGTGACTTACTGAATCGTCAGCTTCACCTTTTGCTAGATATTCTTGGCAACAAAAACACTCCTTCAATTGTGTGCACGGATGCCACGTCAATATTCTCCTTACTCTTGGAAGATGATCAGGCGGCTATGCTTCTGCTGGAGGTTCTTTTCAATCCATTCACCGCTGGTACCAAGAATTCCACCATAAGCAGGTCTTCCGCAGAGCAGCTGATCCAGAGCATCTTAGAGCACGCAGTGGACGTAACAGTGAGTGTTAAAGATGAGTTATATAAGCCCCTACTCCTTTATCGAACTGTCGTTTTGCCAAAAGCTACTTTCAAACCCCCACCTGTTTTACTTGTGCTAACAAAGCTTCTCACACTAATATCATCTAATAGTTTTCAAAACTCTCACACGGTCCATCCAAAAGTGGTCCTCCAGACACTCCTGCAACAGCTGGCAATCATTACCAATCAGAAGACTTCCATGAAGGATTCTCTGGCTGGCCTTACCGCTCTTTCATATCAGTATATGTTCGAATTGGCACTGTTATCTAGTGGTGCCTCTGTGTTATGGAGAGACCTGCCTCCAATAATTGTTTCTTTCTGTGACAGACAATGTAGCGCTCAATTATCTAATCAAGCAATTACAACGTTTATTCGTCTGATGCTCGACATGCTAGGATTTATATTTCTTCTTGCCTTGCGTGATGACTCTTCTACGCAGGCCAAACAGTGCAGCTCCCAGCTGCTTAGTTTCTTCTTGTCTTTCTTCTCCATTATCTCCAAGAATGTTCAGTTGCAAATTCACATTATATCTTTGCTTAGTCGTCTCTCCGGTGCATTACAATTGGCTAAGAATAATCACGCGGACGCTTCCGTATCATTAGATACTTCAACAGGCCTCTTACAGGACATTGACTCTTGCTTGCTGGACATCTACATCGGGACGATTAGCAGCGTAAGCCCGTCTGTTTCTCTTCTCGATGCATCCTTAACATCTCTTGCAGAACCCATTCAGAACGGCCGGTTTCTTCCGGACTATATCGTTAAGCTAGGCCTCCTGCCAAAGCTGAAGGATCTGCTCAGAACAACAGGATCGCTTGCCTTGATAAAGTCTGTCGTTCAATTGTTTGTGCTCTTGGTTGACCGCTACTACGTAGAGTCACAAGTATCCGTAGCATCTCTGGCCGTGCAGCTTAACACCATCATGACCGTGATAATGAGCATAGTGATCTTCACTAGAGATAGCACAGTGGCCGTGGGGATAACCTCCATACTTCTGCCAGCCATGCGCGCGACCCTCCCACCCATCGGGACAGTGTGGAAACACGGTAATAATAGTATTAACAGGTCTGCAGGCCTTCTGATTTGCATTACAAGTCAAAATGAGAATAGACTTAGTTCCTTCTTCCGCGCTGTGCTCAGTCTAGGAGATCAGCACAGAGTAATTTTACGAGACCTCCAACGAGAAGTGCTGAGACGCCTGCACGGGTTTCTCTTCAACTTTCCCAAGTGCACTGCCAATTGTCACGATCAAGCAAGCGCTTCAGCCGATGCTATTCTATTTTCTCACTTTTCAGATACTACACTGGCACTTATCTTTTTTAATTTCTGCGGATTGTCTATCATCCTGGCAGATGAGCTAGGTGATAACCGAGATGATGTAGTGCCTCTCTGTGTTTCTCAGAAAGATCAGTGCCCCTGCAATTTAATAAACAGGAACAACACAGACGTTCCTATTGAGCTAGAGCCGAAGGTCAAATGCAAAGCCGTACCGCTTTATGGCAAGCCTAACCGCTCTGAGGTTTTGCGACCCAAGGCAAGGTTTGTGCGGCAAACTAGACGCGGCCTTGATACCACTACTTGCTCTGCAGATTCTGCTGCAAATATGCTCCTATCTATTACACGCATGCTTACAGACATTCTTCCAAACATTCTCCAGTGTACAGTACTGACAGAGTCTGCTGCAGCATGGATTGAAGCATACATTGCAAGCGATGAGCATAGAAAACTTTTCCAAACATACGCTTTCCGTGTCATCGCTCTGGGAGCAAGGATACATATCCATTGTCTCTTTGGTGCAGAGAAGGGTAAAGAGCTGAGTGGTTCCGGTGTACATATGACAGCGGGAAATCTGCTTGATCAGTACAGCAGCATCATGTCACTACTCTGCTTTATGATCGACGCAGCAGATGTACACGTTATTGAGCATGTGGTTTCGTGTCTTACGCAGTATGCTAGATGGGATCTATTCTATAGGGGGTCTGCGCATAGTGGTGCACAGAGCCTTCACATACTATGTAAAGCATACGCTAGAACCTGTGTTAGCTCAAGTAGGTTGCTGGTGCAAGCGGGATATTTAAAAGAGACGAGTGAGTTAGCCTATATTTGTGCCCACCTGAATGATGACATGAGCATGGCCTCCACAACTACCCGGTCTATTGCCAAGCACTTATACCTCTTGGCACTTGTGGCGCGGGGCTTCACCCAGTTCAGTGAAAAAGGTAAAGAGAATATTCGAGCTGTACTTATAAGGATCTTGCTTCCTCACCTTCACAACAAGGCGACAGAAGACGGGGTGCCTATCGCTTACTCCACCCCAACATCCTATGTTCTTCGCCTTTTAGTAACAGTTAGAATGGCGGCACCAGACCTGACTCACTTCCTAGCTGTGTGTCAATATACCCTTTTGGGTGCGCTTCCCCTTATGGTCATCCAATCTACTGACGACGCTACTGCAATGCTCGCTACCCTAAAAGCAGATTGCTCTCAGCCCTCACTGCATCCATTGATCGCAGATGCACTTTTCTATGCCACAGGGAAGTTCTTTGGTACCTTCAGCACAGACGATATTGCTTCTAGCGTTTGCTCCTCCATTGTATCAGAGGATACAGATTCAGACTCCAAAATCTCTCTGGCATCATTGTCAGTCTCTACATTGAAGTCACCGTCTTCCACGACAGACCATGAACGACCGCTAGTGGGTGTGTACATTTCTGCCAAGGTGGAGGAGAGACGTCTGCACATCCATAAACGCTTTGTGCATACAATACTACCATACTGCCACATAATCCTCGGTAGGTATTACTTTAGAGGCCTCTTCCCCTCCTCATCAGACGACAGCAGTATAACTACAAAGACCATCGTGCACGTCCTTTACTGTGTGCGTCAGATTATTGCGAGCAAGCTCATGCTTCCTGAAGGCATAGTACCAAACCTTTTGGCATTTCAGCTCACAGCATGCTATGCACACAATAAGCCCTCAGCGATGATCATCGTCTACGAAGATGTCTTAGATACTCTTACTCTATCTCTAACGGTTTTTAAGCAGGTCATGTGTGTTGTTGCTGTTGAGAAGGCGTTGCAACTACTCTTTACAACTGACGAGTGGAAGGCCCTTGTGCAAAGTATTGCAGGCAAGGATCAGGTGGAAGCCATTCTTCAATCCATCCAGGTTCCCATGGCAGTAGTTACAGATTTATATAATCTTCTGTTTCTTGAAATTGATGCAATCGGGGTGCCTAAGCAGAGAGATGCTGATGCTCTATTTATCTCCACCGCCCTCAGTTGCCTGGAGTTGCCTATTGAGCACGATGAGGGTGATTGGCACGACACTCTATTAAGGCTTTTCTTTCTGGTCTACATACTCATCAAGCTCCCTCTTTGCAAGCACAAAAGCTCTTCGGCTGTAGGCACAGTTATCCGACACTTCTCCAACTATACTGTCCATCAGTATCAAAGGATCTTACTTCTTGACAGCACTGGCGGGGAGACTCTTCTTCATACATTTGTTTATGATTTGTTCGCATGCCTGGCAGATTGCATTGTTAAATTATTTACGTACTATTTTAATTATACAGTGAAAGGAGAGAAAGAGGAGATTGGGAAAGAGCCCCGTGGAAGCCCAGCCATTGTGGACGACATTGCCCATGCAGTCGCGCAGAGTCTTGTGGAGCCAAGTGGGAGCCTCAAAGCGTTGATAGAGATAAGGGATTCTATGTCATAGTTGTGTCGTAGCATAGCTGTGAGTGTCCTACAATTTTTCCTACAGTTTTCTCCGGGCGGTCTACGGCGCTTTTGAGCCTTCTTTCTAACCGTTGAACAGCAATCTTAATTGGATTTCAAAATTAAAACTCAAAATTCTATGGCTGCGACCCCTGGTCACTTGACCAAAGACACCAAGACCCCGAACAAACCCGGTAACATAGAAAGTGTCAAGGTTTTTTGCAGATTCCGTCCCTTCAATGAGAAATTCGAGCCTATTTCAAACCCCTGTGTAGAATTCCAAGGAGACCAGCAAGTGAACTTCACGGGACTGGACTCCACCAAGACCTTTATGTTCAATAGGGTTTTCCAGTGCGACACAACACAAGAGACGGTCTTCGACGTCTCTGCCCGTCACGTGTTGACTCAATTTCTTGCCGGGTGTAATGGAACTATTTTTTGCTATGGTCAGACAGGCGCAGGTAAATCTTACACAATGACAGGTCCAAGTATAGATTCGTTTACTGATAAGGGGCTGATGCCTCGGGTTTTCAACTACCTATTTGACCAGTTGTCTGCTGAATCGCAGCAAGAGATCTTCACACACGTTGTCAAGTGTAGCTTTTTCGAGATATATATGGAACGGATTCGCGATCTGCTCGCCGAGGAGCCAGGCCCGCAATCTCCGGCAACACCGTTTACCCAGCCAAGCTTTGTGCTTCCATCTTCCATAAGCTATGGTGGAAACGTTAATGCGAATCTCCCAGTAGGCCCATCCAATCTCCAAATTAGGGAAAGCAAGGAAAAAGGCGTGTATGTGGAAAATCTCACCGCGTATCGGGTCGATTCTGCGACAGAGTTGTTGCAATATCTGAAGAAGGGCAATGCTAATCGCGTCACAGCCGCAACAAACATGAACGACACGTCATCACGCTCTCACTCGGTGCTAAATATTTTCTTGGAAACCGAGGACAGGCTCTCTGGGGCTAAGCGAAGGTCACAGCTGTATCTTATTGATCTTGCAGGAAGCGAAAAGGCGTCGAAGACTGGTGCTGAAGGGATACGCTTGGATGAGGCACGTCTAATTAATCTGAGTCTGTCTACTCTGGGGAATGTGATCAGTGCTCTTTCAGAGGGTAGGTCTAAACACGTTCCTTATAGAGATTCTAAGCTAACTAGGATACTGCAGGACTCTCTTGGCGGCACCTCATCGACATCGCTTATAATATGCTGCAGCCCCTCAAAGTACAACGAAATAGAAACTCTGTCCACTCTACGCTTCGGAGAACGGGCCAAGAACGTTAAGAACAAAATAGCAATGAATCAGGAGTTCGGACTGAAGCAGCTCAAGGCCATGCTTGAAAAAGCCAACGCAGAGATTGCAAGACTCAACAGTGTAATCGCCAACATGGTTGAGGCCTCCCATATGGTCACGGAAAGCATTATGGAGCGCAGCATATTAGAGAAGAGTGTAGTTGGAGATGGAGCCCCATCTGTTGCAGGCATGCTCGTGTCTAGGACGACTACCTTACCCTTGACAAATGATGAGACACCCGCAAAAGAGGATAGTGCTGGAGATAGGGGAGGGTTTTCATCTTATGAAGCTAAGGCAGCCGTAGAGATTACACATGCTAATGAGCTCAACAGAATAATACTTACTATGACGAGCTTGGATGAGTTACGTAACATAGTTATAGAAACAAATCAAAAGTATGTCAAAACCCTCGGTGAAAGCCTTCAAGCCATCAATCAGATGTATGTTGTGCGAGAGGAAAGAAACTCCCTTCGCTCTGAGCTGAAAGAGCAAGCTGCGGAAATAGATCACCTTAAGGGGGTGATTTCCGACACAAAAGCAGAGCTAGACTTTGGAGAGCAAAAGTATAACGAGCTCAGGGCACAGTATGATTCGCTCGCCATTTCTTTGGAGAGCCTAAATATAGAGAAGGCAGACATCTTGCGCAAGCTCCAAGTTTCGGAAGAGAAGTGCAAGGCGCTGGGGGAGGCAGTAGAGACGGCAAATGCTAGCATCGCAGAGGCAGCCTTGAGCATGGTCCAGCCTACACCTTCCATAGTGGTCTCTAGCCCTCGCTTGTCTCTCCCCTATCAAGTTGGAGATGTAGGTGGGGTGGAGGTGGACTCTGGCAATATAAAATCAGCGATGAAGTCGGCAAAAACTAAGCTAGGGCAGCATAACTCAGTAATGTTTGACGAAACAATCTTCTCTCAAGATGAGGACAGCATCAGTCTGGGGGAGTCAGGCTCGGTCCAAGTCACTTCGCACAACCTCAAAAACATTCTTTCAAAAGATAACGTTTCCAATGAAGATAAAATTCGCTACTATCAGCTTCTTAGAAACGAGCTCATTAACAAGCAGACTCAGGTGCAGAAGCTAGTGAAGGCTCTGGCATCTAATGCCTTCACCATAGTAGAGGCAGAGCTCCAGGCAGCAACCATGGAGGAGAGGATCTCTGCTCTTTGCAATAATGCAAAAATCCTGAAGCAGTACAAATATCTTGACAAGACTGTCAAGCTACAAGCAGCAGACCTTTTGCACATGGCCGAGAAGGTCACGGAACTAGAACTGAGTAACAAGTTAGCATCCGCTGAGATAGCTGAACTAAAGACCAACAACACTTATCTACTGGACCAGTTGACGAATACCCGTACAAGCGTTAATAGGATTATTAAGTATAAGGATGACATGATTAACATACTCCGAGGAAAGATAGAGGCACAAAACAACATATTGGATGGCCTGGGTGAGAATCCGTCTGTTGCTGGGAATAGGGTATCGTTATATTCTGTCACCAGAAAGGGAACGATTTTAGCCAATGGAGAACTCTTCACTAAGCAAAAGCACGAAGAGTGTGACTCGGGCCTCGGCTTCATAGACTGTAACGGCCAGTACACTATTGCACAAGGTTTTCAGTACTTTAAGACAATGCCATACAGCAATGACGGACCTGAGCTGTCCTTACCAGAAATACACGGCCTATCTGTTTTATTACCAGGTGAGATGAAGCCAGTACTAACAGTGGGCTCCTCTAGGTTCGCTAACCCTTCGCTAATATGTCGGAAGGGTCGCTACTCCTCAAAGTAAATCTATATGGGTGTGTCTCCCCTCTCAAATGAAGGTGAACACTGCGAAGGTACATGGAGGGAAAGTAGACTGCAGAAGTGCAAGCCTGTGCAGCTGAGCGTGCCTGTAGGACTAGTATTGGGGGGTATCTTATTCTTTATCATCATAGGTGCATTGCGCATGCATTCAACTGACAGGAGCGTAGCAATCTATTGTGAAGATCAACACCTCTCTGGTCCTCGGCTGTTAAATCTGTCTGTATCAAGGTATCAAGAGCTGGATCTGAATGCTCCCACATCTATATATCACGTCATTCTGCGCCGGTCTCTTCCAAACAGGATGAATGTTCCACTAGTACACATAACACCGGCACGGAATGAGAGTAGCAAAGGCTCAGCTAGAATGGTGCGGTACCTCTCCTTTGACTATTCAGCTGATTACACGTCTCCTGTCATAACATTGGGGCTCGCTGCAGCTAGCATGATCCTACTTCTTGAGTACAACTTGCGTCTTCGCAGAAAGCCTTTAGGAAGACAAGAGAAGCAGACAGACACTATGTGGGCACCCACTCGTTAGATATCTTCATCATTTCGGCATCGAACTCCTGTTCGAACGTCTCCTGGAAACCAGCGTGAATGAGGAGCCAAAGCCCCTGAATGTTGTCATTATCATCTGTGGGATAAAACGACGCTATCTTGTGCCACAAAGTCAGGATGGTGCGCTGGACGTCTCCTTGAAGCGAGAGAAACTTAACTGTGGGGGAACGATAGTAGCTGCTTGTCATAAGTGTGTTGCATCGAGAACGCATGGCTGAAAATGCCAAATCATGCTTCCAAATCAGACAGCCAAGCTCCTCTGCAATAGTGACTGCTTTATAGTAAGCAACAGAGGAGCACTTCTCTATTGCATACGAGAACTCTGCGATTGCTTCACCAGACACACTGAACTTCTTCTTAATGGTTCCATTTGACATGTACTGGAATTGATACACCTTAACGTGAGGAGATGCCTTGAGAACCTCTGCATTATTCACGTTCTGCTGGAGGAACTCTAGTTGATTAACAAGTGTCGGAGGGACGACAAGTTCTCCACGTGGGAGCTTGTCTCGCGCAATAATCAAGCGCGCAGTCTTCTGTAGAAACGATGCGGTGGCAGATGCTAGGTTTGCTTTGGCGTTTTGTGGATCGAGTTCATACACGTCGACATGAGGGAAGGTGTACTTGGGTTTGTTGCACAAGAGGCACATTATGTTCTTGTTCTTCTCATTCCTGTTTTCGTCTGCAGTTTTATAGACAAATATGCGACCGGTGGACTCAGTGATGGTGTAGTTCTGCAGCAGTGAAAGGTCCTCTGTAGAATAGTCTATCTGGTCTGCGTCACCGTCTTCGTGGCTGTCGTTCTTACGAGTTGTGGACTGGCCTAGAATTGTTTTACGATAGTACTCTGCTGGTGCATTGTAGAATGCCCCGCTAAGGTCTTTGTGACTTACGTACTTTTCGTTAAGGTTAAGTAGAATGGGAGAAATGGCCAGAGAGTAGGCCCCTGGCTTTATGTGGTTCAAGAGAATCAATCCAAACGAGTGCATCCAATAGAAGAAGGGACAGTAGTACCTAAATAGAGACGTCTCAATGTCGTGGAGATGTAGCATATCGAGGCAGCAGAGATTCATGATCAAGCCCACCACGTGCGTTACATAGCTTGGCTTGTTAATGTCGTTAAAGTCTGAACAGATCCACTTGCTCTCTTGATCCTTCTGCTTGGTGTATCTTTCTGTCGCCAAATAAAAGTCCTTAAACCTGGAAGAGGTTGACACGCCTGCATGAGCGAAGCACAGTAGGAGCTGGTAGATAATAATAGAAAGCTGATCGTGATCGCTTCCGAGCATGAATTGGCACCCATTTTCCGTGAGAGATGATTGGGACTCTACCTTTGTGCTTGACCGTTGATCTATCAAGGAAAGAAGGGAGAATATCGTTTTAAACCGCAATAGCTTCTTCTCCTCCTTCTCATCTATTCTTTTGTCGCCTTTCCGAGACGATATCTCCATCAAAGAGTCTAAGAGCTTTCTAAATCGCGATGCAGGATACTCTTCGCAGTAATTAACAAATTCTTTCATTAGTTTCGCATTCATCTTGGTACTTTTCCGTGAGGTAAAGGGGTTTATAGTATGCTGCTTTATGCATTCTGAAGTGTATCCACCCATTGACACGAAAGGCAGATTATTCAGCGCAGAAAAGAGATTATGAAAGAAGACAAGATCATAATGCGTCTTATCTTTCTCCACAGAGATAATTTGAAGATCTGCAAGCTGTCTGACAGCGATGGCTAGGCGTGGGCGGCTTTCTTCGGTAACAATGGAGAGCGGGTTAAAAGGAAATGCAGGATATCGCGCAGCCGCAGTGATGGGGCCGTCTGCCGAAATAGTGTAGCAAAGAACGTTTCGCACAAAGTCCTGTGCCAACGAGGATAAATTCTGGTAAACATACAGGCAAGAGTACGGCGACTCAAGGTAAAGCTTCGAGTAGAGTATCGTCTCCGGCTGCTGCTGGTTGAGTTTGTCGATAATAGCAAACATTATGCTTGATAGAAATCCAGATTTTTTAAGTCTTAGGCATGAAGGCTAATAGGCACGTCAAGCCCAGCAATGCTCCGCCTTCCTCTTTCGCTGGACAGAGAAGAGCTGCCTTCACTACCGAGATGAATACCATGAATCTAGATGTCCTCGCCCGGATGCGTGCAAATCTCCAGGCCCGCCAGCACGCGAGTAAGGGTGATGTCCATAGAAGCCATTCTGTAGGAGGGGATGCTGTGAAGAATATACGGCCATCTTCCACAAACGAAGCGCATCGCACCGAGTCTCGTAAGAGATCACAAACCGCAAGCTCCCGGGACGTGAGCAAATTGCAAATAGGGTCTTTTACTTCTGTTCCGGCAAAACGCAGTAGAAAACGCACTAAGAGGCAGAGCCTCTCGCGTCCAGTCTCCACACGTTCATGCCCCCCTCCACAGGAAAATCTGCAATACCTAGAGCAGTCTCGTAGAAGGGCTTATGACACTACTTCCCAGTACGATTCTAGTGATACTTACGAGTACAGTGAGTACACAGATCAAGAATTTAGTCCGCGCCCCCAAAGAGCGCTCACAAGAAACACGGAAGAGTGTCAGTCTAAATATAAAGAAAAACTCACTAGCTCTAAGGGCGTTATTCCCGCAGGAGGCTATAGTACTGTGGAAAGCATTATACGTAAGCGTGATAATACGTTGGATGAGGATTTACTCAGCACTGGTAGCTATTCCAGCTGTGAAGACGGAGAGTATAGAGTAGGCGATGGCCGTAAGGTTGCCGATTTTGGAGTTCAAGCAAACACAGGTACCCCGGAACACGTTCTTGCACTTGCAGAGCTTCTTCGCTATCAAACGCAGGTCAAGCAGACGGCTCCGCGTTTCAGCCTGGTTCCCTCCATAAGTAACAGTGTCAGTAGACGAGAAAGCCGGCAGGGCTCACCTCAAAGGTCAGCCATGATGGAGCTCAACCAAACGGTCACGGATGACCCTCTTAGCCTTCAGTTCCCCGGGCTGCCTGTTGCGTTGGCTGAGCACTCACCAAACTCATCTGTGCCGATAGTTCTGGCCAAGCCTGAAGAAATGAAGATGCCCAGTATGACCTCATCTCAGGCTAAGGTCCTTGGGCACAAAAACCCGGTTCTCGAGGACCTTCGTGGCAACCCAGAACTGAGCAAAATCTATAAAATCTTTCAGCAGGATAGCTACTTCGTTAATCTTTCTTTCGACCTGCTTTACTCCACAGATGCGTGGCGCGCAGGATTCAACCATCTAAAAGAGGTAATCTATAGAGACATATATGAAGAGAGAGCTGCCACTCTGCAAGAAATGCAGACAGCTCAAACTCTCATCCAGGGGTATGAGGAAACAACGGAAACGCTCAACCAGGAAAATCAAGCATTGACAGAAAAGCTTCGTGTGGTCAGCGAAGAGGCCGAGAAGATCCTTGGTATGCACGGCATGCTAGACTTTGACTTGCAAAAGGTGGTTGCTGAAAAGACAGCCTTGGAAACACAAAGCATAGGTTTGCAGGACAAGATCAAGGAGCTAGACAAAGAACTTAGCTCAGTCAAAGCGGAGAAGCTGCTTCTTGAAGAAAAAATAAGAACACTACACGACGAATTGGCCCAGAAAGAGCAACGCATAAACAAGTCTGTCGAAAAAGCCCGTGAATTTAAGGATCAGCTTGACACGTACACACGGGAAGGACAAGTAGAAAAAATGCGCGATATGATTAACACTCTCAACGAGCAGCTGGCTGAACGAGGGCTGCAGGTGCGCGATAGGTCAGATGCTGTTGAGAAGCTTGAAAAGCGCGTTTCGAAACTTACCTCTATCAACCAAGCACTGGTTATTGAGCGCGAAAAGTTTATCTACCGTCTTGAGGTTAGCTTGATGACCACAGAGGACAAGCTTGGTGCACTGATTCGTCTGAGAGAACGGGTCCGAAGGCTTCGAGAAGACAAGCTGCGAGTCACGACAGAGTTAAAGGAAACTGCTGCAAAGTTGGAGAAAATGCAAGAAATCGGCAAAACATTAAAAGGCACCTTGAAGACGCGAGAAGGCGAGCTCAAAGAGTTTAAGGTCGAGTATAACAGGATGAAAGAGGAGTTCGAGGCGATATCCGCCGATTTTAACTATAAAGAAGCCAGAATTAACAATCTGGAGCAGCAGCTGGAGCTGTACAAGCAGGAACTGAGCAATTTACGGCAGGAAATGAAAGAAAAAGCAGATATGTTCCATGACGTCACGGTCAACTCTTTAGACAACCAGCAGAGGATTGTAACGGTTGCTGCTCTCAACGATCGGGTGCAGCAACTTGAGAGCGACAAATCAGAACTTAGGCAGCAAATTGCAGAGCTTAAGGAGGAGCTTTCCTCTGTCCGTAAGGAAAACGCTGCTATAACGACGGAAAAGGAGCATCTAATAAATCAAGTGGCCATTGCCAAGGAAAAGATATCCTATCATGAGCTTCTGTACACTGATCAGAAAAAGATGTTGGAGGACACAGAAAACCAGAGGATCGACCTTCATAATACCTATTTGAAGACGCAGAGCACCATCGCCGAGCTGAAGTTGAACTACGAGACAAGCAAACTTAGGCAGGACAGTCTGGAGGCAGAGAACGCAAAGCTCATTAAGTCATCTGAAGTCCTTAGCGGCGAACTAGACTATCTTCGAAAGGAGAACGAAAATCTCCGGCTGGACAAGGGAACTGACGGAGACGCTCTGCGAAAGCTTCAGCAGGAATTTGATCACCTTTCTGCCAAGTACACGAACCAGACACAGGACGTGGAAGATAAGCAGTTGCGGATACAGGAGCTGATATTCCAAAACGATCGCATGATGAAATTCATAGAAGAGGTGAAGGACAATTACAGGGGTGATAACGTGGTTAATTTGATTAACGAAAACCTACGACTGAAGACAGACCTCGATAATCTGATGGCCATTAAAGGAGATGCGCTAGGGAAAACGGCGTCGCTGGTCAGCGAAAACAACGAGATGAAAGAGACTGTTTCGAAGCTCCACATCGATGCAGCAACCAAGGATGCTCAGCTTGGGCGAGCATACAACCAGAATGAGACGCTCAATAAGAAGCTTTTGCTATTGACAAAAGAAAATAAAGATATCAGGGACAAGCTCGCATTCTTGGAGAACAAAGCCAAGTCTTATGAATACAAGATAGAAACATTAAAGCTTGAGCTTGAAAAGCGTAACAGGCTGCTTGCGGCACGGGAGCTGGAAGTTAGTAAGCTACGTGCAATGTGTGTGAAGCTGACACAAGAATAGATATCTATATGAATATGGAGCAGAATCCAGGAGGAGCAGCTTGCTTTACGAGCTGCACAGCTTACTATCTTTTATGGAGAGAAGGTATGCATGTACAATCGAGCCATGTAGCGCTCGTCGGTGAGTATAGAATTGATCAACGGGACTTCTAGTACACGAGCCTCCTTTCTGCACTTAGCTAAGATGATCGCAGAACGCTCCATCTGGTAGCTGCAGAGCGTGATGGCCCAGTCCTGGGCAGAGATTGAGTACTTTGCATGAGCTACAGGAAGCACTACGACATCGTCGGCTAAAAAGGAAAACACAGACACGCTACCATGTATATCTATTGCTATGATTGTCTTGTCAAACACAATGAAATCTGTTAGGGGATGCTCTGATTTAAAGATAAGCTTCTGGATCGCTGTATTAGATTGCAGCTCTGACATAATAAGAGACCCATTGCCTTGAAGTATCAATCGGCATGTGCTGAGGTAGATAAGCTGCGCCTTGTTGGTCACTGATTTCAGGAGGGTCTGCGGAAGGCCCTGCACAGAGCGTGTCCCTGGCATGAGACTATACTGCCGAAGGGTCTTTAGGCCAGTCTTGTGTGTGTCTAGCAGATCCTCGTAGAACTTCGGGGCCGTCGCTGGCTTCAGAAAGAACGAGACCTCCTGTACTACCCCACCATCAAATGCAACAATGAAACCAAGGGACTTAGGCGTACTTAAGCCTTGAAGCAACTGCACAGAGGAGATGCTTTTGTAAATTTGTGATTTGCTGAGGCTGCTGCCCGTTGTCACGTTCTTGGGCCGGATCAGGAAGCCCACCCCTGAGCAGAGGCGCAGGAAGCCGCTCTCATTGGGGTCGCTGCGCGCCACTTCCCAGACAAGTATTCTACCATCAGTGCCGGCAGTTATGATGCCAAGTAGTTGGTTCATATTAAACCATTGAATGAAGACGATGCGCCCAGTATGGGAGATATCCTTATTTATTGCAGATATAACGCTGATGGTGCGCTCTGTGAAGTTTAGTGTCAGGATCGAGACAGTGCCCTTGATGGTTCCTACTGCAAGCTTGTTTGAAAGCGAGGGATGTGGGACAACGGCTGTGACATAGTCGGTAGAATTAAAGGGAATGATGTCAGAGGCTGTAAAGGTGGCTAGAGCCCCCGCTGTTGAAGGGCCCGTGGACCAGAAAGAGGAGAGGATGTTGAGCTTCTCGCCAAACAGAAATAGCTTTCCATAGCAATAGTGACAGTATATGCTAGCTTCCCTATTCAGCAACGTTTTTGAAAGGGCCTCCAAACTATAGGTGTTCCCACACACCTCGATCCCTCGTTCATAACGTTTGCTAACCAGGAAGTTCGTTATCATAGCTCGCTCATTCGCAGTTGAAACAAGAAGATTATACAGTTTGTTCAGCAGGAGCAGAACAGCATCTTTATCAAAATCTGTCTCTTCCCTATTCTCCGGAGACTCCTTGGTCTTTCCTAAAGAGAGCGTGGGTTCGACTATCTTGACCTGAACGTCTCGGGACTTTAACCGCCGCGTTCCCACGCCCACGTCAGTAGACGAAAAGGTTTCAACTTGAGTGTATGAGGAGGGATTCTGCTCACCAGCTGTAGATTGATCGTTATAAGAGGGTATTATGCTCAAGAGACTCACTGGCGAATCCCCCCAAGATGTAGGAGGCGTGGTCTCTGTACTCATCCCCTGCAAAGGCACCAGACTTTTTTGTACCGTGCTACACTGTGTTACATTGCTCAGAACGTGGTATCTGGGAACTGATTTACTCGTCTGGCACAGCGTCATCTACTGCATTGTCTGTTTTCAGGCTGCGCCCTGCTTTTAGAATCTCATCGGTCAAAAGGAGTTGGGTCGTTATGACTGTTGAAGAGTGGTAGAGCTGATGCTTCACACAAACATTGTCCAGAATCCCGCTGGCCACAGCGTCACACGGTTTTCCAGTCTTGAGGCAGATCCCATAATTGATTGATGACCCTGTGGCTGCCTCACTTACAGCAATGCAGCACTCTTGGGGATCGAGCCCAGCGCTCTTTGCAAGTGTCTTAGGAATGGCACAGATTGCATCTGCGAAGGCTTGGATCCCAAGCTTGGTTTTCCCAGTGACAGTCTTTGCATAGGCCTCCAGGTCTGCAGCGGCAGCCACTTCGAAAGCAGCGGCGCCGGCGACATAGTGCTTATCTGTTATAGCGTTCTTGACTGCACGAAGGCCATCACGCACGGCATCCTTGATCTGCTCGAGAGTATGCCTTGTTGGTCCTCGAATCAGTATTGTACACGATTTGGGATCAAGAATGTCTTCGATAAATGTATACTTTTCCTCACCAAGCATCTCCTCATGGATTTTATCGGCCCAACCAAGGTCAGAAACCTTCAACTCATCCAGGGCGCAGACTGCAGAACCACCGCAGCAGAGCGTAATCCGCTCCATATTGCGACGCTTCACTCTGCGAAGGGCAAATATTCCATTTGCAGCAAGCATGTCCAAGGAGACGCCATCTATGCCTTTTTGGTTGAGGACCACAAAATTGCACTCTGCATCGGCCCCATGAGTTTCCCTATATGAAGCAAACGCTTGCTCCTTCAACTGGATGATCTTACGGCACTTGTTGTCTACATAGTCTCTTTCCTTCTTGGCTAGCTCTTGCATCTCCTCGGCGTTCTTGTAGAAAAATCCCGTGTTTGCCTCTGCCTTCTCATACTCAAGAGACACGTTAAGCGTCAGAATAAAGCAGCTCCTCATGGTTGCACAGGTGAGCTCAGATTGGCGGCTACCGTGATCCATGACAAGTCCCTTGATCAAAGTGGTGTCCACATCTAGGCGGCTAGGCATTAGCATGAGCTCAACCATGTGTAGGTCGATAAAGGACTGCTCCTTGGATTCTGCAGCCTTCTCAACGATCAGAACAGCCTCAGTGACAATATCCGAGAGGAGATTTGCCAGGTCCGCATGCACCTTAGTCACGAGAGAGGTATGAGCAATTGAGCGGAGAGTGTCATAGCGAGCACGTTCCTCAGTGGGCAGGGGCTGTTTGTAACTGTCCAAGAAGCTAATTACCCTTGCTTTCGCCAGTTCAAAGCCATCCACCAGCACACGTGGGTGCACATCTTCTGCTAACCATCTGGCAGCTTGACGGAGAAGCTCCCCGACGAGGAGAACCATTGTTGTCGTGCCATCGCCAACAATGTCATCCTGGGCTGTTGCCGCCGTAGCTATGAACGCAGCGATGGGGTGGTTAATTGGAAGCTCGCTCAAGAGGACAGCTCCATCCTTGGTTATCTTAATGTCCCCGGCTCCAGAGACAAGCATCTTATACGTTCCTGCGGGCCCAAAATTAGTGCGAATAAGCTTTGTTAGCTTCTCTGCGGCGTCAATGTTCATATCAAGCGCCTCCCCGCGGCGGAGATGCTCAGCCTTCTGGTTCAGGGCGTGGATAGCAGACATGAAATTCTATTTAAATTGTAAGAACCATTTACTTCGGCTGACAGGGGAAATTTGAACGCCCTATGCACGATTTGTCAGCTTCTTTATAGTGTGCTCCAGAATAGCACGATACTTGGATTCAATGTTGTTCATTTGCTGCCTAGTTTGACGCTCCATTGATGTTAGAGTGCTTTTCAGGTTTCTATTTTCGTCCAGAAGAACATGTCTTTTTTCCTTTTCTGCTGCCAGCTCAACAGAGAGACGGTCTATTTGGTTGTACAGGTCATCTACCGGTGTTTTGCTGCGGGGAGTTCTGGTGCCGTCCAAGGGCATAACGGATGTATACATTTTCGTAGCGCCCTTGCTATGGGTCGTCTGAGAATAGTGCTGATCACGTGACGGTGTCTTAGCTACAGGCGTTCTTGCTGATGAGACCTGTGGCCGTGAACTAGTTGGTCTCCTTGGTGTAGTTTTGGACACGGGACCAGCCTGGGTTGACTTCTTATTAGGTGTCACTGCCCTCTGCGACTCGTAGTACGAGCTGCACAACTGATTATTTTTGCCGATGCGAGTGTTACCAGGGACCGAAGCAAGTTTGCGAACTTCAGGACTAGTAGCTTTCATGTCTTGTATGTATCTCTGTGGGCTTTTTGACCTAGCTGACGGAGAAGAGTGCCGCGGACCGATGCACACTAGGCAATTGTCTGTGACAGCCACACTTCTCTTCACGACACGTGCCGTTGTTGTGGGTATTCCAGTGTTGTTCACCTCTCCGTTCTGCCCGTGTATGGCGTAGTAGCTTGAGTTATTTATTTCTACACGCGCCGGAGCGACCTTTCCAGAAAGGATACGCTGCTGTGTCGCACTTGCTGGTCGCGAAGGCCTGTGTTGCCGAGCTGCTGCATGAGATGGTGGTCCTGTATATCCTGTTCCAGTGTGGCTCAGGTCAGCAGTCGTAAGGAGGTCATTAGCATCGCGTGCTGACTTACTACGGGGCTTTGCTGTGCTTTGATTCGATTTAGAAGGTTCCCCAGCAACAGTAGTACTTGTTGTCTTCAAAGCCTCGAGCTGCTGGCGCAGTGCTGCGTTGCTTGTGCGTGTTGCCGCTGTCTCTGCCTTTGCGTCGTCTGCCACATGCTTTAGGCGCTGGTTCTGCGCCCGAAGCTTCTCTAACTCTACCTTAAGTTTTTCTGCCTCCATCGTGCCATTTGCAGTCTCCCTTCGCATTAGGGTCGCAGCGTTAGCAGACTCCGACAATTCCTTCCTCAATGAATCAATGGTCGCGCGGAGCATCTCATTTTCATGCTGCGCGTCAGTTAGGTTATCGCTTTTCCTGACAATATCCAGTGCACTAACTGCAGAAGGTCCCACGAGAATGAATTTGCCATCGCTGTAGTCTGGAAGGCCTTTTAATTTTATAATTTCGTCTGCAATCTCTTCTATTGGAGTTTCTAGATTTATATCTGCGGACTTCCCAAGGGTTAACAGGATATCTTCGCGTGCATTCTTGAAGCAACTTATTTGCTGAAGCAGCTCAAGGTAGCTTGTCAGGATATGCTCATAGAGTGTGTCTAATAGCTTCCCCTCCCTCCGAGAGGCAGTGAGCTCTGCCACCAGTGGCGGGGGTCGTAATATAGACATCTCACCTATATCTGCGTACACCGCTTTAAGCATCTCGGGGCTAATAGCTTTTGAAGAGCTCGACTTCAGCTGTCGTATCCCTTGAAGATGGAAGCCTTCCACAACAAGACCAGTTATTAGGCGGAGCGACTCAGCAGATTTGTAAGAATATGAAAGAGCTCGGAGCAGGTTAACCAAAGTGTTCTTATTCACCGAAACCTCCTCGAAAGAAGGCTGAGCCGATCGTACAGTCATCTTATCATAGACAGCCGCATCAACAGGTGTACCTGTTCTACTACCAGAACCCGCCGGGGGGGCAGGCTCCATTGTGGGTGGATCTGACCGACTAAGCTGCTCTTCTTCAGCCCTATCGTCCAGCTTGATACCAGATGCAGCATCCTGATCCGTAGCGTGGCTAAGCGGCGCGTCTACGCTTTCATCCAGGTCAGCAATGCCAGGCGGCATAGACATGCAGAAATGAAAAACCAGAAATCATAAAAAAGTGTAAGATGGAATGGAAGTCGGTTGGTCATCCATATTTGAATTGCAATTAGTAATTACAATGGAAATTGATTTTAATAATTGATTCAAATTTATTGCGATAGATGAGAAATAGAAAAGTGAAATGTCGAAGGAAGCGAAGGCAGAAGAGTTCAAGGCGAAGGCCAACACGGCGTATGCAAGTGGACAGTACCAGAACGCGATATCCCTTTACACCAACGCGATAAACCTGGTCCCCTCGGCTATCTACTACTCCAACAGGGCTGCTTGTTACATGAAGCTACAGCTTTGGCAGAAGGCTCTGGAGGACACGACGCGCTCTGTACAACTAGATCCTGGATACATTAAAGGGAAGGCCAGACACGTAGAGGCACTTATTAAGCTTGGTCAGGGCGACGACGCTGTTCGCTATGCCCAGGAGGTCTACAATGCAGAGAGCAGCACGAAGCATCACAACCTTCTCGACGATGCCCAGAAGTGTCAGGCCCTAGCCTGCAGCGATAACGCCAGGTTTGAGGACCATCTCAACGCTGCGGCCATTTCTCTTGCACGCGAATGGATTGAGATGGCTGCCAACGTGTCGCGGAAGAAGACGCTGACGTATAGCACCGAAGAGCGCCACAAAGACGAGGCCAAGGAAGACGAGGCGGACCTGGCCAACTGTGAGATCACAGAGGCCATCTACGTGATACGCGAGCATGTGACAGCTATGTATAACCAGTTGTCTAGTGACTACAAGTTTAGCACTACAGTTATGCTGGGCTTTCGGAGCGATCCCTTATTGACAGTCTATTACTATCTCCTTCTCATCTGCCTCCGAGATTTTTGCTTGGTCGGCATCCGAGTCGGCATGGACCCGTATCCTGGTCAGGAGATGGATGACAAGGGTAATGCTAAGCCCCTCCCAGACTACTTGGGAATTGCGAAAAAGGAGCTAACAGCGATCAAAGCGAAGCAATCGACTGAGTATGCAATATTCACTGTGGCGCTTTTGCTACTTTCCAACGCGTCTCCAGAACAGGTGAGCGCCGCTTTGAATCAGGCTGCTCAGATCGATCAGAACTCTGGAACTAACTATGGTCTGTCGAAGCTCTCAGCGGGCTACGCACAGTTCTTGACTAAAAAAGAACAAGGTTCTAATTCTTTCAAAAACAATCAGCACAAGGCCGCATTTGACGCCTTCAGTGCTGGGCTAGCAGGCATTGTTCAGCCTGCTCTCTTGGAGGCAGACACCATCAAGGGTCCTCTTGCCCTTCTCTTTCTTGCATTGCGAGCAAACGCTGCTATCATCACTAGCAACTTGGGGATGACGCTCAACAAGCTAGGCGACAATGGAAGCGCTCTCTCCTACTTGAGGGCTGCGTCCCTTCTCGATCCCACGTATTACAAGGCACATGTGCGTGCAGCGAATATCTACAAGGACCAGAGCATGTATCTGGAGTGCATCCGCGAGTGTGGTATAGCTGTTTCAATAAACGAGGCAGACACCAAGGGCTGCCAAGAACTCGCAAAGTCTTGTCAGAGTGGCGCAGAAAAGTATGCGCGACCCGATTACTATAAAATGCTTGGGGTGGGTAAGTCGGTTGACCCGTCATCTCAGGAATATGCTAGTGCTTACAAAAAGGCTTGTCTCAAGTGGCACCCTGATCGACACAGAGATCCCGTCAAGAAGCGCTTTGCTCAACTGAAGTTCAGAAAGCTCCAAGAGGCTGACGAAGTGCTCAAGAACCCCCAGAAGCGGCAGATCTATGAGGCCGGTGGGAACCCTGCTGCTGGAAGTGCTGGCGGTGGCATGAGTATGGATATGGGCAGCATGGCCGGGATGGACGTCTCCCAGATCTTCAATATGTTCTCGAGGATGGGCGGCATGGGCGGCCGGTCAGGCAATGTCCAGTTCAAGGTCCACTGTACCACTGGTGGAGGTGGTATAGGTATGGACATATCACAGCTTTTTCGGGGGTTTATGTAGACATGCCCGTCCGGGGAGACCGTCCGACTCGGCCAAAGAGACGGAGGAATCGTCAACAAGTGACACTCCAGGACTTCGGGCAGACGGGAACCATTTTGAACTTCTTTTCAGGATTTTGCTAATACTTATATTAATACTTTATTTTCTAAGGCTGCGTGATACTGCAATCTGGTTTCGATGAAAAGTTCTAAATCCTAAAATCCCGATTGGACTAGCCTTACTAGTCACTGGTTTGAGAGCCAAAGCTGAGGATAAATGCGTAGGTCTCCTGAGCTAAGGTGTAATCACTGGCTTCTATAGGAATGGATGAAAGTATGGCATCACGAGGGGGTACTTGCGGGAACGCTTTGTCGGTTGTCTGTGTGTGTCTCGCCTCAGTTATCTGTAAATTGGCGTAGGCATAAAGCTCGCCTGAGAGCTGGAACGTGAGTTCCAGACCTGTGAGAATAGAGAGGATGTAGAGGGGATTGTTAAACGGTAGCTTCGCGACCCTGCCTAACATCTCGTTGATAAGAGACCGCTTGTTAGGTAGTACGTACGTTGGAAAGCTCTTGTCTAACAGGAGAGAAGAGGAGTTGACAAACTCGACGGAGGGTTGAGTAATGATCGTGCCTACACAGGAGAGCTGATCTATAAGCATCCTTTTTACTACCATACCAGGGAGGAGGTAGTACTCAAAGTAGAGCTTAGAAAGACTAATTGGGTTATCTGCCCGGTAGATGGATCCGGACATAAGCTTGTTCCGGATGACTCTTGCCTCCTCACTAAAATTGAAGTAATCTCCTGAGTCCTCTAGTTGTTTGAAATATGCTTCTGCAGACGAGACCCGTAGCTTTGACAGCTTCTCAGCTAAACGCAAAAGCTCCTCCCAACCTACGTGCGGCGGAGTGGATAAAATGAGCGTTTCGAGATGTGTACGGTCCGTGCAATCTAGAAAGCTGCAGCATATAGTCATACGAGAGCTGAGAGCGGAAAGGCCGTCGATGACATAGCTGTCCAACTTCCCCGAAAGCTCTGCATGCTTATACAACGCCTCGAAAAGGACAGACAAAAGCTTGGAAACGTTCGTTCGGAAGAAGTACCTCAGCGTCTTGTATCGCTTACATAATTCAGTGATAAACGCTTTAACCTCGGACAGTTCAAACATGTCTGTCCACTTGCCATGCCTCGGCTTAGAATCTACAGTGGGCGATGGTCCGGGCAGCATCACCTTGAAGGAGGGGTCGCCTGTGAGTGTATCCTTTTTCAGGTGAAGTGGGGGGCGCTGGCAAGCAAGGAAAAGCGCATTATCATCAGGTGGATCTCTACCACAAATGTATATGAATAATATGATAAAGCAAGCAAGAACAGAGTCTCCGGATACTGCCTTATTGTGAAAGATCCAGAGGGCAATGGTAGACAGCGGTACCTTCACATACAAGTCATTGATAAGCTCTCTGCCACTAGTCTTAGCGAAGGAAATCACTGTCACTAGCGAAACGTAGGTTTTTGCAATTAACATAACGTTCTCTTGAAGAGCCTCAACAGAAAATGATTTATCGGTAGACCCTCTTGCAGAGGAAGAGAGAGAACTGCTTCCATGTGGTAGGCGAGAATAATTGGTATCTATGCCTGTTAGAAGGCTTCTAGATATGTAGCTATCATCGTTAACCCGACCACTCACTTGCAGAACAGGGTCAGATACAATGTCCTTAGTTGGGCTCTTCTTGAGACTAGATTTTGTAACAGCGAAAGATGCGTTATTAACAGTCGAAATCGACCGACGTAGTTGAGTCACAGATTCATATATGCTCTTAGATAGTAATGCATAGGGTTGTGTACGCATATCCTTCCTGATAGCGTTCAAACAACCATAGTCTGAAAAGTAGCCATCATCTAAGGTAGTGTTGGAGGCGGTACTCCTCTCTAGGCTACTATGCTTAACGAAAGGGAAACCAGATGATATTTGGTCAGTCACGGAGACGGATGGGAGTGGGATGGAGCCCCACTTAGCAGCGGTGGGGGTCTCGTCAAAGGCAGGGCTGGAGGCCAGGATTATGCCCAGAGTGTATCCAAGTGGCAAGGGTATAACTGCATCGGGGTATACAGTATGAATAATGTGTGGTAGAATATCATAGCTAGACGTCTTAGGTAATTCCTCTAAGACACGCTCAAAGATAGACAGTGCATAGGGACGTAGACTGCATGTCTTGTTGTCCATAAACAAAGCATTCCTAAAAGCCTCTAGTTCACCCAGAGAGGAATCTGCAGAGGGCATTGGGGCAGGTGCAGATCCAAGATCCGAATCATGGTCAGAGGCTATTTGCTTCGAGTCCTTTGCTCTGAGCGCGTTTTCATATAAAAGGAAGACAGGGATAGCTCTCGAGCTAGTAGAGCCTTCGTGGTACCTGTGGGTAAAGGTTCCTCCTGTGAGGAGATTCCCTACAAGATGGCTGAAGGCCTTCCAAAAGTCGATAGATAAAAAGCCTCCTTGATTTGCATTTAGCCGTAACACGTCTCCCATCAGATTGCTGTAAATGAGCAGCAAATAAAAGATGGCCTGCCCCCGCACACAAGAGAGTAGCGTCTTCATAAGGGTTGTCTCCGAAAGAATCGTTGCAATAAGGGTATACGTGCTTATTGGTGAGCGAAGCAGTGCAGGCTCCGAGGAACCTGTTTCCTGCTGTGCCAGAAACGCTTGGGGTATATCTATCCCTGGCTCACGGTTCTTTGCAGCAAATGCCAGAGTATGATAAGGCTCGTCTTTTATTGACTGGGAGGGCGCCTGAGGCTCAAGTGGCGTCATCGAAATAGCAGTCAAGTAAGCCGAAAGGCGCACGGCCTGAGATCCTATTACACTTATAGTTGATTTCCCTAGAGAAAGGCTTGACCCAGCATTATCAGTAGTATCGTTAGGATCTCCAGTGTTATAATACGCCCCAGCACTCACCTCATGGTCTTGAAATGGCATTTGTTCAAACAAGTTGACTGAGGCATCGTGAAAAAAAGCCGAGTTAGTAATATTGGACTCAAAGGGACTGTAAGGATGGACGTGTGCTGAAGATGACGGCCTTCTAATCGTTAGAGTGGGAGGGCAAGCATAGTTACTTGAAGGTGATTCGTGAAGAATGTTGACAAGCGCTCGGAAGCACGAGCAGCAGAGGAAGTCAGTGACTAAATGGTCTACCCCATACTTAACGTTAGAAAGCCTGTCACGAAAACAGCTGGAAGTAACTGTTATTAATACTTCCCAGAAACGAGAAGCCTTTATGCACTCAAAAATATATGGTCGTGAGTCGTATTGACCACACTTTGACTGCAACGACTGAAGAGATGTAAAGCTTAATAGGTCAGCATCGTCGGTACAAGATACTCTGTGGTCGTATAAAGTCATATTTGTTAAGGTACTAGTAAGTCTCTTGTGCTTATCTGCTTGCCGAACAGCAGTGCACTTGCTTTGGTTGGAGGGCTCATCATGGAGTCTATCAGTACTGCCCTGAGGAAATTCTCGCCTCTCCATTTCTGTACTGAGTGATAGGTTATTGACTTGGGCTTTCAGTATCACGTCTAGTTGAATTTGCGCATTAGAAAACCCAGAGGAAACTATTACCATTGCATGCTGAAGAAGCATATCATGTATTTTAGATAAGAAAGTGTCGTATGCAGCTTGAACTGATGGCTCAAGCGCAATGATTTTAGTAAAGAAAAACGTGCGCAGGTGGTACAGTAACTTGTAGAGGCGCTTGAGAAAAATTCGTGATAGCTCGTTATTTAGGTACGGGAGAGCTCCTAGAAGCTCGATTGCAATAATAGAGATATCATCACGCATCTGAAGAAGCAAGGAATCGCTGACCACCTTCTCTGCGTCAGCTGGGAGGAGAAAGTCAGCCAAAAAGCTTGCCTCTAGAGTATCAGGCTCGGCACAGTGAATAAACAGCTGTCTTACCACGTCTGGCTCAATATCTTTAGAGGATTGCTGCGACATTATCATAGCCAAAATGAGATTAAAGAGCGCGTAGGGACAGTCCATCAAGAGCACTGTTGCGATCCCGTGCAAATAAACATTAGAGATCTGTATGTTGGTCCCCGCCAAAAGGCACATCTGGCGGAACTTAACTAGTTCCAGAACGAGAAGCCTAAGCATTGTTGCCGAGACAACCCGAGACGTTAGTATATGGTGCTGAGCCCAGTGGAAGATGGACGGTGCGTGTACAAGAACGTGGCTACCATCGGAGACACCATTAATCAACCTAAACAATATCTCAGTACGCGTCTTCGAAAAAAGGGCTAGAACACGGGCTGCGTTGGAGTCCAGTACCGACGCTGGCTTTTCAATCAACATGAGTGAGGTAGAGCTTTTATCCTCTGTAAGGAGAGGCTTAGTTGCATCTTCCACTTGCTCCTGGAATACCAGTGATAGAGATTTAATAATCAGACGCCAGTAGCAGAGGACACCTTGTTCTGGAAACGATCGAGTCCGATCTTTGTCGAAGAGGAAGTTAATGTCATTGACCACCATAGCATTAGTAGACAAACCGGCGGAACACTCTAACACAGCGAGGAGACTGGACCACGGGGTGCCCTTTTCAGTTTCCGCGAAGCTGCTGGGTAACCCACGCGGAGTAGCCATGGGGCCACGTAGCATGACATCTTTGTTGCTGAGAGCGTTGCTCAGAACTCTATGGTAAAGATTGTAATAGTCTAATAGAATTTCTACGTTGCGTTGGAGTAGTATCTGACCACTATTGATAGAAACTTGGATTGCACCTGCAAGATTATCAAGTACACCGATATTCCTTGAAATTGTATATGCAACCAAAAGCGCGCCCGCTAGATTGCGGTAGTTGATGTTGGCCTCACCTACGTTCAACAACAATGTACAGTATGTAAAATACAGCCACAGGAAGCAAAGGGTTGATGCAAAGTGAATGGCGAGCATGTCGAGAAAAGGAAATGCAGGATTGAATCGCGTAAGGCTTGCCGCTAGGCTGTTAATTCCACGCAGCAAGCGTTCCTGGTTGTTGCGAAGAAAGGTAGCCACTGCATCAGACCTATCTAGTGGTAAATCAATATACTGAAGCGATGATGTAGTGAGCTTTCTACCTTGACTGACTGTACGAGATATCTGGGAAATATTTATAGGGATTGCATAGAACGTGGCAAAGAGATCTAGCCCGATACATCTGATAGTGAAGCCAGAGGATGCTAAGAGAAACAGAGAGACATCTATGAGAAGTGTATACCAGCTGGAGGATATAAATGAAAAGCATTCATAGAATAAGCGCTTGTACACCTCGCAACTGACTTGTAAATGGGGTATTTTATTCTTGTGAGCATACTTCTTTGTGCAACTGCCGAGGTACTGAAAGATGAAGGAGATATTTTCGGAGGTTGTTCTTGCATAGTCCAGCAGTCGATTGAGTGCTTTGTTGTTTAGGGAGCACACGTGGCCCTTTTTGGAGTAACATCCATCAATATAAAGATAATATTTAGGCCTGCGCCGGCCCATAACCATCCCAGGAACTTTTACTATTTTCACTGCATTAATAAAAGTATCAAAGACCGTCCAACGTCAAGTACAGGTGCTAAGGGAGTTGTACGGAGTCATGTGCGCTGCAAACTAACTATGGCTTTCGTTCTATAGTGTGCATGTATGCTACACTCACTTCGCCGGGCGTTAACGGCTATGTTCACACTCGCAGTGTCTTCCGTTCTCTGATCGCCAAAGAAGTCTATCTTTATCTGTATGGTAATGAGGCTTTTCAAAGTTGCTATTCTCACGCTTCGTCGCTATGCCTTTTACACTTATTGAGACATAGCTGATTGCACTTTTAGCCTTCATAAATTTACAATAAAAGTCACGACCAATCTTGGTAAAGGGGTTTTATTCTGTAGGCACTTTGTCTACTTTTTTGCACGTCTTCGCAAGTCATTCGAGCTTTTGCCTCCTAGAGCTTTCAAATGTCCAGCTTCTAGAACCATCAATTGCTTTTGATATTTGTATAGCCTCTTCAAGAGTCATGTGGCTATTAGTGATATTGAATCTAGGAGATCCCTGACTTTGTGCCACATCAACATCTGATGCCTGATTGTTGAGATGAGTAATGGTCTCAGAAATGTTAATGGGCTCAAACCTGTGCGACTTATTGTGTACATGCATCAAGGCTTTACGCATCACCCTACACTTCCAGGTACCAATTCCTACGCAGATTGCCATGAATACGATGACAACTATAACAGAGGTTGCTATTATCCAATCATCGCGCATTCTATTTCCATTGGGAGTGAGTATCTTGATTATATCGGTAGATGTGTCATACAACAGGTCATCTAGCGGTTCAGAAGGTGGCACATACGGCGGGCGACCTGTGGAAGGAGGAATGTTGGAGGGCAGAGGCGCAGGAGACGCGCCACGCGTGACAACTATTTGACACGTGGCTATTCTGCTAAGGCGTGCCACAACGTACAGATTGTTTGCTCCCGTCGATCCCCCGGTGGTGCACCAGTGCTGAACGCTCACCATGTCTGCAAGGCCGTTAAGTTCTAGTCTGATTTCGGTAGCTGTGGAAGACACAGGATTTCTGACGGTGATGGTGTACTTTCCTGGAGCCTGCACAAAGAGCACTTGCGAGATGACACTAGACTGGATAGTAGTTGAGCCATAGAGTGTGGCTGTGCCGGCACTATAGAAGTTAAGGGCGATGATCCTATTGTCTCCCTGTGTGTAGGAAAGCATTCCAGTATTGTCGTCGACTGTGTGCTCAGCTTGAGAGCCACCACCAAAGGATAGAGTGTAGCTATTCATCAAACCATTAAGTTGATCGTCTGTAGTGTCTATAGGAAGATAGGGATAGTAGGAATACACAAGAGACTGAAAAGGCTGCCACTGGCCGCTGCCTGGAGAGGGTGAAGCCCTCTGTAAGGTTGTTGTGACAATAAGGACATGGAAGGATTTTGTGATATGTGCTTTCCCCCCAACATAGTTGTACGATCGTATTACTGCCATGTCACTAATGATTCCGCTTAAGCTTACAGGGAAAATAAGAGCTGCAGCATATGCTTTGCCAGAATGTGGGGTTATCTTAAAGAGAATCTTTCTTGCCAGCAAGAACGAATAGTTCCCGACGGAAGTTTGTTTAATTCCATCAACGTACACTTCTTTCGTATCTTTCTCACCAAGTGGAATAGTAGCCAGATTTGCTATTAGGGTAATAGATCTCGTCTTGGTGGAAGTCAGCTGAGCCACATGGAGCCCTTCACTGAGAGACTCCATGAGGTAGATGGTCTTATAACGGATGGTGTTGGAGTAGGCATTATAGTAATCCATCGTTGCGCTCCCATGCGTGCCATCTGTTATGCTAGAGACAAAGCGTCCAGGTGAAAGTGTTCCATAGAGATGGGATTGAGATGAGCAATCTGGCAGATAGCCCGAATCATATATAATGCCTGCATAATCATGCGATGATGCCAGCAGAACATAGTCCTCATATTGCTTCGGGTGGTCTCTGACAAAGGGAAAGACTGCCCCTGCCGCCTGATAGAACCCGAGCTTGTTGAGATCATTAATGCACTGAAAGTTCCGCGTACGATACGAGTTCATGGCGATTATCAGGGAGAAATGCCTTGCCTGGTAGGCATAGTGGTCTCCGTGAATGAGCGGATAGTGCCCAACCATGAGTTCGCCAGGGTACGCGGGAGAAGATAGAAAGACCCCCGTGACCTTGTTCCACAGTCCGAGAGTAGGAAAGTTTAGGTGAGAAATCAGGTGAACCTTAAGTTGTGGGCAGTTGAGTATGAAGTAGTTGCAGTGCTTGTAGATGCGTTCGTAGGATGCATGGAGGCTGTATCCACTGGAGTTGGCGACGGAGACAATCTGAAACAGTCCAATGAGTATATTACCTAGGCGCTTGTATGGATTGTCAACCCCTGATGCCACCTCTGCTCCAGACAAGGAGTCGACAAATCCACAGTTCGCCACAAAGGGCAGGATTGTGCCAGTGAAGTATGTGGCAACCTCCTGCAAAATGGTTGAGACCTGGGATGTAATCTTGACAACGTCGCCCGGGCTCTTGTTTGAAAGTAGAGCCTCCTCGATCTGCTTGGCCGGGGCAAGGATGCAGGAAAGCAGGTAGAGCAGCGATTGCCCGGTGGACCCAAAAATCACGCTGGAATAATATTCAACAAAGGTGCCATCAGTGCGGAACCCGTCATAGAGGACAGGTTGAGGGACGACGTCGTAGTCAGGGTCACGTGCTTCAAGGAGTGCGCTCACTCTGTTGTAGTATTTGGTCATGGAGCTGAGGTCGCCGACCATTAAGGAGCTGAAAATCACAATCTTCGCTGCACAGAGCTCCATGAGAACGGCACTCACGGGACACCTGGTATCATCATACCATTCGGTGGGATCTCCTGTGCACTCCTGCACTAGCTGAGACTTGGCAGGGATCGTGAACAAGCCTTGTAGGATCGCGCGGAGACCTTTTTCATATTCGACATTGTTGGTGGGTATATAAATATTGTTTAGAACAATCAAAAGATTGATGATTTCATCAGGGATAACCAAGCTCCACAAGTATTCGTCCGGTGTGCATGGTATTCCTGCCGTGTAATGCTGCGATAGAGTAACAAATGCTGATAAAATCTTGTGAAAGCATGACTCGTCTTTGTAAAGAGCAGACCCCTCTGTCTGATATGCAATAGACATCATCAGCATCCTGCTTATGTGCCCTCGCATCGTCGGGGCACTTGTCAGCGGGAGCATGTCATCCCAGCCCTGTTTATTTGCACTAAATAAAGAAGCGTAACCCTTTGCATATTGCGACAAAGATTTTAGGTATTTCTCTATCAGTTCTTGTGGATACTGAGCTCTGTCACCAAGTACGTAGAAGGGCTTAATAGCTGTGAAAAGCGAGAGATATTTAAAGTTGAGAGTCACAGGATCGGGCGGAGAGGGAAAAGGAAACGTTGATAAACATAAGCACAAGCATATTAAAAGCATAAGCATGAGTATGAAGCAATTCGGTTGATGACGTTTGCTAGACCTTTTATTTTATCAATCAAAATGTTTAACTTACGGCCTATCTTGACGTATAGTAGATGAACCTTTAGATACTAATTCCGTTTAGGCTATCCACTATTGAAATGCAATATATAGCAAGCGACAAGCGTCTTCAATATATGTTGATTGCTCAGGGCTCACAACCTAGTCATCGCTTCTGGTTGTGACACGTGGGTCTGAAGCCTTCATCGACAATCAGACACCAAACCCACACAACAACGCTCTTATGACAGTTGACCATTCAGCTAACAATTTACATTCTAAAAGATTCTAACATTGCAACATCTAGGTCAACTTGTTTAATGATAGTTGTTAATAGTATTCTATACCAATTAAGCATGCTCTGGGAAAACTGTTATGAGACTCTGTTGGTGGAAAGTAACCTGGGCCCACTTATATTGGCGTGATGACTCATCTGAGTAAGGTCATTATCTGACCGTATCTCTCCCAGCACAGAAGGTTCCACAACGGAAAAGGTGTCGTTAGTACCGGGCACAGATGCCAGTGTCTGCTCTTGTCTATCCTTTAATGCGCCAGAATGTGTGCGTTTTCGCGTACACGATTTAGATAAGCATTTGCAACTGTTTGGCTCCCTGAACTTCAGGAGCCCAATGACAATCAGCACAATGCATGCAATAATGCCTGCAATAAAGAACACATCCAACACGATAATACCCACATTCAGAGGCTTCCTAAGCTCGAGAACTGTAAATGGCGTCGATGACTGGCTACTACTACCAGATCCCGAAACAGTGCATGTACACGAGTAAAGAATCGCCCGTGCTTTCTGCATACCTTTGGCATGCTCTGATAGCTCTGGACAGTTAGCTGTAGTCAGTGAAATAGATATTTCCTTATCTCCAATTTTAGTAGCGGACAAACTGTTAGATGTGGAGGTGCACGTGAAAGACTTAGCGTCATAGGATATAGTGAAACTAGTGCAGGCTGAAACACTTGTGCTAGACGACGTCGAGATGTTAATAACCAATGAAGAGTCCGGGCTAAAAGTTGTGACGGATGACTTCCAGGCAACTACACCACTAGAGCCCATGTCGAGGGTACATTTGGAAAACAAAATGGAGTATTCTGGCGTTACAAGGTCGAGAGAGATGTCTGTAAGGGGCGAGTCTTGGCTGAAAAGCTCACCAACGAGAACGGTGCAATTGTTAACCGAATTGGGTGATTGGCAAGAAAAAATCAATTGAAGAGAAGTACCACTGGACTCCAGGGTTCCATCGAATGGCTTTAGTGTTGTAAAAACTGATCCGTGGGGGCGTGGGAAAGTTAGCTTAATTTGAGAAATGTTCAACGAGCCCTTGGAGGTGGGGGGCGGAAGAGTTAGTGTAGTTTTCAAAGACATATTGCTTAATGGTTCTAGTTTTACAATCTCAGAGTGAGATGGTATAAATACCGATAGGAGCACACAATTAACCAACCAAGGAAGACCGGGCATAAATAGGACGAAGCAACTTTTTAATTTTACTTTTTAAATTATCAAATCTACAGAGAATCGTCGGGAGCTCGCAATGGCAGACGCCGAATCTGACTTTCTTGCCAAGTTAAGAAGTGCGGATGCCAAGCAGCGCCTTGATGCCCTTGCGATCCTTGTACCGGACGATGCCCCCGTTTGCCAATCCCATCTACGCCTTGTTGCCGGCGTCCTTCCGTCTCTTCTTGGAGAGATAAACCCTCTTGCGCTCAAGAAGCTGTACACTGCGTTAGAAGAATTGTTGCGGCAAGATATGCTCGATGCGAACCAGTTTCAGTCTATAGCCACTGTCTTGATTGAAAAGGGCCTCTCCAATACTAAGCCCGCCCTCAAGGATCAAGCCAAGGGCATTCTCGTGGCTTTATCTGCTCGAGCAAGCCTGCACAGTGCTCCTGGGCAACCCAATGTTGTTATCCAGTCTCTATTAGCGGGACTGTCAGCAAAGAGCCCCAAGGTGCTCAGCGAAAGTGCTCTTTGTCTTCAGGCTATCGTGGAGAAGTATGGTATCTTTGGCATGGATGTGCCTCCTTTTGTTCGCCTCGTGGCCCCGGTGTTTCAAAACAAGGACCTGAAAGTTCGCCGTTCTGCCATGAAGATTGCTGCTCTCCTGGCCATGAAGGTCGGTGTCGAACCCATCAAGGGAATGCTTGGGCCCAACACTCCGAAACAGTACATCACCGCCTTTGAAGGCGTCATGGAAGAGGTCATTCAGGATCTCCAAAAGCAACAGGAAGGTGCCGGTGACTCATCGTCGGCGCAGGATGGCAAGGTAATGGTAGCATCAGAGGGAAAACGTGCAATTTCTCCACCGATTGTTGTGCAACGCTTTACATACGATCCATTTGATGATTGCGTCCCTGCCTCCTTTCATTTGCCTAAGAATTGGGATAAGATGATTACTGATAAGAATTGGAAGGAGCGGAAACAGATTTTAGATGATCAAATCAAGGCTCTTTCTTCTCTTACACGGATAGATCGTGCCCAGCTCTCCCTGCCCCAGATTTTCAAGCAATTAAAGACTATAGTAGACTCTGACCTAAGTGTTGCTGTGGTTAGTGCCACCATGCGCTTTGCTGCATCACTCGCTGTACTTATTGGTCCCATGGGTCCATATTCCTCGACAAGCAAGCTACTCGTTGTGGCCTGCACCAATCGGCTCAAGGAGCGCAAGGCACCAGTAATAGCCGGGTATAATCTCTTCATGCACTCTCTTTTAGTTCACTCCCATCGACTATCGGATATATCTGCAGACATGTGGGCTGTAGCTATCCCACACAAAAACTCTGAGGTCAAGGAAGATAGCTGCCGACTCCTCCGAACTATCTGGGCAAGCGCTATAGTATATAATACTGTTTATTATCTTGGAAAGACAAAGCTTAGTGTCCAGCTTCCCAATCAGATCCTGCAGTCAGCCATTGGCCAGACTCCTTCAGGACAGACATTAGGGTCCAATTCTGTAGACTACGCCCGGTACAAGGAGCTTGAAGACGTGGTCATTAATTACCTGTTAAACGATGGCTTTCCTGGGGCTCAAAAGGCCCTTCCTGAAGGCACGCCAGTATCAGGAGAGCTTTCTCCTGGAATTCAGCTTAAGTCTAGAGTCCATAGAGAGCGTGTGAGCTTCAATTCCATGCTTATTGATGTTACACCCTCTCAGCAGAATCCTCAGGATCCCGGTGACTTCTCTGGACTAAACCTAGTCTTCGATAGTCTCGACAAGCTGCTGGGCGATTCTTCTGCCGTTATCCGGGCGCCAGCTTTGAAGGCTTACGCATTTGGGATAGTTGCCCACATATCCGAGATCCTTGCCTTCTTTACCAGAGTTACTGATGGGATTTCTCAAACGGCATTTAACTTACTCGTCAATTTAAAGGCCAGATTTGGAGCTAAAGACGCTAGGAAACAAGCAGAGCTTATGGACCTCATCAAGAAGGTCTGTATTTCCGTAGGAAGGAGTGATATTCTTGATATTTTGGAAGGACGTGTTGTTCCAGTTGTTGGACAGCAAAAACCTTCACTTGATGCAGCAGATCATGACACACTACATTCATATCCACACTCAGACTCTGCTTCAGCAGCTCCAGCCACTGCGCCACAGAGTCATGGTAAACTGTTTATGCCACCAAGTCATCAGCAGCCTTCGCAAGGAGCACATACAATTAACGCTGGTGTTGGGGGCCCAGGACATAACTTTGTTCATTCTCAATTAACCGGTTTAGAGCAAGCAAACTCGTCTAAAAATAAGCTGTCTGCCCAAAGAGGTATCAAGCCAGGCATAGCCCCCAAGGAGCCACGAGACCAGAAGGATCAGGAACTGACGATAAGCACAAACCCCAATCTCTATGACCAACGGAAAATGTCTACTATCAAGTGGATTATCGACCCATTTAATGCCGATGCCCCTGTTTCCCTTCCAGCGAGAGACGAGCTCTACAATCAACTCTGTCAAATCATACCGTCAAGCTACGTAGCTGACATGTTCCTTAAGAAGGCCTCTTCTAATGCTCCAGCACTGTTATCTGGTCAACAGGGCATTCCTAGAGGGATAGACGCCAAGTTCACAGGAACAAGCAAAACAATCGTGGATACCGTTAGTCTCCTTCGCAATGCTATGCTTGGGAACCACCAGGGAGTTGTGGCCCAGAGAGATGTTCTAATGAAGTACATATCTCTGCTTTTTTGTGACGGCTTTGCTGCCCCCGCAACTCCTAACACAACACAGGTCAAGGCTGCGTGCCAAATAACGGAGGATCTCATCAATATTCTAATAGACAATGAGGTTGTTTTAACCATTTCAGACCTCGATTATCTTTTCCCGGCTATTCTGGCAAGATTGGAGCAGTTCAATATGACGCAGTTGAAGGTGCAGATTACGTCTCTGGCAGAAAGACACGTACATTTAACGTCGTTTGAGAATATCATAAATGTAGCGCTCATGCATCTTTTGGGCCGCAATGCTAGAATTCAGATACGCCAAATGCCTACTAAGTTTGCAATCATAAGACTTGTCTCGGTGATGGCAGAGGCGTCTCGAGACAATGACCATTGTCTTGAGCTTAGCCTTGCTCCTATTCAGTCATTGCTATCCATTTACAAAACTAGCGTTAATACAGATACGTATGCATTTTCTGAAGGGCACATAAGCGAAAACTATCCAAAACTCCGTGGAGGAAGCGCACGAACGATCTTTATTACATGTCTTGCCTCCATTATTAACGCGTGTGATGCTCTTGTGCGGACAAAGTTGATGCCACTTATTGAGAAGACACTACACGACAAAGATCTTCAAGACTTTCGCGCTCTCATCCTTCCTTGTATGGCTAATCAAGTTGATGATCAACAGAGCTACATGACTCAAGTTGCTCCAGAAAATCCCCCTGCACCAGTCGATCCACTGGATGGATTTAGTCCCGCAGAACACTATGCGAACACCAGTATGCGTGGCCAACTTGGAGCGCAAGTCTTCCAATCCCAGAAGAGTATGCAGAGTATGACCCAAGCAAGCTTACAAGGGCCATCTCTTCTCACGGGTCCCTCACTGTGTCAAAATACAAGTATGCAATCAAACAATACTTCGTTTAGTCAGCAATTATCCCCCCAGATCGTCCCAGCCGATCAATTAGGTCATCCTTTACCGCCGCACGGACCCCCGCAACTCCAGAAAAACTACGTTACTAGCTACCTTAAGACAGCCGCCGCTAATCCCAGTGTAGCTGACATGCCTTCTCCAGTTACGCTCACCGGTACTTCACCCACACATGTTCTTACAAACAAGGTTGCTAGCCCTACCTCCAGACTTACTGATTCTTTCCCACCACTTGTGGACTTTGGAAGCATCACCCTCATTTCGCCAGAGACAAGTTATACTGACCGTCACTATAGTATTGACTCTACTAGGACACCAACTACAACCCGGCAGTTTCAACCACGGAATCTTGCAGAGGTTCATCCATTTGATGATGTCCTTTCTGAAGAGGCCTTGCATCAGCTTGAGAATCAAGGACACCTCCAACTTGCAGAACTCGAGAACCACGTGCTCGCCTTGAAGCGAGCTGTCTATCTAGCTAACACAAATCAAATCAATGTTGCTACACTGCTTCCAAGATTTATTAACGCAGCGTCCAACATTTGTCACTTTTTCTTTCTTTGTGAAGAATCCTCGGAGAGACCTGAAAGAAAGTTGCGGTTGCTCATTATTTATGCGCAGTTTCTCCACGCACTTTGTGGTCCACGGGGAACCATCCTATGCGCACCAAGATCCTGTATCTTATCGGCGATCACAGATATGCTTGTGTTTATGATTCTATTCGCCGATAGCCACATCCAATCTGCATCTTGTTGCTATAGTGCGCTTATCGATTTAATGCGATCAGCGAATATAACAGATGTAATGACCTGCTTGATCATTTTGTTTATGAAAGTTAACGCTTGCGCAAAAGACCCAGAGAAGTCTTTGCTTCAAGAGCTCCATCTTTTGCAGAGTGTCCACTTGGTCCGTTCTGAGGTTAGCGAAATGCTCTCATCAAATGGACCTGCTCTGGCCATTCTTAGTAACGTCCTTGTAAGGCTTTGGGCTAAGATGAGGACACCTTTCATGCAGCTGATTTCGTTGGCGCATGGATGCAGGCTGGATGTGGCAACTCACATCTTTAAGTGCAGCGATTTGGTTAATCAGGAGTCACTTTACAAGACTTCCGAAGCCTCAACCACTCCGGCTATATACTGGAAGAAGGTTGCGAAAGAGTATCCAGAGTTTATCACCGCTGTTGGCACAAACACCTGTATCATGACTACAACTGTCCCGGATATCCTAGACCAAAAAGGTATGCAATCGACTGTTTTGGTTCTGGAGGATATTCTGTTAGCACTAAACGTATTTTGCTTAGCTGATGCAGGTACGTCATGCTCTGCCCTTTCTCAAAATATGACTAGCTTTGTGGAGGAACTATGCTCCATTCTTGGCTCTGAAATATACCTCTACATGCGGAGAGCCATCCATGGTCCACTAAGAGCACTGATTGATCAATATGTAGCCAGTTCCAGGTCTTAGGCTCGGTTTCAGGGAGTACTTTTACAAACCGACTACAACCGCACATCAATGATGACTTTCATGATAGTTTTTGAGATACAATTGCACTGATGGAACGTGTATTGTTATTCGATTCTTTTTACTTGATACTTCACTCACTGTGCATCGTCTATGATAACGTACTGAAATCGTTAAACGTTAAACCCTTACACTCAGGAAAATGAAATGTAATGCTATTGCTATATCATAGTAACTCAGCTGGTTTTTTCAGCTATAGAATGAAATACTTACTGGCACGTGGTCCTATTACAGTTTACCTCTCCTCATTCAGTGTGTCACTATTAGCACTACACGCTAACTTTGCGTAGAACCCACTACTAGAAAAAGCTTGCTGCGCTGTTTATAAGAGGTGTGATGACCAGTTGCAGTCTATGTTTACTCCTAAGGCTCTTTTATATTATGCATACCTGGTCAAGTACTGTAACATACATACAGACTTGTAAATTTAAGCTCCGGTCCATAACTGTTTCTTTTTACATGCAATGCTCATATATAATTAAACAAGCTAGAAGGGCTCTGTTGGTTATCTGGCTAATGGAAAATGCTACCAATCATGGCTAAGTTTGTCTACGCACCATCAGCATAGGAGTTTCAGAAAGCTCGTGGATGGTTAGCTTCAAGCTGATCAGTACATAGATTAGCGTATTTAGCAGAATTCTATCACTGATTTAGTACATTTAATTGAAATTTTTGATTTTGTAGTGATATGGTAAGTCCTTGTCTGACGATAGAGGTCCAGTCCGGTGTGCTGCATCGGCTGGCGAAGGAAGTAATAGACATAAAACAGTTGGAAGAGACAGTCGACGACCTTGTTGCCAGCCCGTGCAGACTCTATGCGTATGTGGTTAAGACACCCATCGACTGGCAGAGAATCGCCAAGGAGGTCGGTGCGGACAGGAAAAGGATCTATCACTGGTACCGCGAGACGCACTCACGGCATATCCTGACCATTAAGATGACTGATGACGACCGCGAAGAGATCCGCAACATGCTCATCAACTGGATCAAGCACCGGCGGGTTCTGGATGAGCAACTCTATAAGGAGATACATAAGCGCTTTGGGACAAGGTATTCGCGTCAAGAATTGCGAATGACGTACAACAACATGCTCAATAGCCGTTGCATACGGAGTGTCCTCACAGAATGCAATGTTCAGCGTCCAGTAAGACGACGAAAGATGAGCGGATCAAAACACAAAGAGCACACACCTGACTCTCCCAGAGCTACTTCTCCACTAGCCGCGGGCCACGTGTCTAACTCAACCCCTGATCTTCAACCGACCTCCATCAGCAAAGAAGATCTCTATCCTTTGAGTTCACACAAGCTCCCACTAGAAGCATCGACCCTTTCTTCTGAACCCAACACCGTACCAGATGACGCGAGGACTGACACCACGTCTTCCCATTCTGACACTCCCATCCATGCTCTTGTCCAAAACCCCATACAGTACCCTCCAGTGTTTGTCTTGCTCAATCCGCAAGCGACGACGATTCCCTTCAACACTAATGCTCAAATGGCGTACATTTCCCTGATCCTGGTAGAGCCGCCAGCTAATATCTGCCCCCCTTCTCCTGCAGAAAGCTAGGTAGGCAACACATGGTAAGAAGTCTTGGAATGATCACCTTTCTGAGCCGTTTTAGAAGGTACAATTTCCACTGTATCATGGACAGGTTTGCCAATTCTTAGTAACACTCTTGCAGTACTGCGTACATGCATGGAGTAACAAGCTGATGCCAGTTATAGAGCTAGTGTTCTGATAAATTGGGGCCCAATGAGGGTATATAACTGGGCCACTCTTTCTACCTTTGATATCTCCGTTTGTAGCTTCCTCACATACACGATTGTACACTCTGACCAAACTCTTCGCCCCCCTGCGTTCTTGGTTGCGCCGCGCCTCCGCTGGTGCCGCCCGTTGGGGGGCCGGTCTTTGTGGCTCCGGGCGCGGTCTCTGCGCTTCTGCCCCCGCGCACGCCGGGGTGCCTCGTCCTCGCCCTCCCGCCCGGGGTCGTTCCTGGGCCCGGCACCCTCTCGCTCCAGACGGGCCAGGATCTTCTCGGGCCGCCCACTTCCTTCGCATGCGTGCCATGCTTCCCCCCTGCGGGCTACGGGGGCGTGCCTGGGTGCGCTGATACATACCCCAGTAAGGGCTGAAGACTGGAGAGCTCGGCTTGTCTGGTGGTCGTCGAGGGGCATCGAAGAGTGGTCGGTAGGAGCAGCTAATAGTTGAAGTCCTGGTCAGTGGCGAGACCGTCATGCCTAGAGCGTGCAGCATGCTCAACCACGGCACAGCGCAGGGCCCACCAGACGCAGCTTACACATCGTTGAAGAGACCACACACAGCAGGAGAAGGCAGGTCTCTCCCGTGTGCGCAGACGACTCGAACACCGCGGTCTGGGCCAACGATCTACCAGACAGGCCCGTCCGGTAACAGGCGACTGAATGCTCTCTGGGCCGTGAGCTAGGGCTGATGCGCAGCTGGCCGGCCACGACATTCACCCTGGCTGGCCCTCTGCCTGCGTGCGCCGATACGCCAAGGAGCTGTAGGGAAGTCGTGTGCTGTCTTGACAGGTATACTATTACCTCCATGTCTGCATCCTGGATGTGGCCATCAGGCACAACTACATCTCTGATCGTCTTGTACACGCCTCCTGGCACGAGTGGGTGCGCCGGAGGAGATGCACTGCCCACCGCCGAGAAATGGATGAGCTCCCCTGCTCAGGAGCCGACGACCGCCAGCCATGCCCAACGAGGTCCCCTGCAGGCGGGTCTGCTGAGCCAGCTCGTCCAGCGAGCCGTGTATCCGGAAGAGCTTCGCGTCGAATGGCTCCTTGATTAAAGAAGCTGGCATCCAGCGCGGCATGACGACTGCCCGCCTGGTGCTGTGCTACCTGCTGGGCGGACACACAGACGCCCTAAGCTCCGTGTGAGCCTATGTTCAAAGCGTCCTTCACTGGCAGGAGATTCCAGGAACTAGGCGTAGATAGGAAGAGCATTCCCCACTGGTGCCACGAAGTACCGGTACGCTACCTGGATACACCGATGGCAGCGAAGAGTACGAGAAGGTCCCAGGGCCTCATCGAGCGGGTCTGCTCCTAGCAGGCCCAAGTGGACGCTCTCTCCAGCAGTGTACAAGAAGCCCGGGAGGGAGTGCTCAGGCTGAAGCTGCGACGTTGCTGGTACAGGCTGTCCTTACTGAGTGCATCCCTCAGCACCCAATAAGTGGAAAAGTGACCGGAGCTAGGTGTGCCTGCTTCTTCTCTGCCGCCTGCATGTTGTTGCATCTCTGGCTCTTCCTCATTTGTCGAACGACTGCTCCTTCTGGCCCCTTGCTGGCCCTCGTTCGTCGTGTAGTCTCTTTTGGAGCTGCTCCCTGGAGACCGAGCTGACCAGCAGCATGGAGGAGCCTCGTTCTTAGTTTCGCACTCCACAACTGGCCCAGCGACATGTTGACCATTTTACAAGCAGTTCTGGGTCGCCCAGTCTGGGGCCGGCTGCTGTGCATTCTCTGCTTGACTGCCAGGGTCAGCGTCTGGCCCAAGCACTGGATGGACAGGAGGCACGGATAAACGCCATGCACGTGTTGCTTCCATGATCCACGACGTTGCTGTCCTTATGTGAGCCTCGACCCAGGTCGGTCTCCGTTGTAAGTGCAACAGTCTTGCGCATGCAATCTGGAGGATCTACGTTAGCGGGTCGAGCCGAGCAATCCTTGTTAGCGCCTGCCATCCGACGTCTCTGTTGTTGAACTGGCCTGTAGAAGTCCGCTATAGGCCCTCAGGCTCTTTGTCTGTGAGGTCCTTCATACTGGCCGGCCTGTCCTCGCAGAGCGCACTAAGTGCCCACCTATAACGCATGTCGGCGGCAGACTCCTCGGGAGCAATTTGCGGGGGTCTCGATGAGGTGGCCGACGCCCAGTGAACGACCCCAAGCCACCCTTTAGTGTCTGCGCTGTCGCTCCACGAGAGTGCGTAGTGGGATGCAGCCGGAATCCCCGTGTGCGGGGGCTGACAGTCAACGGCAGAAGGTTCGGCACCCCGTGTTCCCACGACGTCTCCGATCGCAGTACTGGCGGGGCCTGACGGCGCTTCTCTTCTTAATTCGGAACGAGTTAAGGAGTTTCCGCCGTAGGATGGCCGAACTGGCGGCTGAGGGAGCTGTGCGATGTGTCAGAGACTGTTAGAGATTCATACTGTATATTGTGCAATGGCTGACGTGTATGGGTGTCCCACCGAAGGCCCGGCGAAGGGTGGCATCGGAGATGAGACAGATTGGCTCCTGCTGGAGGAGGCCACAGTGCGGGCTTGCCTGCAGATGCCGTGGCTAAAATCTCAGCCCGTCCAGGAATCTAACAGAGATTATGCAGCCGGACACTGGGACCTACCGGAGAGCCGCATCGCCCTTGCATGAGCCAACAAGCACTGCCTTCGAGCCGACCACAGTTGGGAGCGCCCATGTCCGTGGATGCCGCCGGTCGTCCCTGAAGACCACCCTGCTCACAGCCCCAGGGATCCCTCTGCAGACTCTGATTTCTATATCCCTGGGGTAGATGTTTGCGGATAGCGGCACAGGGCTCAGCAGAACCGTCGGAAGATCCGCAGCATATGTCATTAACCATGATGTCCTGTGGTATTCATTCCATGGCTGAGTCACCCATAATGACATTGGAGCTGGAGTCAGGCACTTCTAGGATGTGATTACAGGACTGTGGAGGAGCTTCCTTCCCACGAAGGAAATCCTGTGGCCAGAGCGTGGTTCGTCAACGCTTAGCACTGCGCATCCCGGGAAAGGCAGAGCCAAGCGCGCATTTGAAAATCGATGGCTGCCCTCTTGGACCCCGCACACGGTAATAGCTATAGAAAAGAGCCCCGGGCAAGGAGATCACGCGGACCAGACGTGCCCGAACTGAGAAGCGTCTACTTCATCAAGTAACGGTAACCGGTCTATGCACACAGATCATGTTTGGCGGCAAGCTCCCCTGTAGCTCATGTATCACTGCGAACCGCTGCCTAGAGGCTTATGTTGGAGATGCTGCAAGACACCAATGGTTGAAAAGTGTGGCTAGCCGTTCTTCCAGCTATCGTCTCTTTGGATGCGCCGGGTACTTAAGATGATAGTCCAGCGCTGCACGCCTTGACTGCCACGGGCCTTGTGCATAGTCGATCAGGTGCCCGACACACGCCGCTTGGGAGTGCCCAGACCCCACGATGTTGTAGTCGGGCTGCTAAGGTGCGAGAGGTGGTGCACAGAGGCGCATATTAGAGTCAAGATCCATGTATGTCGCCTGCCTCTGGGTGGAATAGTTGTACAATAGTAGGGGGTGCTCATTGCCATACAGAAGCGGGCACGGCAAAACATGGAGGCGCGGTCCTACCGCAGGATTCGACGGATGCTCGGAGACAGGTGGTCCAACGGTTTTATGGAATGACGGCGCAACGGCCATGGAGTGGACAGGTGCAATAGGCGATGCGTTTACTACCTAAGTACACAGCTAAGTCTACGCCTTCCCCCTGCACACGAACCACCAGCAGAGGAAGCCGACGAGGCCCCCCACGACGACGACCACAGCGACGGAGATCCCCGCGATGGCCCCTGTGCTGAGGCCGCTCCTGTTGGCGCCAGAGGACACACAGGAGGTCCCACTGCTGTCAGGGCTATATCCATCGTTGCACACACAGACAGAGTTATCATCAGTGGAGTTGCTGGGGCAGCTATCCACGCATGACTTCCTTCCAGGGCTCACCTTCTTACCACTACTGCATGCCTCGCACATGTTGTCCATATCACAGTGCGAGCATCCACTAACGGTACATGGGAAGCACCCACTGCCATCCCTGTTGGGCTTCTTACTACTGTCACAAGAGGTACATATAGCAGGAGTCATGCCAGGAGCCTCTAGCTGTTTTGGTGCTGTACACTGTGAACAGCCATCTACTCCTACGTATGCCTTCTGGCCAGCCAGCTCGACCCCAAGGGGGTTCCCACAGGAGAGGACAGACTGCTTGTCCTTGGTGGGCGAGGGAGGGATGAAGTACCCAGCTGCCGCCTCTGTGCAGACACCATCACCTGCCTTTGTGCACATGGACTTACCCGGCACCTCTGTCACCTTGTAACAACCATTCATGTACATAAAGTACCCCGTAGTACATGATGTACATACACCTTGATTACATTGATTAGTTCCTTTATCACTATTACATATACCATCAATAGGGAACTCACTGTCCTTTCCACAGTAAGAACAGTAGTGAAGCTCCTTCCCTGTGTTGTCGATTACGATGGCATCACAGGCGCCAGAAGTACCACCACAAGCCGTGGGGTCCTCGCAGGTCTTCACACATGTATAGTCATCCCCCGCATCACCATTGGACTGCTTCTTATAGTTGGGCTTACATTCAGTGCACTTGAATCCACCGTTGCTAGAGCAGACACTGCAGCCTTCGCGGCCACCATCTGTTGTACTGTCACAGGGGACACACTTCTTCCCCTGTGGATCTGTAGTAGTTACCAAGAAGTATCCAGTCTTGCAGGTTTCACACTTATTTGGATCACCAGCAACAGAACATGTGGCACAGTTATCACCACAAGCATCACAAGCTGTAGCACTAGTCTTAAAGAAGCCCGGAAGGCACTTAGTGCATTGTTGTGCTGCAGTACAGGTTGCACAATTAGCCACTCCTTTATTTGGGTCTGTTCCTGTTGTATCACTACATAGATAACAAGCTGAGTCATCATCTGCCTTGAAGTGATTCTCGTCTACGCAATCGGATGTAACAGTAACACATGTCGTGGTGCCGTCGATGGCCGTCTTCACCTTCTTATTGTTATTACAGGCGGTGCACTGGGGCTTACTGACGGTCGCATTGTACTCACACGTGGTGCAATCAGTTATTGCAGAATCCTTGCAGGTCATTGTCACAGGGTCAGCATAAGTGTTTCCAGTGCATCCATTATTATTCACGCATGACTTGTCAGTCTTCAGGTACTTCCCCTCTGGGCACGATGTACACTGATTCGGACCACTTCCATCGCAGGTCAGACAAGCGTCATTACATTTGACACATGCCTGAGAGTCCATGTAGTATCCATCTCTGCAGGTACTACACGTGGCTGCTCCTGGACTACTGTCTGACTTGGTACACTGTGCGCAGTTAGCCACCCCCGTATATCCATCTGCTCCCTTGATATCAGAGCACAGTATGCACTCCCCACCAGGCTTCTGAGGTGTAACTGGGTTCTTGAACAGGCCGTTATCTGCCTTACAAGCAGTGCACACTCCTCCCTCAGCCTTTGTGCATATCACACTCCACTATCACCCTCTATCACCCATTATCACCCACTATCACCTTCTATCACACATTGTACAGCATTCACTACCTAAGTCACGCCTTCCCTCTACATATGAACCACCAGCAGAGGAAGCCCACGAGGCCCCCCACGACAACGACCACGGCGACGGAGATCCCCGCGATGGCCCCCGTGGAGAGCCCGCTCCTGTTGGTGCCAGAGGACGCACAGGAGGTCCCACTGCTGTCAGGGCTGTATCCATCGTTGCACACACAGACAGAGTCGGTGTCAGTGGAGTTGCTGGGGCAGCTATCCACGCATGACTTCCTTCCAGGGCTCACCTTCTTACCACTACTGCATGCCTCGCACATGTCATCCCTGTTGCAGTGCGAGCATCCACTAACGGTACATGGGAAGCACCCGCTCCCAGCCAGGTTGGGCTTGTTGTTGTTGGTACACGCTGTGCACGTGGCGGCAGTCATGCCACCCTCAGATGGAGCTGCTGGGGCTGTACACTGTGAACAGTTGAGTACCCCCACGTATGCCTTAGAGGTACTATCAGTGCCTACTAGTGTGCCAAGGGGGTTGCCACAGGCCAACACGGACCGATCAGTGGTCTGTGCCTCTGGTACTACGAAGTACTTATTACCATCATTGGCAACTGTGCACTTGCCCCCTTCAGCGGTCTTGCACATGAGGCTTCCTGGTTCTGTATCATACTTATAGCAGCCTCCCATGTACAAGAAGTATCCTGTAGTACATGATGTACATGTATGACTGTTACAGTTATTCCCCTCTTTCTTTTCATTCCCAACACATAGTCCATTAATGGGGAACTCACTGTCCTTTCCACAGTATGAACAGTAGTGAAGCTCCTTCCCTGTGTTGTCGATCACTATTGCATCGCAGGCGCCAGAAGTACCACCACAAGCAGTAGGGTCTTCACAAGTCTTCTCACACGTGACCGCTCCTCCAGCCCCTACCTTCTTTTGGTAGTTCACCTTACAAGAGTCACAAGTAAACGAGTTAGAGAAGGTGCACGTTGCACAGCCGGGCACTCCATCTGTCGGATCGTCGCAGGGGACGCACTTCTTGGCCCCGTCATTCTTTAAGAAAAACCCTGGCTTGCACTTTTCACAGGTATCTATAGCGCCTCCTGGCCCGCACTTTCCGCAATCGCCAGCGCACGCAACGCATACGGCGGGGTTACCGTTCCCGCTGTCGTAGTAGCCATCGAGGCACGTCTTGCATTCTGGCTTAGCGCCGTTCTTGCTGCAGGTCCCGCAACCGGGGCTTCCCTTGTTATTATCTGTCTTGCTGCTATCGTTGCTACATAGTATGCATTCGGCATCTCCGTCGCTCAAGAAGTTCTCACCAGTTGCTCCGCTTTGAGTGCAGGTGCCGGCGTCTATACACGTAGTCGTCCCGTCGGCCTCTTCCTTGACTATCTTAGCTCCATTACATGCCGTGCACTTTGGGCCCCCAGTTGCCGGGTTGTACTCACACGTGGTGCAATCAGTTATTGCAGACGCCTTGCAGGTCATTGTCACAGGGTCAGCATAAGTGTTTCCAGTGCATCCATCACTATTCACGCATGCATTATCCTTCAGGAACGTATTTCCCTTACAAGAGGTACACTGGGTCTCTGTAGTCTCACAGGTCAGACAGGACTGATCACACTTCTCACATGTCTGAGCGTTCTTATAGTATCCATCTTGACAGGCAGTGCATGTAGCTGCTCCTGCACTCTGTGGTGCCTGACACTGTGCGCAGTTCTCTACTCCCTTCGTCGCGCCATCTCCCACCGTGTCCCAGCAGAGGATGCACTCACTACCAGGCTTCTGAGGTGTAACTGGG